GGGGGGGGCTTGTCTTACTTGGCTGAAAGGACATTGCCCACCAGAAGCTCGTCGACATGCTGTGCTCCGATCTGTGGAGCTCGTTCGAGTGCAGCTGAGAATCAATATGCACCTCTTGCGTCAGCCCAATTTATGAGGTAATGGATAGTCCTCCTCCGTGGGGGCTTGCAGAGACTCAATGGATTGTCGTGGCCTAGCACCTTTGATGGCATGGGAACCTAATTGCGTCGCACTGAGCTGCGACAGAGACCTGCACAGACAGACGTCTAGACTCAGCAAACGGGTTCTGTCTCAATTGACGAGGCAAGGGTGGATGCAGAGCTAGACTGCTTGCTTACCCTCGATAACTTCCATGGGGAGTGCGCGCCGCAGAGGCAATGTACACTGCGTCATGAATCAGAGCCATTGCGTGCTTGTCGTCAACTGCGCTTCGGCCTCGCCACAAAGAACCTCTTTTGCCCGGTTTCTTGACTGATCAACTGCGTACTCGGTCCGGTAGAATGTCGTCTTAGGTAAGCCCGTATTGAGAAGGGGGCTGGCTGATGCTCCGGCAGGGATGCGCCGCTTCCCGGTTGAGATCGATCGGCGACTAGGTGGCCCTGCGGCGTCTGAGATATAACTAAGGAGGAAGTTTGTGCGAGGTAGGGAGGAGAGAGAGGGTGAAGGTTGGAGGGACACTGAGAGCGAGAGTCAGAGAAGAGTGACTGATACAAATCAAGACAGGATGTGACAGAGAGGCGAAGGGCTGGCCCCCTGGCTCTTCTCAGGCAATGTATCTTGGCAGGGCACAGGTCTCATGCAAGGTCAGCATTCGGACCCGGAAAGCGAAAATCGTTGGGGCGGCACGACTGATTTGCTTTGCGGACATGTAGTAGGATCGGAACTGCAGGGATTCTGGTGTACATACATAGTAACAAGTGTGTCAAGGGTAACCCCGCTGAAGAGCGGTACAGACGATGTGGTGAGGCTTATTATAGATCGATGTGGCTAGTTATATGTACGTGATTTTGTTCCAGACGACCTGAAGAGTAATGCTGGAGCTGGAGGAACAATCACACCATCCTGCTGCGACGGTGTGTGCGTAGTCTGGGGTGTCCACGTTGGACGATCTACAGGGACCCCCTGTTCAACTGTTGGTCGCACCCTGCAGATACCCGAACACCACGTGGGAAGCTTAGACGATTATCGCTGCAAAAAACAGTGTTCTAGCTCTTGACCGTGCATCTGACAGGGGTGGCTGCCAGGCGATCTTCATGCAAGGTCAACTCCCAGACGCCTCGGCCGACGGAGTGAGATCCAGGTTTCTGGGCGTCATACGAGGCGTGATCTATGTGCACCCTTTTTGAGGCTGCTGACTGTACTGGATTGCGAAAGGCTAGCTGAGGAGCAACTTGTCTGCATCGGCATTCGGTGTGTTCTATGGAGACGGGATGCCTTACTCGTCATGTCTTTGGTGTTCTTCCGTGCCGATGTTTGCGCTCAAGTCGGCCCGGGTCGTAGTTCAGCTTTGAGCTGTCTTTGAGAACCGATCGGTGTCGAGATGACGGACAAATGCGCCATATTTTGTGCATGCCATGAACCGTAGGAACCGGATGATCTATTGATTACCCTGCAAAGTGTCCAGGAGGTTGTCTCTTGACTAGGACGGGGAGGGGTGCGTGCACCAGAGTAACGGTCTCGTTGGCCCAGCCCCATGGGGTAAGGTACCCTAGTAGCAGCAAACGGTGCATGGAGATCCATGTATGGTACTGTAGCAGGCTGTTTCTAGTAATCTGCAAGGTACTCTGTTACGCTAGATGCGAGTCTGTAGCTGCTTGGAAGTAGCAGGGTCCAGTCACTGCAGGGGTCCGATTGTGAGAAGAGCTCCTCCAGTATGGGCCGTGCTTTACCAAAATCTCCAGTAGCAATCATTTGCGTAGAGTCTATGGGCGTTGGTACGACTTCCAATTTGGCCAAGCCGCAAATTCAGACTGCGTGACTGTAGCTGTACCAAAGTCGAGTTTGAAGCTCAACAAGCTGATCAAGTCGATACGGCTTACTTCATTGTGGAAGGTGAGTCCAACAAAGCTGTAAGAAAGCTTATACTGGAGTAGGATACGGCGCAAAACTATAGGTTCACACGAAACCATCGAATGGACGAACTGCTGCTGTCTGTCGCGAAGATGTGAACACAGTACAGCGATAAGGAAGAACTACGAGCTCGGCATTTGACGAGCCTCCCAAAATAACTAAAGATACCCTTGACAACTTTCCAAACATTACCGACATCATGTCAACGGAGCAGACGCTGCGCGAGCTTTGGGCAGTCACCCTCGGCCTCGAACTCGACGATATCAACGACGACAGCAACTTTTTCGAGCTAGGAGGTAACTCCCTCTCTATTCTGACTCTCCAGGCAGCGGGATATGGAGAGGGTCTGGTGATCGAATATGGACAGCTATTTGAGACCCCAGTGCTACGAGATCTAGCCGCTGTCGTTCAAAGCTTCGACAATGAGATGACACCGGATGACTCCAGCGATCACGAGTCAAACAAAGGGAGCCATGACCTGTCTACGCCTGTGTCTCCACCATCGGATTGGTTCCACGATGACGCTGGTCGGTATGGTTTCCAGCCAGACGCGATCGAGGACGCCTTTACTTGCACGCCACTGCAACAGGGTATGATGGCCATGTCAGTCCAGGACAGCAGGATGTACCGCGCGTGCTACGTTTTCGAGATCCCGTCTCATGTTCATACCGACCGGCTCCAGGAGGCGTGGCGAGGCGTTACTCAAGCAAATCAGAGTATGAGGTCAAGGATTCTCCCGATCAAGGGTGCCCGAGACAGTATCCAGATTGTTCTGAAAGACGATTTCCACTGGGAGCATTGTATAGACTCAGTCGACGGCTTTGCGACGAATGCGATGAGGCAGGCTGTGGACTATACAGCCCCAATGTCTGCATTGACAGTCATAAGTTCCGAAGAGACAGGCGCAAGACACCTTGCATGGACGGTTCACCACGCGATCTATGACGGTTGGGCGCTTCCACTTATTCTCCAAGATGTTGACACGCATTACCACAACAGCACTGTACCGACCAGGGCGCAATTCAGACTTTTCGCGAGACACCTTCTTCAGGATGACGAACGAATGAGCCGGGAGTTTTGGCGAAAGAGGCTGGAGGACTTTGATCACATGTCATGGCCGGCGACGACTAGACTCACCTCCGAGATTATTAGCACCGGTCACGCCGAGTCCATTACCTTGAACACCAGTCGACCAAAGTCCGAAATCACCTTTGCCACTCTCATCAAAGCAGCATGGGGTCTGGTTCTCTCCAACTACTCCCACGCTTCTGATGTCGTCTTCGGCACTGTAGTTCACGGTCGCAATCGTCGCCTTCAAGGCATAACCGAGATTGTCGGACCAACTATCGCCACGGTCCCTGTCCGCGTCCAAACCACCAGGGAGCTCGAAGTCGCAGACTTGCTTCAGACGATCCAACATCAGGCCGCTGAGGCCACCAACTACGAACATATCGGGATTCAGGAGATCGCCAAGTTGGGCGAGGGCGCAAAACTGGCCTGCGCATTTCAGACGCTGCTGGTCGTCCATACGGCGGTCGAAGAGGATTTCGCGAACCAGTGCAGTGTCGCAACACTACGAAAAGACCTTAGCCTTCACGACCGATATCATCCATACGCTCTTGTAATTGATGTCTGGGAAGGAGATGGTAGCGCACGAATTGAGGGACGATACGATGATAGAAGTCTTCAGGGCTGGGAGGTAGATCGTGTTCTCCAACAATTCGCCCACATTGTTCGACAATTGAGCAAGGCCGGACCAGGGACTCGACTTGACAGCGTCAAGAAGACTTATTCAACAGAAGACGAAGCCCTTGTCAGAAGCTGGAATGCCATGCAGCCGGTCGTGGTGGACAGATGTGTCCATGACCTAATTGGGGAACAGGTTCTGGCGCGTCCACAGGCGACCGCAGTGGTGTCAACCGACGGCGAACTCACATACCACGAACTCGACGTCTTATCAGATCGTCTTGCAAGTCGTTTATTCAGTCTCGGGATTGGCCCGGGAAGCCTGGTACCGCTTTGCTTTGAGAAGTCAATGTGGCCTGTCGTGGCCATGATAGCTGTTCTCAAATCCGGCGCAGCGTGCGTGCCCACGGTTCCTGAGCATCCCGATGCCCGACTAGCAGCCATCTTGGAGGATACAGCCGCTTCTGTGGTGTTGGTATCAGAAGCTCAAGAAGCCCGATTTGCCGGTCTCGCTAGACAGCCTGCGACAGTAAGCGCCTCAACCTTGCGCTGGCCGGACAATGTCGCCGAAGAAGATGAGGCCAGTTCGCAATCGCCGAAGGTCACCTGTTCAGTACAGCCTAGCGATGTCGCGATCGTTATCTTTACGTCAGGAAGTACAGGTAGGCCCAAGGGCGTGCTATTGGACCACCGCGCTCTGTGTACGAGTATGTCTGCGCACGGCGAGGTGCTGGCTATTGGACCTACATCCCGTATTCTTCAATTTGCTGCCTTCAGCTTCGATATCAGCTTACAGGATATCCTCACTACTCTTACCCGGGGAGGTTGCATTTGCATGCCCTCAGAAAACGATCGCTTGAATAATCTCGCCGGGGCTATCAACGACATGAACGTCAACTGGGCCGGCCTTACCCCAACAGTCGCTATGCTTCTCGAGCCCGAAGCCGTTCCGACGCTCAAAACTCTTGTCCTAGCAGGAGAGGCAGCAACGACAAACGTTATCGACCGGTGGAGTAACGCAGTGTCTCTCCATAACTGCTATGGTCCGGCCGAGAGTACAATCTATTGCGCATGGCAGGGTGATCTTGGGCGCGGTCGCCACCCGGCCGATATAGGAAGGGGTCTAGCAACCAGACTATGGGTTGGTGATGTTGAAGATTACACCTCTCCGGCACCGGTGGGTGTCGTGGGTGAGCTATTGGTACATGGCCCGACGCTTGCTCGTGGATACTTGAACAACGACAGTCAGACGGCAACAGCATTTCCGCTGGCACCTAGTTGGATCACAGACTTTCAGCCTGAGGGCCCTCATATCCAAGGCCGGGTCTATCGCACAGGTGACCTGGTGCGTTATACAAAGGATGGATCACTGGTCTACATGGGACGCAAGGACACCCAGATCAAGATCAGAGGCCAACGTGTGGAGCTGGGTGAAGTTGAGCATGCCATTACTACAGCCACTCAAAGCAATCAAGACCTTGAGTGGGCACGCGTGGCTGTCGATGCAGTGCGTACAGATCGCGGTCAGCTTCTAGTGGCCTTCCTCGAAGAACCTCACAGCCATGGAACAAGAAGCGAACCGTCGCAGGAGAACTTGGCTCAAGGATCGACTGAGCTACTTCCAGCTTCCAAAGAGTTCAGCGACAAATGCCAGACCCTCAAGGCTGGTCTCGTGACGAGACTCCACAACTATATGATACCACAAGCTTTTATTCCAGTAGGTCTCATGCCTCTGAACGCTTCCAGGAAAATCGACCGTCGCAAGCTTCAAGAGTGGGCTGGTGCTTTGGACCCCCAAGACCTCGCCGCTTACACGCAGGCCGCTCGATCGCGAGACAAGAGAGAACCGGCGACTGATATGGAGCGTCAACTTCTCGACCTTTGCAAAGAGATCCTACAACTTCCGTCGGAATGGATCGGCGCGGACAGCGACTTCTTCGAGATTGGCGGAGACTCTGTTGATGCTATGCGTCTCGTGGCTGCTGCTGGAGAGGTCGGCCTATCTTTGACAGTCGGTCAGGTTTTTAAGAACTCAAGGATCTCTCTATTGTCTCAGGACATTGAGAGTACTTCTTGTGGCGAGGCAGCGATGAGGAACCGCGTGGATATGGAGCCTTTCGCATTGCTTACGACTACTGACAGCGATGACCGCGAAGCGGTGCTGGAGGACGCTGCACGACAATGCGGTGTCTCCGTTTATTCGATCGAGGATATCTATCCCTGTACACCCTTACAGGAGGGTCTGATGGCTTTGTCTGAGAAACATCCCGGAGCGTACATGGCTCATTGGACATTTCAACTTGACCCTAGTGTCGACTCACGACGCCTAAGCGAAGCGTGGGCTCGTACGGTGAAGAAACACAGCATTCTACGGACGCGGATTATCTACTTACAAGGGCATGGACCAATGCAAGTGGTGGTAGATGAAGCGCCGATATGGAATGAAAGCCGTGAAGGAGGTAAAGAGGCGTACCTTTCTCATGCCAACGCGGAAGTCATGGGTTATGGCACCGCCTTGAGCCGCATCGCTCTGGTATCAGACAAATTTACAGAGCCCGAGGCCACTCTATGTTTAGTCTGGACAGCTCACCACGCGACCTACGACGGCTGGTCCGTCGACCTATTAACAAAAGACCTTCAAAAGGCATACGAAGCGGGATCCGCGGCCCGGATTCAGGCGGACGATGCCTTAACCACACCGTTCTCGCACTTCATCAGACATCTTACCAATGTAGGAAATCCTGAAGACAAGATCGCTACCGATAATTACTGGCATCAACGACTACAAAGCTGGAGCGGATCATCCTTCCCCAGACTCCCTTCAGCAGGATACCAATCGCGAACGAATCAAGCGCTGCGACACCAACTTCTCTCACCAAGGTCAGCTGTCGCTGGTGTGACCCGCGCATCGGTATTGCAGGCAGCTTGGGCACTGGTTATGTCACGACAGACCGGATCGGATGATGTCGTATTCGGTTCGATTCTTAGCGGTAGGAATGCGCCATTGGCAGGGATTGCGCAAGTCGTTGGTCCAACGATTACAACAGTGCCCTTGCGAATCCAGCTCTCAGCAACAGCAACTGTTCATGAATTCCTACAAGGGATCCAAGAACGGGCTACTGATATGATTCCGTTTGAACAAGCTGGTCTTCATCGAGTCAAGTCGCTTAGTTCAGACGCACTGGAGGCTTGCGGGTTCCAAACTCTCTTGGCTATCCAGCCCGCAGAGAAGCCAGAGGAGAAGAACGGGGCAGCCATTTCAGCGCCACACCTCGAGGATACCGCTTCACTCGGCTTCCACACCTATCCTCTCTCTATTGAGTGTTCTATCGGCGACGACATCGTGGACGTTGAAGTCCAGTACGACGATGCCGTGTTATCAAGGGGAGAAGTGGCTCGCTTGGTCGAGCGGTTTGCGCACGCTTTGCAGCAGCTGACGTGTGAAACTCCGGAAACCATATGCGTTGGTGATCTGAGCACTTTCAGTCCAGAGGATGCAGCCCAGGTGCAACAATGGAACGCCTCTTCATCGCCGACGGTAGTAGAAGATTGCATTCATGAAGTCATCAGGCGAGTGGCACATACACGCCCCGAGGCAGCTGCAGTGTCCGCCTGGGATGGCAAGATTACGTATCGCGAGCTGGATGAACTTTCAGACCGCTTGGCCACGCATCTTTTGAGCCTGGATGTCGAAGTCGGCGACATGGTGCCGCTGTGCTTCGAGAAGACCCTCTGGGCGCCCGTGGCCATGCTCGCTATCCTCAAAACCGGAGCCTCATTCGTGCCGCTAGATGAGGCTACGCCTGCGAAGCGACTGGAGGTTATAATCAAGGCAACTAAGGCTCGAGTCTTCGTTGTTTCCCCTGAAACGCGAAGCAAGATGGCAGCGAACGGTATCTCTGACGTTCGGTTTGTTTCAGTCTCCGAGGAGCTCATGTCGACACTGCAGGACCTCAAGGCTCCGGAAGTGCCTGCTAATCCTACAGGTGTGGCTTATGTGATTTTCACATCTGGTTCTACAGGCGTTCCGAAAGGCGTGATGATTGAGCACCGATCTTACTGCACAAGCGCTGAAGCGCACGGAAAGGCCACCCTTATGGATGAGAACACTCGAGCTCTTCAATTCTCTTCTTATGCCTTCGATGCCGCTCTTCACGAGGTCTTGACGACGATTATGTTTGGCGGTACGATTTGCATACCCAGTGAAGAGGATCGTCTCAATAATATGCCTGACTTTGTTCGGAGCAGAGGGGTCAACTGGGTCATCCTCACACCCTCGGTAATTCGCCAGTATTCTCCATCGCAGATGCCAGGGCTAAAGACTGTTGTGCTGGTCGGTGAGGCCATGGGCGAAGATGAGTTGCAGTGGTCTAGCATTGCCACACTGATCAACGCATACGGACCAAGCGAGTGCACCGTGGCAACGACCGCGAACGCAGAGGTGATCAAAAGAGGAAACCCCCGCAACATTGGTCGACCCATCGGTTGTATCGGATGGGTAGCCCATGAGGAGGATCCAGAGAAGCCTGCTCTGGTAGGCACTGCCGGCGAGCTGCTTGTTCAGGGGCCAACTCTGGCCAGGGGCTATCTCAATGATGTAGAGAAGACGGCGAGTGCGTTCGTCAATAGGCCTCGTTGGATAGCCGATCTTCAAGACGTCGACAAAGCATGGGACAGAGTATATCGTACGGGCGACTTGGTTCGATACGAAACCGATGGCTCACTCGTATACGTCGGCCGTAAAGACACACAGGTCAAGGTAAGAGGCCAGCGCGTGGAGCTTGCCGAAATTGAACATCATCTCGAAGCAGATGAGCGTGTCGACATAGGAGTGGTTCTCCTGCCGAAGAAGGGTCAGCTTACAGGCAAGGTGACGACCGTACTGTCTCTCGCTACATGCGAAGAAGAACAGGAACAACCCAACAAGATCACAACCCAGGACGAATCACATGATGCATCCGAGAAGAACGGCCTCACTCTGCTCGAGGTGCAAGGAACGAAGGGCGCGAAAGAGTCCCGGGCCGCCACGCTCAAGGTACGGGAAGGGATCGCTGGCAAGTTACCCTCCTTCATGGTGCCCACTGCCTGGCTAGTGGTTCGTTCCATACCTTTAAACACTTCCGGCAAGCTGGACCGAGCTCGGATCTCCCGCTGGGTGGACGAGTTGCAGGAAGAGGATGCGAGGACCGCGATTATCAACGACAACGTCGACCCCGAGGACCCTGCTGGACATGCAGTCACACAGATCGAGAAAACACTTCAACAGATGTGCGCCGAGATTTTAGCGTTGCGTGTCGAGCAGGTATTCATGGCGAAGTCGTTCCTCGGTCTCGGCGGCGATTCAATTACTGCGATACAGCTGGTCTCACGTTGCCGGGCACAGTCACTAGGCATTTCTGTCAAGGATATCCTCAACAGCCGATCGCTCTCGCAGTTGTCATTGCATGTCAAGACTCTCACTGAGTCTAGGGTGCCGCGCGACGAACCTTTTGGCAAGCCATTCGCGCTGTCGCCTATGCAGCAGCACTTCTTCGGAATCAATGATGGCGGCAAAACAACTGCCTCAGGGAGGTTCAACCAAAGCTTCCTCTTGCGCCTCACGCGACATAAAGAGGCTAGAGATGTGGCAGGATCAGTCGAGGCATTGGTCAGCTATCACTCAATGTTGCGTTCTCGATTCAGTGCCAGCGAGATCGCTGAAGAAAGCCCCCAAGCGTGGACTCAGATGGTCTTGCCTGAGGTACAAGGCACCTTTGCTTTCAATGTGCATCGTGTTGCTGAGACTTCGCAAATGGCTCCGATCATAGCTGAGACGCAGTCGCACATCGACATTGAGAACGGCCCGATTTTTGCAGTTGACCTCTTCGAAACTAAACAAGACATACAACTCGAGGGACACACTTCGCAGCAGTGGCTTTTCCTTGTCGCCCATCACCTCGCCCTTGACATGGTCTCTTGGCGTGTACTCCTACAACAGCTCGAGGAGCTTTTGGAGTCCGACAGGCTTTTGGCAGATCGACCAATCCCTTTCCAGGTCCTAACGAATATGCAAAAGGACTATGCTGTTGAGAACCTGGCTCCCGAAGATGCGATTCCATTCACTCTGCTGCCACCGGACCTGGATTTCTGGGGAATGCAAGGCAGACGAAACACTTGGGGTGACGCGGCTATCCTCGACTTCAAAATGGATAAGGAGGTAACTGAGCTGCTGCTTGGAGATTGCAACGCTCCGTTCAACACTGAACCTGTCGATCTCTTGATAGCTGGGCTTCTGTTCTCTTTCCAAAGAGTATTTACGGAACGTGAAACATCGCTCCCAACGCTTTTCAACGAAGGCCATGGTCGAGAGGTATGGGACCAGGAAGTCGATGCGTCTGGCACCGTCGGATGGTTCACGACGATGCGTCCTGTGGCATTGACCATTGCCGGACAGGGCGAAGATACCATTATTGAGGCATTGCGACGAGTCAAAGACATGAGATGCCAGACACCCAGAAACGGCTGGGACTACTTCGCAAGCAGATACATGCACCCTCGTGGCCGGGAGGCATTTGGTCCAGCCGGCGTGGTTGAGATCATGTTCAACTATATGGGGCGTTTCCAACAGCTCGAACGTGAGGATGCACTTCTTCAGCCTGTTGCACGTGTGGGCGATTTCGAACGAGCCGACATGGGTCCCGATGCACCTCGTCTAGGAATCTTCGATGTCTCAGCATCGGTAGAGGACGGTCGCGCCGCCCTCAGCATTGTATACAATAAGACGGCTCGCCACTTCCCACGTGTTGTCAAGTGGGCTCAAGAGTACGAAAGGACACTATTGACGATGGCCCAGCTCCTCCCGAACCGTCCTCGCGAATACACAATTAGCGACCTGCCGTTGCTCAAGCTGTCCGATGCTGGTCTTCGCCGGTTAGTCCAGGAACGGCTGCCAGCAATTGGAGTCACAGAAATCGACAACATCGAGGACATCTATCCATGTTCTCCGGTACAGCACGGCATCCTAATGAGCCAGGCTAAGAATCAAGGCCAGTACCAGACCAAGTTCTCGTTCGAAGTCACCAGCGCTACTGGAAAGGTTGATGTGGCTAGGCTTGAGCGGTCTTGGCTGGCCACGGTGAAGCGCCACCCGATGCTACGGACTCTCTTCGTCGATGGAGCGACCGCAGACGGATACTTTTCCCAAGTAGTGCTCAAAGAGGTTGAGGCCACTGTGAGGCGGTCTTCGAGTCCCATCCTAAATGGAGCAAGCCATCATATGGAGAGTGAAGATGGCAGCTCTCAACACAGTCCATCTCGATCAAACCACCGATTCTGGATCAACGAGGGCGAGGATGGTCGGGTTATCTGTCAGCTGGACATCAGCCATGCTATGATCGACGGCGCTTCGCTACCTGTCCTGTTCAAAGACCTTGCCAGAGGATATCAAGGCGACCTTCCGGCCAATCACGGAGCTCTCTACCGCAACTTCATTGAGTACCTATCCATTAAAGGTGCTGAGTCCGCCACAACATTTTGGAACGAACGGCTCGCTGGGCTTGAACCATGTCTTTTCCCCTGCCTAAAGGATGTCCAGTCAGACAAGGCAGTATCTGCGGGTGAGCAGCATGAGTTGCGCACAATCCATCTGGATATGAATGGCATCGCGACCCAAGTCTGGGAATTCTGCACCGCTAACGATTTCACCGTCTCAAACATTGTACACGCCGCGTGGGCTGTCATTCTCCGCCTCTACACGGGCTCAGAGGATGTCTGCTTTGGCTACTTAACCTCAGGTCGTGACGTACCTGTACCTGAAGTTGAGAGCACTGTAGGACCATTCATCAACATGCTGACAGCTCGTCTTGCCGTTCAGCCTGGTGCTACTCTGAACAGCATTGCGGCGGCGAGCAAACAATCCCACGTCCAAGCACTTCCGCATCAGACCTGCGCCTTAGCCGATGTGCAGCATGGCCTCGGCCTGGCAGGACGGGCTCTCTTCAACACGGCCATTTCTCTGCAAGCCCGTCTCGTCGAAAATGAATCTCAACAGTCGGAACTTAGCTTCAAAAGCATTTGCGGTCATGACCCAACGGAGGTACGTTTGCATTCACGCCCTTACGCAAAAGAAGTCAAGGCGCACTGACACATCGCATAGTATGACATTACCCTGAACATTGGCGTGCAACCTGGGGCCCTTTCCGGAAATATCAAGTATTGGGCTTCCACCATGGCGGAGAGCCAGGCTACTAGCATGGTCGAAGCATTCCTGACCGTTTTGCGTGCAGGCGTAACTAACCCAGACTGCGACATTGCTATGCTTGACAAGATAGGGGATCAGGACAAGAGCCTGGTCAAGTCGTGGAACAGCAATCTACCCATTCAGGTTGATGAATGCGTTCACCAACGAATCGAGGCTCGGACTATTCAAAGTCCGGATGCTGAGGCCGTCTGCGCATGGGACGGCGAGCTTACATACGCCCAATTAGAGCACTGGTCTTCTCGTCTCGCCCGCCATCTCGTTAATCTCGGCGTCGGCCCAGAGGTTTCCGTCCTGGTGTGTCTTGAAAGGTCATTATGGACGCCAGTGGCTGTATTAGCAGTCCTCAAGGCCGGTGGCGTGTTCGTCCCGTTAGACCCAAAACTTCCCCAAAAGCGAATGCAGGACATTGCCAAGCGAGCAGGCGCCCGTCTCGGCTTGACAGATGAGGCCACAGGTCCCAAGGTTTCCATGTCTGTTGAAACCTCTCTACTCTTATCCTGGCACTCGGTGGCTGGATTGCCCCTTGGCGATGAAGCCTCTGGGCCAATGCCTTCTGTCAAGCCAACGAACGCTGCATATATCATCTTCACATCAGGAAGCACCGGTGTTCCAAAAGGCGTTGTTATAGAGCATGCCACAGTCAGCTCAAGCGCTTTAGCACATGCTACCTCTATGGAGATTACATCCGAATCTCGGGTTTTCCACTTCTCATCTCTAGCGTTTGATGCTAGTATCGTAGAGATTCTGACCACACTTACAAGTGGAGGGTGTATCTGTATTCCCTCAGAAACTGAAAGACTGAGCAGCACAGTCGCGAGTATGAGAAGACTAAGTGTCAATTGGACCTTCCTCACTCCATCTCTCGCGGCAACAATTAAACCACCGGATGTGCCCACTTTGCGCACACTCGTGTTAGGCGGAGAAGCTATGACGGCAAGGAACGTTGAGGATTGGGCTTCGGTGGTCTCGCTACGCAATGGCTATGGACCGACAGAAACCTGCGTTTTCTGCGTTTCAACCAGGATGCAGCCATCAGCTTCTCCAACGACTATCGGCCGTGCTATTGGCAGTGTATCATGGATTGCCGACATGGATGGCCCCGGCTCTCTAGTCCCAGTCGGTGCTATTGGAGAGCTGTTGATTCAAGGGCCAATTGTCGGTCGTGGGTACCTGGATGACAACGAGGCGACAGCAACAGCATTCTTGCAAGCCAGTGTACTGTCAAATATGGACGAGTCGCATGCCATCACTAACCGGGTCTATCGAACAGGTGATCTCGTTCGATACCGAGAAGACGGATCCATTATATATGTGGGACGCAAAGGAAACCAGGTGAAGCTTCGAGGACAGCGAATCGAGCTTGATGAAGTCGCCCACAAGGTGGAGGAGCTGTGGGATGGCACAGGCCCTATCGGGCGCGCTGTCGCCCAGGTCATCACCCCCTCAAGTCGCTCAAACACCCAGATCCTGGTCGCATTTGTCCAAGTGCACTTGAACAGAGAACAAGAAGGAAGGCAGGGATCTGACGATTGGGTTGCTGACCTCTGGCCAACCTACCATGATGAAATCGCAAGGCTGCAGATCCGAATGGCAAACGATCTTCCGCAATACATGATACCACAGGTTGTTATCCCTGTTCACTCCTATCCGATAACAGCGAATGGAAAGCTCGACTACCGTGCTCTACGAGACCGGGGTAACAGCCTCAATGCTGAGGAGCTTGCAGCTTACAGTCGTCGTGTTGGAGACGGCAAACGTGAACCATCGACAAACACAGAGCGACAGATCCAGAGGCTTTGGGAGGCGACCCTTCAACTGCCTTCGAACTCTGTAGGATTAGATGATCACTTCTTCCAACTGGGTGGCGATTCCGTTGACGCAATGCGTCTGGTAGCGTCTGCAGCCGAGACAGGAATCGCCCTGACCGTCGCCCAGGTATTCCGTATGCCACGGCTTCACCAGCTGGCTCAAGCGTATGATGAGTCGGACGCTGTGCCTTCTCTAGTTACAGACGCAGTAGAACCCTTTGCCCTGCTTGGGGTAGTAGAAGATGACGAACGTGCCGTTCTTGTGGCTGAGGCAGCCCAGCAGTGCGGTGTACCGGTTGAGTCGGTAGAAGACATGTACCCGTGTACTCCCTTGCAGGAGGGTCTGATGGCTCTCGCCGAAAAGGAGCCTGGCTCTTACACGGCCCAGCACGTCTTCCGTCTAAGCCCAGGGGCTGACCCGGAGAGAGTCAAGGCGGCTTGGATGCAATGTGAGGCCTCTTGTGAGATTCTGCGTACAAGGATCGTGTACGTGGAAGGCTGTGGCCAATTCCAAGTGGTGTTATCACCAGAAGATCCATCGTGGCAAGAGCAACAGGAGCTGCAGACATACTTGCAAGGAGACAAGAAGAAGTCCCTAGGCTACGGGACGCCATTAAGCCGAGTTGCGATCGTCTCTGAAACCGGGGACAACTTCTTCGTGTGGACTGCCCAGCATGCTGTCTACGATGGGTGGTCTTTCAAACTCGTACAGCAGCGACTTGAGGAAGCCTACAAGAACGCCCCATTGGAGCCGCTAGTCCCCTTTTCACGCTTCATCAGTCACATCACAAGAACTGAAGGTGATGTTGCGTCTAAGGGTCAAGATTTCTGGCTTCAACAGCTCGAGGGTTGGAGCGGTGCAACCTTCCCGTCGCTGCCATCGGCGACATACCAACCACGGACTAATCAATCAGTACGACATGAGGTCCCCGTGAGAGATTGCATTATCCCTGGCATCACTCAGGCCTCAGTCCTAAGGACGGCTTGGGCAATCGTCTTGTCACGCCAGACAGGGTCGGATGACGTTGTCTTTGGTTCAGCAATCAGTGGACGTAACGCGCCGGTCCCAGGTATCTCTAGAATTGCCGGACCAACAATTACCACGGTTCCGTTCCGCATACACGTCGAACAGAACATTTCTCTCGCAGATTTTCTGAAGCAGGTCCAAGGGCTCGCTACGGAGACGATCCCTTTTGAACAAGCTGGCCTACAGCGCATCCAGTCACTCAGCACAGACGCGAAAGAGGCATGCCGATTCCAGAACTTGCTCGCAATTCAGCCAGCTGATAAGAATGACGACGGCGACACACAAGATGCGGCTTTGATACCGAATTTCGATGCCGCCGACCTGTCCGGTTTCCATACCTATGGCTTGGTGGTGGAGGCTCGACAAAGACATGCCATGATCGAGTTCGATGCTCAGTACGATGAAGCTGTTCTATCGAATTGGGAGGTAAAGCAGCTACTGGATCAGCTCGTTCATGTTATCCGTCAGATGGCGGGTGGTGAAGCCGAGGCTTCGATTCGCGACATGGACACTTTCACTCCTGAAGACGCACAGCTTGTGCACCAATGGAACACAACTCTTGAGCCGCGGTCCCTGGAGGTGTGCGTTCACGACTTAATTAGAGAGCAGGTCACAGCACGTCCGGAAGCAGAGGCCGTCACGACGAAGGATGCCACGCTGACCTATGGCCAATTGGACGAGCTCTCCAGCCGATTGGCCGCTCACCTCATCAATCTTGGTGTTACGACCGGTTCATTAATTCCTCTCTGTTTCGAGAGATCTCAATGGGTAGTGGTATCTATGCTAGCAGTTCTCAAGGCCGGTGCAGCTTTCGTACCGCTTGACTCTGCGGTTCCTCTTAGGCGTTTAGAGCAGATCGTCGATGCGACTGGTTCTTGGCTCGCCCTAGGGAGCCCCAACAAGCGGGAGCTGTTGACGAGTGCCATCCGTGTTGTGGTTGATGTGTCGAACGAGGCGGTAAAAGAGTGGCCATCAGCCACTGATTCGACTACATTGCTCTCAGCTACGCTGCTTTCAACACCATCAGACGTTGCGTACGTTATGTTCACCTCAGGAAGCACCGGAAAACCTAAAGGTGTGGTGATGGAGCATCAAGCGGCTAGTTCAAGTCTGAAAGCCCACGGAGAGACTATGCATTTCGGACCTGACACCAGGGCATTGAACTTTGCCTCTTTCGCCTTCGATGCAAGCATCACAGAGATACTGACAACGCTTGTTCACGGAGGATGTGTCTGCATCCCGTACGAGGAGGAGCGGTTAAGCCATCTCGTTGAGACCATCAACTCCTTCCAGGTCAACTGGGCCCTCTTTACACCATCTGTGGTCACCCTCCTGGTCCCTCAAGAGGTTCCCAGCCTCAAAACGTTACTTCTCGGTGGAGAAGAGGTTAAGAAGGATAATATTGAAGTTTGGGCCGACCACGTGAATCTGGTCAACGCTTATGGCCCTACAGAGGCCTGCGTTATGTGCGTTTCAACGCCTCTCAAGCGCACACATGGGCGGTCAGATACCATTGGGAAGGCTCTCGGATCGAAAGCCTGGGTCGTCAATTTGGGCAACGACACACAACTAGCCCCAATTGGGAGCGTTGGTGAGTTGTGGATAGAGAGCCCGCAGCTTGCTCGTGAATATCTTGGAAATCCAGAGGCTACAGCCAAGGCCTTTGTGACAGATCCTCTGTTCTTGCGCGGATCTGGAAGAGGCCGACGACTGTATCGCACAGGAGACCTGGTTCGGTATAACGGTGATGGGTCCTTGAGGTATGTCGGTCGCAAAGATGCCCAGGTTAAGGTACGAGGACAACGTGTAGAGCTCGCCGAAATTGAGCATCACTTGTGTGCGCGAGACGAAGTGGCCACGGGCATGGTCCTCTTCCCCAAAACTGGTCCACTCAAGGGCAAGGTGACAGCCGTCATCTCCTTGAATCTCAACAGTCACAGCGATCAGGAATCAGGCAATGGCCTGAGTCTGCTTGAAGGGAAGAGACTCTCAGAAGGCCAAGGCTTAGCGCTACAGATAAGTCTCGCTCTTGAAAGCCTTCTGCCATCGTTCATGGTCCCCGCAGCTTGGCTTGTGGTGGAAGCTGTCCCATTGACTACATCTGGCAAAAAGGATCGGCTCCAAATCTCAAACTGGGTGGCTGGTCTGGATCAGTCTACGGCACAAGCCTCACTCCTCGGGTCAGAGGATGGCTCAAGCCCGGGTGACAAGAGAGCGACAGCGAATGCGGCAACAGCAGCTGAGCAAATACTGCTGCAGGGTTGTACCGAGGTCCTTAATCTCGCGAGCGACAAGGTCTCGATGTCACGGTCCTTTTTGAGTCAAGGCGGCGATTCAATTACAGCAATGCAGCTCGCTTCAAAATGCCGGACAAGAGGTATGCGTGTAAGCGTACAGAATATCCTACGCAGCCAAACACTGTCACAGCTGGCTATGCATATGGGCGTAGTTGAGGATTCCCATGTGCCGCGAGACGAGGCGTTCAATGAGGCGTTTGACCTATCCCCGATACAACAGTTGTATCTCGGACTCAGCGAAGAGTCAATCTGCGAGCGATTCAACCAAAGCTTCTTCGTTCGTTTAACCCGAAGAAAGGAGACACACAAAGTAGCACATGCTGTGGACGCTTTGGTCAGGCAGCATTCCATGCTACGTGCGCGGTTCAGCAAAAACAGCTCTGGTCAGTGGCAGCAGACGATTACGACCGAGGTGCAGACATCTTCTGCATTCACCTGCCATGACGTGCCACAGGACGACGCTACGACAGATCATATACGGTCCATCATCCAAGCCAGCCAGTCTCGCGTCAACCCCCAAACAGGACCTCTCTTTGTAGTTGACCTCATCAACATCAACGGCGTTGACGATCCGGCCACAGATGGTGACTGTGCGTCTTACCAAGTTCTCTCTCTGATCGCGCACCATCTAGTCGTCGATCTTGTCTCCTGGAGAGTCATTCTGCAGCAGCTTGAGGACCTATGTGAGACCGGCAAGTTATCGGTCGACCGTCCGGTTCCCTTCCAGGTCTGGAACAATCTACAAAGGCAACATGTCGAAGGCTTAACCCCCGAGTCAACCCTCCCGTTCACGTTGCCGCCTTGCGATTTGGAGTTCTGGGGGCTGCAAGACCAACGGAATGTATGGGGGGATGTACAATCTGTCAGCTTCAGCCTTGGTCCGGCCGTCACAGAGCTTCTCCTTGGCAACTGCAACAACGCATTCAACACTGAGCCAATCGATCTGTTCACGGCTGCTCTGTTGCGATCCTTCCAAGAGACGTTCCCAGATAGGGATACGTTACCTACTGTCTTCAACGAGGGCCACGGCCGAGAGACGTGGGATCCAGCTATTGATCTCGCAGGAACAGTGGGCTGGTTCACCGCAATGAGGCCCGTGGCTGGGGCCTCAGAGACAGCAAATGACCTGATTGCACTGTTGTGCAAGGTAAAGGACATTCGCCATACAACACCGAGCAATGGCTGGGCGTATTTCACAAGCCGATTTCTACACCCACGTGGTGTTGAGGCGTTTGGCGGAGCGCGAAGGCTAGTAGAAATTGTCTTCAACTATCTCGGACGATTCCAGCAATTGGAGCGTGATGATTCCCTCTTCAGAGAGGAAGCGCGAGTTAGCAGCCCCGAGGTTTCTGATATGGGCGCCACCACACCTCGTATGAGTGCTCTCGACGTTTCTGCGCTAGTCACTGAGGGCCGTACGAACCTCAGCATCTCGTATAACAAGCATGCCCGCCATGGCGATCGCATTTCTATCTGGGCCAGAAATTTCGAGAAAGCCCTGACTACGCTGTCAGAGGTGCTTCCTACCCAGAAGCGTCAATACACCATCAGCGATCTGCCTCTTCTCAACCTCACAGCAGTTGGATTGAAGCGCCTAGCCGAGATCAGACTTCCGGGGATCGGCATAGAGAACCTTGACAGTGTTGAGGATGTATACCCATGCTCGCCAGTGCAACAGGGTATTTTGGTTAGCCAGTCTAAGACGGCTGGCCACTATGATACGCAGTTCGCTTTCGAAATATACAGCAAGTCTGGGGTAGACCTTGGTAAGATTCGAGCATCCTGGCAAGCTGTTGTAAATCGACACTCAATCCTACGGACTGTCTTCATTGACGGCGTCTCACCTGACGGTACCTTCGCACAGGTTGTGCTCAGGCATGTGAGCGCGAATGTGGTGGAGGAAGCAGCTGGAGACGACAAAATCCTAGAGCATGGAGATGAAGTAATGTCAGCCCGTGTGGCTCAGCCAGCACATCGACTGGTTGTTTATAGGTCAGATGAAGGCAACATGCAATGCCGGCTCGAGATCAACCATGCTCTCGTTGACGGTGCTTCCATGACCATCCTCCTCCATGATCTTGCACTCGCCTGCTCTGACAGCCTTCCACAAGATAGTGGATCAGCGTACCGCGACTACATCTCCTATCTTACGGCACACGACCCCGTCTCCTCTCAAGAGTACTGGGCTAAATCCCTCGCTGGACTTGAGCCGTGTCACTTTCCTCGCTTGGCTGAGGCAGTAAAGACAAACAACGCAACAGAGACACAGTTACACACCGTTAACCTCGATAGCAGCGATCTTTCTGGCGCTATTCAGGCATTCTGCTTAGCCAACGATGCGACAGTCTCGAATGTTATTCATGCAGCGTGGGCGATGGTTCTTCGCACCTATACAGGCTCAAAGGACGTCTGCTTCGGGTACCTTACCTCTGGCCGCAACATCCCAGTGAATGGGGTTGACAAGATCGTCGGTCCGTTTATGAACATGGTGACAGCCCGGCTCCCGGTTGAGGCCGGCACTACGATGCGCGCATTGGTAAGCCAGAGCAAGGAGAATTTTATGTCTGCTCTTCCACACCAGAGTTGTTCGCTGGCTCAGATTCAGCACGAATTAGGGCTTAATGGTCAAGCATTGTTTAACACGGCAATCTCGATTCAGTCACATGACGTCGGTAGCGAATCTCAGGACCAAGATGTCTATTGCCGGAGTACAGGAGGTTACGATCCGACGGAGGTATGTACATGTCAGTGAGGCCATGGCGGATTTCATACTAACAGTGCATACGCAGTTCGACATTACGGTCAATATCGGTGTCGCTGCCGGCTCCGTCTCTGGCAACATCAAGTTTTGGACCTCTGTAATGTCGGACAACCAAGCCGCCAGCCTAGCAGACCACTTCGTTACAGTATTACGCAACGCAACTGCTAGCCCAGATCAAGACATCACCGCCATAGAGAAGATCGGCACCGGCGATAAGGTAGTTATAGCTTCCTGGAACCAACGAATCCCCGAACACGTACAAGGGTGTGTTCATCAGCAAATCGAAATACACGCAACAGTGAGTCCTGACTCCGAAGCCGTCTGCGCATGGGACGGTTCTCTCACCTACGCACGCCTGGACAATCTTGCTACTCGTTTGGCCCATCGCTTGATCGAACTCAACGTTGGCCCGGAGGTGGCCGTCATGATCTGCTTGGAAAGATCCCTGTGGGTGCCGGTGGCTATACTGGCCGTGCTCAAGGCCGGTGGTGTATTTGTTCCGTTGGATCCCGATGTACCCTTGAAGAGAATGCAAGAAATCGCGAAGAGGGCTGGCATCACCGTTGGTCTCGCCGACAGCTCCACTAGGCCGAAGGTTGCCTCGTCCGTTGACACAGCCCTGAGCCTGACAGAAGAGGTTTTATCTTCTGTTGAATCACCCATCGTGACCGATGTGAAGCCCACAAATGCGGCCTACATGATCTTCACGTCTGGTAGCACAGGTGTTCCGAAGGGTGTTGTTATTGAGCATTACAACATCGCCTCAAGCGCTATGGCCCAAGGCAAGGCCAAAGATATCGGACCAGACTCAAGGGTCTTCCACTTTACCTCTTTGTCCTTCGACGTCTCCTTGGCTGAGATCATCACCACCTTAACATGCGGTGGATGCATTTGCATACCTCCAGAGACAAGAAACCTCCCTAGCATAGCCAACGCTGTCGCTGACCTACGGGCCAATTGGGCTTTTTTCACTCCCTCCGTTGTGGCGACATTGAAGCCCGAGGACTTCGGTTCCCTCAAGACATTGGCGGTAGGAGGAGAGGCTATAACAGCCAAGATTGTGGAGGAATGGGGTTCAAAGGGCTTCTCTCTCATCAACTCCTATGGACCAACCGAGACGTGCATTTTCTGCATGTCAAATAAAATCGAGTCTTCCTCGGATTCCTCGACATCAATCGGCCGGTCGATCGGAAGTGTAGCATGGGTTGGCGATACCGACAATGCTGCTTCGTTGGTCCCCATTGGAGCGATAGGAGAGCTCTTGATCCAGGGTCCTATCGTCGGACGCGGCTACTTGGGTGACAGCGAGACCACTTCCAACGCCTTCTTGAGCGCTACAACTATCCCAGAGATTGGACAGCCAGCTCTTCCCTATCGTGTATACCGGACTGGAGATCTTGTTCGGTATCGAGGAGACGGCACAATTACGTACTTGGGCCGCAAGGGAAGCCAGGTCAAGTTACGAGGGCAGCGTCTCGAGCTTCAAGAGGTGGCAAGTCAGATTGAGACTTTGTGGATCAGGGCTATTCGTGCTGTTCCCGATGTTATTGCACCGTCTGATCGTCCAGATCATCCTCTCTTGGTTGCCTTTGTTGCGGTTGATGTCCCAGGCGACAAGGATACAACTGAGGGCAAGGTGACCCAACCTGTTGTTTCTTCAGGTCCTGCATGGCTGGCCCCATTGTGGCCTGACTTCCACGAAGAAACGGCTAGGCTTCAAGCAGAGATGGCAGAGGTGGTACCTCGGTACATGATTCCCCAGGCTTTCATCCCAGTGCAATGGCACCCACTCTCTGCTGCAGGTAAGCTCGACAACCGCAGTTTACGAGCTTGGGCAACAGGCCTTACCGCTGAAGCTCTCGCAAGCTACGGCCGGTCAAAGGTCACGAGACGTGAGCCTGTTTCTGAGGCAGAGAAGGTCATGCAGGGCTTGTGGGAAGCCGTGCTGCAGCTCAAACCGGGCTCAGTCGGTGCTGATGACGATTTCTTCCAGCTTGGTGGCGACTCCGTTGACGCTATGAGGCTAGTTGCGGCTGCAGGAGACGTTGGTCTGACACTGACAGTCGGTTTAATCTTCCGTGTGTCGCAGCTATCGAAGCTAGCTCACGAGGTTGAGGTTGGAGGCGGAGCCTCGAAAGACGCCGCGCCGGACACCATCGAACCCTTTGCGTTGCTGGAGGGCGCTGATGACCGTGACGACCTGATCACACAGGCAGCACTTCAGAGTTCTGTGAGCCCTGAATCAATCCAGGATGTTCTTCCATGCACACCGCTTCAGGAGGGTCTGATGGTTCTCGGTGCCAAAGAGCCTGGAGCTTACATGGCGCAGCATATCTTCCGAGTTGAGGCGAACGTTGACATAAGCCGACTCAAGGCAGCATGGAATGCTGCAGTGGCAGAGTCTGACATTCTTCGAACGCGAATCGTCTATCTTGACGGTCATGAATCGCTCCAAGTGGTGGTGGATGAGGAGGTCACGTGGCACGAGGAGGAGGGCGATCTTTCTGACTACCTCACACGCGACAAGCTTATCCCCATGGACTATGGCGACACTCTGAGTCGCTTAGCTCTTGTCACTAATGCCGAGGATCACGAGTCAAAGTTCCTCGTGTGGACCGCCCAGCATGCTATCTATGATGGCTGGACCGTTGGACTGCTTATTCGCAGGATCGAGGAAGCCTATCACCAGGGTCCAGCCGACCACAGATCAACGTCGCCAGCTATGGTGCCTTTCTCCCGCTTCATCAAGCATATTTCGACCACCGATCAGCTCAAAAGCGATCACTACTGGTGTCAACAGTTGAACGGTTGGAATGGTGCACCCTTCCCCAAAGTTCCTTCAGACAACTACCAAGCCAGCACGAACCAGACTGCCCAGCACAGCTACCATTTGCCCAAGTCATCCGTGTCCGGGATCACATATGCTGCAATACTTCGTGCAGGGTGGGCCACGACTCTTTCGCGTTATACTGGCTCAGAGGATGTAGTCTTCGGCTCAGTCCTTTCTGGACGCAATGCGCCTGTCCCAGGGATCGACCGGATGATGGGCCCGACGATTACAACTGTGCCGTTGCGTATCCATGTTGATTCTCATTCGTCTATTTCTGGCCTTCTGCGACAGATTCAGCAGTCATCAACGGACATGATCCCATTCGAACAAGCCGGTCTGTACCGTATTCGATCCCTCTGCGAGGATGCGCAAGAGGCATGTCGATTCCAAAGCCTGTTGGCCGTCCACCCTACGCGGAAGTCCACCGGCGACATCGACGAGAATGGTGTGCTTGTGGCACATGGCACCACAGCCGGCGTGACTGGGTTTCATACCTACCCGTTGGTTGTGGAGTGTCGTTTGGAAGAGGGCACAGGAGAGGTTTTGCTCGAGGCGCAGTACGATGACGCTATCCTATCAGACTGGGAGGTGTCTCAGATACTCCAACAGTTTGCTTTCACAACCCAAAAGCTAGCTCAAGGCTCCGAAGTGCCAATCGGTAGGACGGATCTTCTCAGCCCGCAAGATGCTGCTCTCCTCCAAGGATGGAATGCCTCGCCTCCGGAACCAGTCAGGCAATGCATTCATGGAATGATCCAGAAAGAGGCCCAGGCCCACCCAGGCACTGTGGCTATATCTGCCTGGGACGGAGATCTCACCTATCACGAGCTGGATGCCCTTTCAGCTCGCCTCGCAACTCATCTCTCAGGTCTCGGCGTTGGCGTGGGATCCAATGTACCACTGTGCATCGAGCGATCGAAATGGGCTGTTATCGCTATTCTGGGCGTTCTCAGAGCTGGAGGCGCATTTGTTCCTCTCGATTCTGAAGCCCCGATTGGTCGTGTGCAACAAGTGGTTGAGGCGACCGGTGCGAAGTGCGCTCTGGGCAGTTCAGGCAGATGCAGCCTTCTAGCAGGCGCTTTTGAGAGGGTCATAGAAGTCTCTGATGCCGCTGCTTCTCTGTGGCAATCTACAGAGTGCATCTTCCCTTGCATCAACGCAACAGAAGTAGCGTATATCATGTTCACCTCTGGCAGCACAGGAAAGCCTAAAGGTGTTGTGATGAGCCACCAAGCGGCAAGCACTAGCATCAAGGCCCATGGCAAAGCGATGCACTTTAGTCCCAGCACTCGAGCTCTACATTTCGCCTCACTGGCCTTCGACGCTAGTATAGCAGAGATTCTGACCACTCTAGCACACGGCGGCTGCGTTTGTGTTCCAGATGAAGAGCAAAGACTTAGCAACATCGTCGAAGCAATCCGTCAGTACCGCGTCAACTGGGCCTTCTTCACCCCGTCAGTCATTAGCCTTATCAGCCCTAGTCAGGTGGCTCCCTATCTCAAAACACTGGTCCTGGGCGGTGAGGCAGTCAAGAGGGACAATGTCAAGACCTGGGCGGATCAGCTCAATCTCGTCAACGGCTATGGACCGACCGAAGCTTGCGTGTTCTGCGTGACAACTCCTCTTGAACTCCAGTCACGGGCAGATACTATCGGAAAGGCTGTCGGGTCACTGTCATGGGTAGTCAGCCTTACCAACGAGTCGCATCTGGCAGCAGTAGGTTCGATCGGCGAGCTCTGGATCGAAAGCCCACAGCTTGCCCACGGCTACCTCAACAACAGTTCGGCGACATCTGCATCCTTCGTTGTCGATCCGCCTTTCTTGCAAGGCTCACAAGGACGCCTTCTGTACAAGACGGGTGATCTTGTGCAGTACAACAAGGACGGCACGTTACGGTACGTGGGTCGCCGAGATAGTCAGGTCAAGATCCGGGGCCAACGCTTAGAGCTCGGTGAAATTGAGCACCAGCTCTGTACGCAAGACCTTGTTGAAGCTGGTCTGGTCCTGTTCCCTAAGAAGGGACCATTGAGCGGGAAGCTGACTGCAGTCATCTCGCTCGTTGATGATGGTGCTCAGAGCCATGACGAGCACAGGGTAGGGTCCAAGGAAACAAAGGACGATGAAGGAACAGCGGATAAAGACGGGGCTCTCGACGTCGGGCTCCAGCTCCTCCAAGGTCTTGAGGAAGACGCTGCACGAGCCAAGACGCTGAAGTGCCAACAACAGCTGCTCCACTTGCTGCCATCCTTCATGATACCGGCAGCATGGCTAGTCGTGGGTTCGATCCCACTGACTACTTCGGGCAAACTAGATCGCGTTCGATCCCTTCAGTGGCTCACAGACATGGACCAAGACACAGCGCAGGCATCGCTCCTTACTGCAGGCGCGACCGATGACAACACTCACAACGACAATCCTGCTGCAAATCCAGTCACTTTGATCGAGGAGTCACTGCAACAAATCACAGGCGAGATACTGGGTCTTCCGGCTTCGCAGGTCTCTATGACCAGGTCTTTCCTCAGTCTAGGAGGTGACTCTATTACCGCAATGCAATTGGCATCGCGTTGCCGCACAAAGGGACTACGGGTCACTGTGCAAGAGATCCTTCGTAGCTCAACCTTATCACGACTGGCACTGCTCGTCGGCGTTGTGGAGCAATCGAATGTGCCGCGCAGCGAGCCTTTCGACGCACCCTTCGAATTATCCCCAGTGCAGCAGCTTTACATGGCTCTTTGTAAAGATCAAGATGTCCATGTCGCTAGGTTCAACCAAAGTATCTTCCTTCGAATCCGACGTCGAAAGGAGGCAAGCGATGTTGCTCGTGCTGTGAAGGCTCTCGTCAGCCATCACTCCATGCTGCGTGCGCGATTCCACCTTGATAATAAGGGAGCTTGGACTCAGACGGTGACCGGAGAGATTGAGTCCTCGTTTCTCTTCAACACGCACAGTGTACCCGAAATGCAGAAAGAAGCGGAAGCATTCATCGGACAGAAGATTTCGCATACCCAATCCCAGATCAACCTCAGAGCCGGTGCTGTATTTGCAGTGGATCTTTTCGAACTCCCCGAGAGCATGTCAACCAATGATGGAAGTCAATTGCTGTTCCTGACAGCTCATCATATGGTCGTTGACCTTGTTTCTTGGCGTATTCTCCTCGGTCACCTTGAGGAGCTTCTCGAAACTGGCAAGCTATCTGCAGAGCGGCCGGTCCCCTTCCAGGTATGGAACAAGTTACAACATGACTACTCTCAGGAGAACTTGCAACCCGAGAAGGCGCTGCAGACTACTCTGGCTCCGGCACAACTAGACTACTGGGCACTTCAAGGCCAGAACGTCTGGGGAGACACTGAAGAGACTAGCTTCACACTCAGTAAGGACATCACGGACCTTCTGCTGGGCAATTGCAATATTCCTTTCAACACCGAACCGGTGGACATGTTCACCGCAGCCCTCCTATATGCTTTCAAGCAAACCTTCCAAGATCGAGAGCTGCCAACAGTCTTCAGCGAAGGTCACGGCCGCGAACCCTGGGATTCTAGCATCGACATATCAAGCACAGTTGGCTGGTTCACGACAATGCGTCCTATATCTATACCGACTCTCAAAGAGGACAACTTGATCAAGATTCTGCAGCAGGTCAAGGACGTACGCCGCACGACACCTAGCAACGGCTGGGCATACTTTGCCAGTCGTTTCCTGAACCCTCTTGGCCGTGAAGCTTTCGGGCTTGAGGGCGAGGCCGAGGTCATCTTCAACTTCCTCGGGCGGTTCCAGCAATTTGAGGCCCAAGATTCTCTATTCCAGCAGGAGCCCCGAATTGGTGGCCTTGCAGCTGCTGACATGGGTCCGGATACCCCTCGCATGAGCGTGTTCGATGTGTCCGTTGCTGTGAACAACGGCTGTGCTCACCAGAGCATCTCATACAGCAAAAAGGCTAACCATGTACCTCAGATCATCGAATGGGCTAACAATTACCATCAGGCCTTGGTCAGCCTAGCCGAACTCCTGCCCAGTCGACAAAGGGAATTCACAGTCACCGATCTTCCCCTCTTGAAGCTCACAGAAGAGGACCTCCAGAGACTGGTCGAAGTCAAGTTATCGGATGCAGGTATTCGCATTGAAGATGTCGAGGATATTTACCCTTGTTCTCCGATGCAAAAGGGCATTTTGTTGAGCCAGACCAAGAACGCCAGCCACTACCAGACCGGCTTTGCATTCGAGGCGACGACTACAGACGGCAGCAAAGTCGACACCACCCGACTCGCAAATGCATGGCAGAGAGTGATAGACCGACATGCCATGCTACGCACGATCTTCATCGAACGGGTGACAGCAGATGAGATATTCACACAAGTCGTTCTCAGTCAAAGCAAAGCCAAGGTTGTGATGTCCTCCAACAACAACCTTGCTGACGACAGCTCCAGCGCAATCGCGCAACCAGACCATCTACTATCCATCGCAGAGACGGCAGATGGGCGTGTAGAGTGCCGTCTTGAAATCAATCACGCGCTTGTCGATGGTGCTAGTATGCCGCTTATTTTCAACGACCTTGCGCAAGCCTACGAAGGTCGACTCCCCGCCAGTCACAACGCACTATACCGCGACTACGTCACGTATCTATCGGAGCAGGAGCAAGAGTCTTCGCTCAAATACTGGTCCGAATATTTATCTGGGCTTGAACCCTGCCATTTCCCTCGACTTTCCGAAACCATCAGCGATACTGCAGAGCAGACACCTCAACTACATACAATCGCTCTCGACACCAGGGACGTTGTAGCAGACGTGCAGGCCTTCTGTGTATCCAATGAGGTCACAGTCTCCAACTTGATGCATGCTGCATGGGCGATATTGTTGCGATCTTACACCGGCTCAGAAAACGTCTGTTTCGGCTTCCTAACCTCCGGGCGTGACGTCCCCATCCAGGGCGTCGACGGAGTCGTTGGGCCTTTCATCAATTTACTTACAGCTAGATATGCCGCGGACCCGAGCACGGACGTGAGAACCTTGATTAACGCGAGCAAGTATGCATATTCCAACGGACTACAACACCAGAATTGCTCGCTCGCCAAGGTCCAGCACGAGCTGGGCCTCGCTGGCCAAGCGCTGTTCAATACGGTCATGTCTGTTCAATTCCAACCAGGCGAGAATAATGCACCCAAGCAGCAAGTTATCTCTTTCCGCGGTACCGGGGGCCACGACCCCACTGAGGTAAGCAGGGATCACCACAACGGAGACCTGAAGCAATAGCTAATATCTTGAAGTACGACATTACTGTCAACATTGGTGTTCACGCCGGGATGGTATCTGGAAACATCAAGTACTGGACTTCTGTCCTGCCAGACAGCCAGGCCACAAGCATGGCTGAGTCTTTCGTTGCCATCCTACGCAGCGCTACCCAGAGTCCAGATGAAGCCATCGCGAGGCTTCCCAAGATCGGTCTCTCAGATCAGAAGCTTCTCACGCTGTGGAACCAAACGCTTCCTCGCCGCGAAGACGGACCAATCCACCGGCTCATCGAAGCCAAAGCGTCCGGTAACCCCGAATCGACAGCTGTGTGCTCGTGGGACGGTGACTTGACATACGCCCGGCTCAGCGAGCTATCCTCCCAGCTCGCTCATCATCTCATCAGCCTCGGTGTTGGTCCGGAAATTAAGGTTTTGGTGTGCATGGAGAGATCTTTCTGGACTCCAGTCGCACTGCTCGCGATTCTCAAAGCCGGCGGTGCCTTTGTGCCTCTGGACCCCAAGCTGCCAGAGAAAAGAATGCAGGAGATTGCCCGCCGTGCCGAAGCCACTATTGGTATAGCTGATGGGATTACCAGCCCTAAGGTTATCACTTCAGTCCAGACAGTGTTGCAGCTGTCTCATGAGCTTTTGGCCACCCTTCCTATTCACGATGGAGCTCCAGCAACATCCGCTGTGCAGTCGACGAATACTGCATACATCATTTTCACCTCAGGCAGTACCGGCGTGCCAAAGGGTGTTGTGATTGAACACGCTACTGTTGCCTCGAGCGCGCGAGCGCATGCTCTCTCAATGGGTATCAATGCCGATTCGCGCGTCTTCCATTTTTCGTCTCTCGCATTTGATGCAAGCATAGCAGAGATCCTCACTACCCTAACCCAAGGAGGCTGTATTTGTGTGCCGTCAGAGACTCAACGGCTTAGTAGCACTGCTGCTGCCATGACAGAATTCCGCGCCAATTGGGCATTCTTTACGCCTTCTATGGCGGCAACTCTGGACCCGAAAGCCTTGCCTTACCTCAAGACTCTTGTTCTGGGAGGAGAAGCAGTGACAAACAAGAATATCAAGGACTGGGCCGGAAGTGTGTCGCTGCACAATGGGTACGGTCCTACCGAAACATGCGTGTTCTGCGTTTCAACTGTTCTTGAGCCGTCGGCACATGCACAGCCTGTTCTTGGACGTGCAATCGGCAGCGTGGCATGGGTTTCTGATGTGGAAGATGCGAGTGCTCTGTGTCCTATCGGTGCTATTGGAGAGCTTCTGATTCAAGGACCCATCGTAGGGCGAGGTTATCTCGGGGATGATGAAGCCACAGCCAAGTCCTTCTTACCCCCAACTACGATCCCGTCTATTAGACAGCTTGAGAGCCACGATAGGGTCTACAAGACGGGTGACTTGGTGCGCTTCCGCGAAGACGGTTCACTGATATATGTCGGACGCAAGGGCAGCCAAGTCAAGCTTCGAGGACAACGCATCGAACTTGAGGAGGTGGCGCACCAGATCGAAGCTGTTTGGCCAGATGTCGAACGGACAGTTGCAGAGGTCATCAGGCCAGTTGATCGAAACGAGGCCCAGATGCTCGTTGTTTTCGTACAGGAGCGACAGGCGGCTTTCGGGAATGAGGGGCCTCAACAAGCAGCAGAGCCAGACCAACCAGATTGGCTGACTGGCGTGTCAACTGAATTCGCTCAGCGAGCTACGCAAGTACGAGCGCAGGTGGCCGAGTCGATCCCTCACTACATGATCCCGCAGGTCTTCATCCCCGTACGTCACGTGCCTCTCTCAGTCAACGGCAAGGCCGAGCGAGCCAAACTCCGTGACTGGGCATCCAAGCTCGGGGCAGACAAGTTAGCACAATACGGACAAAAGCAGCGCGCCGAAACCGTCCGCAAGCCGACAACAGACGCCGAGGTCCTCCTGCAGGGCTTCTGGGAGGAGGTTCTCCAACTCCCTGAGGGCTCCGTTGGCGCTGACGACCACTTCTTCCATCTGGGAGCAGACTCGCTGCACGTTCTACTACTGCTTTCGGTGGCCGAAAAGGCGGGCATGTGGGCTACCATGTCGAGTGTTCTGGGGACGCCGGTGTTGAGTGAGATGGCATTGATCTTCCGTAAGCAGGACGATGCTTTGCCAACGGGTGTGGAGGTGAAGCCATTTGAGATGTTTGATGACGATGGAGATTTGGACTTGGAGATGAGCGATGGTGATTTTGAGTTTTAGAGAAAGGTTGAGGGTTGTTCCCTGCTGGGTGAATCTGGGTTGCGATGATCAAGCGTCTTGACGGCGTGGTGGACTATTGGGATCTGGAGCTTGAGGAGTTTTGGCTTTTCCTAACGCAGTTTACGTTCTTTCATTTGTAACCATTTGGCTTGTATACTGAGAGTTGGTGAATTTCGCGAGCAACATAGCAGCTTGAATAACAGATTTTCATTGCAAAATCAAGACATCGAAAGACGACCCAATAGCATAACACGCTTTAAACGCAAACGCGTCCAAGCGCGTGTCCAAATCACGCCATGACTTGGCGCCTTGCACCACGAAAGTATACTGATTCTATCCTAGAATGAATAGATTTTCATATAGGTCTGTGTTGAGTCAGTAATATATGTCGCCTAAAGGGGTGTTTTTGTAATAAATTAAGAAGAACGGCGACGTCTCAACGACTAAGTGAAGATTCCGTGTAAGTGCCATTGTGAACAAATGATTTTTCCTAAGTTAACCCGGGAATTCTATACACAACAACGAATTACTTGTTAATTCTGCCCAATAAGCGCGTAATCTGCCATAAAGAACTTCCATGATTATTATTTACACCTTTTTTAATAGATATTCTTGAGTATTCAGCCAGCAAAGTGGCACTGAAGGCGATTGTTAGGTAGGCGTCGCGGTGGGGCAAATCGCGTTGATCTGTCCAAAGCAAGCGCTTCGCACAGGATTTTCATTAGAATTCTTGGGTACCTAATAAAGGGAGACGGCCAGTGAGTGAGCACATTTGCTGCAAGGTTATTATCCTGCTTGATCTTTCATAAGGTTTAGGGTCAGTTACCTTACCTTAGGCGCAGAGTGGTGGGCCCTCCTGTTGACGTTGACACCCTCTCCATTGATCCTCTTCACCTATCCTTTACTTTCTCTAGGGAGCTGCCATCTATCCATGAGACTGGATGAATCCTGTTCCACACGATACGAACGGAGACTCAGATTACGCTTTAATTCATCAGGTTACTTCATTATGCTCGGCAAACAATCCTACAAACGCCAAAGAAGAACGCCCCAGAAGCAGATTGTGAAAACAGAAAGAGCAGGAGATACATGATCATAAAACTCCAGACACAAGAAATCATCCCTCGCGATGATGTGCCAACAGCATCATCACGCGTCCCGCAAATCAACGTCTCACTCCTCCTTGAGCTCTCCAAGCTCCGTAACCTCATTCCCACGACGCATCACATCAAGAACATTGTCCTCAGTGTGACAGCACATCTGCCGCAAAATGAACTCGAATCGCTTCGCCATCGCTTTACCCATCGCAGGCGCAATAGCATCGTCAAAGAAGCCAATGGAGATGTGGAGCTTCTCTTCGACTTCGAGGATACCAACATTCATGTCATACTGCATTCACACCATCACGGTCAGCTTCATATGGTCTAGACTGGGAAAGATGGTTCGGGGTCTGCATACCTCAGAAAGTCCTTGGCTAAAGACTGGTTCCAGCTTCAGCTTAGGCTCTTCTCCCTCACTGGAGCCCGGGAACTTGGCGTAATTGATTAGTGTGTTGAAAGGCGGCCATTGGATACCCAGGCTCTCTGCCGCATCGACCTGGGGCATGTCCTGGAGTTCCAAGTTGTCCATGGCGTCCTCGCGGACTGCCTCAAGAACGGACCGGAAAGTTGACTCGGCATCCCAGCTCGCAACAGTGGCGAGGATGTTGAAGTAGCCGCCAATGGCACCGCCGAGCCGATGGCTGTTGGCGTGTCGACCGTGTGTCAAGTAGCCGAAGCATACAGACTCAGACTGGAGGGTCCAGCCGACGACCATGGCCCATGCTGCGTGAACAATTTGCTGAATTGTGAAGCCGCTTTGCTCACAAAGCACCTTGAGCTCATCATCGGATTTGAACTCAACGGCCAAGGCGCCTGGTTTCCGAGCGCTGCGATCACCAGAACCCGACCGCGGGACCAAAGATGGGTGCAAGTCCTGCAGATACTTCTGCCAGTGGTGCTTTGCAATTTCACGCCGCTTACCGAAGAGCTGCGCAACATGGTCCGAGAAGGGCGGGCTAGGTGATGGATACTCGGCGGCGCTGTACAGATTGCGGAGTTCGGCCACCAGGTTGGGCCCGGACCAAGCATCGAAGACGGCGTGACTGATATCCATGCTGATCATAACTTCCCCACTGTCCAGCAAGAAGGAGCGGAACAGACAGGACGGTCGATAAAGGAGATACTCCACAGGGTGTTGCTCATTGTAAGCCTCCATGGCGGACTTGTCCGCGACATGGATTCTTTCGAAGGATACAGCGGTACTCTTCAAGAGGATCTGATCATGCTTGCCGTTGTCGTTCCTAACTGTTGGAGCAAATACAGTTCGGAGAGATGGGTGACGTTCCATGAGCTGTGTCCAAACCCATTCAATTCGATCGAGCACCTCGAGAGCGCTCTTGTCGTCCTCCGAGACTTTGAGAATGCTAGACACGGTGTAGCAGTCGGGATACTTCTGCTGATGCATCAAGACCTCGTCCTGGATGGGTGTGCTTGGATAGATATCTTCGATGCCCTCGATTGGAACACCCAAGCAAGGTAGTCGCTCATCAACAAGTTTCTGAAGTGTGGCAGGGGTCAGTTGCATCAGAGGCATGTCGCTAATCGTGTACTCCCGATCACGCTGAGCCAACTGTTCGCTGAGATCTATGAGCGTCGTCTGGTACAGCTGCACCCACTCTGCGATCCGATCTCCAAGATTGATCATCTGAGGGAAGCTGAACGAAATGTCGAGACTATTCGAGTGCACGGAGGCATTAATGTTGAAGATTGCGAGTTGCGAGGCGAGGTCGCCCAGATCCCCGTTCTGCATGTTGTTTGTACCGAATGCTGGTTCAAGCACCGCTGCGCTTGTCAGGGGCTGTGCAGAATCGTCTGTGAAGTTGAACATGATCTCAGCGGTGCTGTACTCGCCAAAGATGTCGCGACCACGAGAATGAAGGAATTGGCTGACAAAGTAGGCCCAGCCGTTGTTCGGTGTCTTGCGTCGGGCATCCTTAGCCAGTCGTAGTGATTGCAGCACATCATCACCCTGTCCCGACGAGACTGTTACTGGTCGCAGAGTGGTAAACCAACCGCATGTACCGGAAAGATCGATATTGTCGTTCCAAGGCTCACGGCCGTGGCTTTCGTGGAAGATTGTTGGTGGCTGCCGCTCAAATGTTTGCCAGAATGAATACACGAGTGCAGCGGTGAGGATGTCAACAGGATCGGAGTTGAAGGCAGTATTACAGACGCCTAGGAGTCGATCGGTAACGTCCTGGTTCAATATGAAACCCTCTTTGACTCTGTCGTTTAAGGAGCCAAGGCGGTCACTAATGTGCCAGAAGTCTGCTCTGGGCGGCTGCAACTCAAATGGCAGGGCCTCTTCGGGCACCAAGTCGCGTTCAACATACTCAGACTGTAGCCTATTCCACACCTGGAACGGAACGGGCCTCCCAGCTGAAAGCTTGCCTGTGTCTAGAAGCTCGTCAAGCTGTTGAAGTAAGATCGTCCACGATGGCTTGTCCACGACTAGGCGATGAGCGACAATGAACAGAACCTGTGTCGATGGCTCAGAAACATCGTGCTCTTGAGGCTGGAACAGATCGACTGCAAAGACTTGCCCTGTCCGAGCATTGAGTCGAGACCTGGTCTTTGCAACAATGGATTTGATACGAGCCTCAGCTTCCTTCTGAGGCATCTCGTGCACCCTAAACTCGAACGAGTCCTCAACGTCTGAGGCCACTGATTGTTGCCAGCATCCAGAAGCATTGGCATCGAAACGGGCGCGAAGCATGGAGTGCTGACCAACCAGGGCCTCCACAGCGCGGGCAATGTCGAGAACCTCCTTTTGTCGTGTGATCCGGACAAAGACCCCTTGGCTGAAGTCGACAGGGCATGAGTCGCCTTGAATGCTGAAGTAAAGCTGTTGCATAGGCGACAAGGCGAAGGGCTCGTCGAAGGGCTCATCGCGAGGGACAGTCAGGTCCTCAATAGCACTCACAAGCATCGCCAACTGTGAAAGGCTTTGAGCACGCAGGATGTCTTGCACGCGCGCCTGCATCCCCTGCTCTCGACAGCTGGAAGCTAGCTGCATTGCTGTGATTGAATCACCACCGTGATTCAAGAAAGATCTTGCCATGGAGATACGCTCGATAGGCAGATCAAGGACCTCGGCGCACATTTTCTGGATCGTCTGCTCGACGGGCGTGACTGCTTTCGATGAAGGGCCATCGGCAGTGAGATTTGAATCGTCTCCCACTTCAAGCAGGGCTTCTCGCGCTGTTTCCTCCTCCATTTCTACAACCCACTGCAACACCTGGGTCCGATCCAGTTTGCCGGATGTCGTCAGTGGAATCGTTTTCACGGCCAGCCAAGCCGCGGGGATCATGTACGATGGGAGGACCGCAGCTAGAGCGCGGCGAGTCTTCAGATTTTGCAAGTGAGCAATGGCCTGCTGTGTCCCCTGGAGAAGATTGAGGCCAGACTTGACGGCCTTGTCCCGATCGAGGGCCTGCGTCTCTTCGGAGGCATCCTTTTCTTCGCCTTCGCCTACTCTCACCATTTTCTCTTCCGAGTCCTCAGAGCCCCGTTGGCTGGACATAGAAACCACTGCTGTAAGCTTGCCCTTAAAGGTGCCCTTCTGCGGTAGAAGCACAATACCTGACTCAACATTTTCGTTGGCGGAGAGCTGATGTTCAATCTCGGACAATTCCACGCGCTGACCTCGCACTTTAACCTGTCCGTCTCGGCGACCAAGATAGCGAATCGATCCGTCTTCGTTGTAGCGTACCAAGTCTCCCGTGCGGTAGAGGCGACGGCTTTGCGAATCGGGGAAGAAGGAGTGGTCGGTCACGAATGCAGCTGCTGTTGCTTCTTCGTTACCAAAGTAGCCGCGGGCAAGCTGAGGACTCTCGATCCATAGTTCACCAATCGCACCCACCGCGGCTAATTGTCCATCCTCACTCACAACCCAGGACGTCGACCCGATGGCCTTTCCAATAGTATCTGCACGGGACTGTTGCTGCAACGGCATGGACACGCAGAAGACACAAACCTCCGTCGGGCCATATCCATTGATGAGCTTCGTCTTGTCTGCCCATACCTTGATGTTGTCGCTCTTTACTGCCTCGCCACCAAGGACCAACGTGGTTAGACAAGGTACTTCATGTGGCTTGATGAGACTAATGACCGAAGGCGTAAAGAAAGCCCAGTTGGCATTGTGTCGGTTGATAACTTCAGTGATGTTTGTCAAACGTTGGTCTTCGTCAGGAATACAGATACAGCCGCCGTAGCTCAAGGTTGTAAAGATCTCGGCAATACTGGCATCAAAGCCTAGAGAGGCAAAGTGTAAGGCGCGAGTCTCTGGTCCGAAGCCCATAGCCTGCCCGTGGGCCTTCATACTTGAGCACGCTGCCTGGTGCTCTATTGTGACGCCCTTAGGCCGTCCTGTGCTGCCAGAGGTGAAGATTATGTATGCAGCATTGCTCGGCTGAGCAGTTGAAACCACTGGTGATGTAATGGCAGGAAGGCCTTCGACGAACTCATCAGAGAGCTCGACCATTGTTCCTGCAGATTCACCGACGTGCGAGGCCATCGCCTTGTCAACAAGGGACGCGATTGGCTTGGCCTGAATCGAGATTTCTTGGATACGTCCTTCGGGCCATCTAGGATCCAGTGGAATGAATGTGCCTCCCGCCTTGAGAACAGCCAACGTGGCAACCGGCGTTAAGAGTGACCTCTCGAGGCAGATCAGGACGCAGACCTCGGGACCAACACCGAGCTCCACCAGATAGCGGGCAAGTCGCGAAGAGAGATCATCCAGGCGGCTGTATGTGAGGCTGCCATCCCAAGAAGAGACTGCCTCAGCGTCTGGAGTAGTAGCCGCCTGTGTTTCGATTCGTTGGTGGATACACTCGTCCACACACAATGGCGGGATTGCATTCCACGATGCAATGAGCTCCTTATCGCAACTTCCTATCTTTCCAAGTGCCGAAATACGTTGGTCAGCATTAGCAACGGCGTTGCGAATGATTGTGATGAAGGAGTCAGCAACGCGAGCAGCCTGAGCCTCTGTCAGAACAGACGACCAATATTTGATGTTGCCCGAGGGCACACCGGCTTGAACGGCGATGTTGACGGTCACATCGTACTAAAACCAGTTAGCATACCGACAAAGTGTGTCTTTCGCATTGTGATTCCAACTCACCTCAGTTGGGTCATGTCCTCCAATGCTGCGCATGCGAACCTCCTGCTCCTGCTCTGGCTGTGGTTCCTTGGACCCGTTGGCGCCGCCACCATAGTTCTGGATCGATATGACGGTGTTGAACAGCGCTTGTCCCGACAGGCCCAATTCGTGCTGAACTTCAGCCAAGGAGTAATTTTGATACGGCAAAGCCTTCAAGTAATCTTCCTTGCTTTCATTGACCAAGTCGTTGATTGTCGTTTCTTCAAGGACTTGGTGCTGGGCGGTGAGCATGTTGATGAACGGGCCAACAATTGACTCAACTTGATCGACAGGGATGTCACGCCCTGACGTCAAATAGCCAAAGCAGACATCATTCGAGCCTGTATACGCTCTCAGAACCAGGGCCCATGCAGTGTGCACGATGTTTGAGACGGTCACGTCGGCGGCTGCGCAGAAAGCCTGTATTTCAGCTGCCATATCGCCAAAGTCGAGATTTATAGAGCGAAGCTCTCGTTCCTTTTTGTCACCGACCGCATCATCAGCAAGTTGTGGGAAGTGGCAGGGTCCAAGACCAGCAAGCCGCTCCGCCCAGTAGGCCACTGCGCCGTGCCCGCCTTGATCAGCGAGATATGCGATGTAATCGCGATACAGTGGTCCGTTTCCTGGAGGGAGTCGCCCAAGGTACGCCAGCATGAGCTCACCGAACAACACTTGCGTGGAGCTACCGTCGATAAGTGCGTGGCTGATATCTAGCCGGCATTCCACGCGGTCATGCGAAGAGTCGGTAATAATCAGCTGGTGAGATGGCTGTGGAATACGGTGCGGGTGTTTAGCATCTACCAATGCCTCCTGGCCGTGGACGGACCGGACCAACTTCGCCTCAACGTGCTTGAGAACAAATTGTGTGTAAATGCCGTTTGGTGTCACGCCATCCACAAATATCGTACGCAGCATTGGGTGTCGGTCCACAATAGTCTGCCATGCCCTTTCCAGTTGATCAATGTCGATTGGACCGTCTTGACTGATTATCTCGAATGTGAATCGTGTATCGTAGTACCCTGCTGTTTTGTTCTGACTGACCAGGATGCCATGTTGAATCGGAGAGCATGGGTAGATATCCTCGACCTCATCAATATCATCTATACCGATGGCGGGTAGGCGATTTTGGACTAATTTCTGTAGGTCATCCTCGGCTAGTTTCAACAGTGGCAGATCACTGGCTGTATACTGGCGATCTCGCCCTAGAAGCAATTCAGTCAAACTGATCAAAGCCTCTCGGAAGTTGCTGGCCCACTCGATGATACGATCGGCGTGGCGAGCCTTACTGCTGTACGAAATCGCGATGCTCGCAATTCCTTCAGTCACAGAGGCAGACACATCAATAACAGCCATACGCGGAGTGTTAGGGCCCATGTCGGCCGTCTCGAAGCCACCGACTCGGGGTTCTTGGTGTAGTAACGCGTCTGTTCGCTCAAGCTGCTGGAAGAGACCAAGATAGTTGAAGATGATCTCAACTGCGCCATCTATTCCAAACACGTCACGCCCCTCAGAATTTAGGAAGCGGCTGGCAAAGTAAGCCCATCCGTTCCGTGGTGTTGAGTGACGGGCATCCTTAGCCCAGCGTAGCGCTTGGAGGATATCATTGTCTGGAGTCAATGCCATCGAAACGGGGCGCATAGTTGTAAACCATGCCACAGTTCCAGAAAGGTCGATATCCTCGTCCCATGGCTCGCGGCCGTGACCCTCGCTAAAGACAGTAGGGGACGCCCTTTCTGGGAAGGTAACCTCAAAGGACTTGAGAAGAGCAGCTGTGAAGAGATCGACGGGCTCAGTGCCAAAGGCGACATTGCAGTCACCTAGGAGAAGAGAAGTAGCCTTTTCGTCCAGAGCAAAGCCTTCGGCCCGGATATCGCCCCAAACATTGACCTGATCTTCCAGGCCCCAGAATGCTAAGTCTGGCTGTGACACAGAAAAGGGCAATGCAACGTCTGGCGACAGGGAATCCTCAGCATACTCTCTTTGAAGGTTGTTCCAGACTTGGAACGGTACCGGGCGCTCTGCAAGCAACTCCCCCTTATCGAGGAGTTCTTCGAGCTGTTGTAGCAGAATGCGCCAAGAAACCATATCCACTGCCAAATGATGCGCCACAAGGAACAGAAGCTGGGACGGCCCATCCTGTGTGGAATCTTTATCTCTGTCCTCGGAGATCTCAAATAGATTGGCAGCGAAGATAGGGCCGGTTTTCGGATCGATCATGGCTTGAGTCTTCGCAATCACAGACGCCATCTTTTCGGAAGACTCCTTCTTTGAGAACTCATGCACGGTAAAATTGAAAGACTTCTGGACCTCAGATGTTACCATCTGCTGCCATTTGCCTTCGTCGCTCTTGCTGAACCGCGCCCGTAACATAGAGTGCTGGCCCACCAACGCCTCGACAGCCCTTGCTATATCGAGCACCGCTTTGCGTTGAGTGAGTCGGACGAAGAAGCTCTGGTTGAATCGTGCCGTACCTTCCTGATCAAGCTGCAGATAGAGCTCTTGAGCAGGGGATAACTCAAAAGGCTTATCGTAGGGCTCGTCTCGAGGCACCTTGGTTTCATCGATTGTGCCAACGTGCATTGCCAGCTGAGAGAGCGTCGGACAACGAAGAATATCTTGCACGCTCAATCGCAACTTCTGAGCCCGGCACCGCGATGCAAGTTGCATAGCCGTAATGGAGTCGCCTCCTTGGCTCAGGAACGAGCGAGCCATGGAAACCTGTTCACCCGACAGGCCGAGAACATCTGCACATGCCAGCTGTAACATCTGCTCCGTGATAGTCACGGCCATGGCTTCACGTCCCTCAGTCCCTGGCTCTGCTGCCTCACCCAGGAGCGTTCCTCGTGCGGTTTCTTCTCCCATTTCGGCTACCCAGCGTATGACCAAGACTCGATCCAGCTTGCCTGAGGCTGTGAGCGGAATTGAGCTGACCACGAGCCATGCTGTTGGCACCATGAAAGATGGGAGTAGCGCTGACATGGCTTGACGGGCTTTGAGTGCGTCGAGTCGACCAACTGCTCCTTGAGTCCCTTGAAGCAGTCGGAGACCAGATGCCGAGGAGCTTTGATCTCGGAGGCTAGTGAGCGAGATGACTGCTGCCACTTTGCCAGCCAACGGGCCTTCCTTTGGGAACAGAACCAACCCACTCTCCACATGCTCATCTGCGCACAAATGATGTTCTATTTCGGAAAGCTCGACACGCTGTCCTCGGACTTTGATCTGAGAATCCCGGCGGCCGACGTAGCGTAACTTTCCATCTTCGTTGTATCGAACCAAATCTCCTGTGCGGTACAAGCGTCGAACCTCGGAACCGGATATTTGTAGGAATGGTGGATTAACAACGAAGGCCGCTGTCGTAGCATCTTCATGACCCAAATAGCCTTGGGCTAACTGGGGACTTTCGACCCAAAGCTCTCCGATTGAGCCTAGTCCAGCCAGTTGTGCATTGCTGTTCAGGCTCACCACCCATGCGGTGGCACCCGTTGCGAGCCCAATAATATCTGACTGCAGTTGTGTCTTGTGAAGCTCGGTAGACACGCAGAAAACACAGACCTCTGTCGGACCGTAGCCATTGATAAGCTCAACCCTGCCGGCCCAGGTCTTGATGTTGTCGCTCATAACAGCCTCACCACCAAGAACCAAAGTCTTAAGGCTTGCTACCTGGCTAGGCTCAAGCAGCCTAATAACCGAAGGGGTGAAGAAGGCCCAGTTGACACTATACTTGTTGATAGCTGCTGCAATATCACTAAGGCGCTGTTCTTCGTCAGGCACACAAACACATCCGCCATGCGCTAACGTTGTCAGGATCTCTGCTATAGAGGCATCGAATCCTAGGGAAGCAAAGTGCAAAGCGCGCGTGGAGGTTCCAAAGCTCATAGCCTGGCCATGAGCCCTGATACTGGAGCAAACTGCTTGGTGTTGCATCACAACACCCTTCGGACGGCCCGTACTGCCGGATGTGAACATGACGTAGGCCACATCTGTCGGGTTTGAGACCTCTGGCACCGTTTCGTGGTCGCACCAGTCTGCCACAACAGTAGTGGAAACTTCAATAACCTTGTCCACCGCTCCATCGAAGTCTCTGAGTCTTTCAGGGCTGACAAGGGCAGATGTGGCACCGGTATCCTGTACAATTTGTTCAAAGCGACCAAGAGGTATCGCAGAGTCGACAGGAACAAAACCGGCGCCTGTCTTCAGCACAGCCAAAATAGCCACAATCACCCATTGCGACCTTTCCAAGCAAAGAAGTACAAGTGAGCCGGGCTTAACCCCTTGGCGTAAGAGTTGGGAAGCCAAGCGGCTAGCCAGGTCGTTAAGTTCACTGAATGTGAGCTCACCGTCCCATGCAGACACCGCGGGCTCTTCAGGGCGTGAATCGACGTGCTTCTGTATCAAGGCATGCACGCATTCTTTCGTCATTTTTGGCTGGCAAGAATTCCACTTCGCTACAAGCGCTGCGTCTTGTGAGCTGAATGTATCGACGTTGCCAACGGAAGAGTCCGGCTGGCTGTATAGCTGTTGTAGAACGTGTGCGAACTGCTCAAGCAGGCGTTGCACATCCCACTCTTTCATGACGACATCATCGTACTGTGCGTCGAACTCGACCTCCGAGCTATCCTCATGAAGCTTGCATTCCACAACCAGAGGATACGTGTGGAAGCCAGTCAAGTCGTTGTTCTCAATATGTGGTATGAGGATAGGATGATGATCGTCGCTGCTTTGCTTGCCACCTTTGCTGGCAGGCTGGACGGCTATCAGGCTTTGGAACTGACAAGCCTCCTGCGCATCCGAGCTGAGAGATTGGATGTGATGAAGACCTGCCTGCTCAAATGAGATCATATCAGTAGAGATATGCTGGACTTTTTGAAGCAGCTCTGCAACTGTCGTGTCGCTGCTGTTGAGCTGAAGCCGGAAAGGGACTGTAGTAATTGTAGGGCCAACCATCTTCGAGATGCCCGCTACTGGGGCATTGCGCCCACTGAGCGTCAGGCCAAAGGCAACATCGTCCGAGCCAGTCTGACGTGAGAGTACTGTAGCCCAAGCTGCCTGAATAAAGGATGCGTGCCTGACACCTTGAACGGTAGTCTCTGGCCTCGTGAAGGTATGCTGAATTCGCTGGTTTGTACGGACTTGATGGGCCGATGACGGAAGTTTGGGGAATTGCACGCCGCTCCAGCCATCTAGGTTTTGTCTCCAGAAGTCGTCGCTTGTGACACCGTTGGGGCCTCCAGTTTCGGTGAGGTGCTTGATGAAGCTCGAGAACGGTGTGGGCTGAAAGCTTGATGCCACCAATTGCTGTTGCTCCCCGTATTCCTGCTCGATCATGTGCTTGACAAGACCGACAGACCAACCATCGTATACTGCATGCTGCGCAGTCCACACCAAGAAACTCGCCTCGGTATTGGTACTGCTACCGTGGATGAGCGCTACTCGACTAAGCGCTTTGCCGTATCCCATAGGGCTTGTCTTGTCACGAACGAGGAAGTCCTCCAAGCCAGTGTCTTCCTGCCAAGCCGCCTCTTCACTCATCACCACCTGGAGCGGTGCACTGTTCTCGACATAGATAATACGAGTGCGTAGGATATCGCACTTCGCGATTGTTGAAGTCCACGCGGTCTTTAACTGCTCCAAGTCGACTTGCGGTCCGAGCTGGAATATGTGCTGAGCCATGTAAGATCCGGGGTTCTTCGTTCCTATTGCCATCAAACCTTCTTGCAAAGCTGTACAAGGTAGGATATCATGAATTTCGTAGATGTCGACCTCACATTGTTGCGCAGCATTGGCGAGGATGTCCTTCAGCTCCTCATCACCCATGTCGCCCTCTCCATCACTTCCTGTTGCACACAACAACGAGAAAGGTTCGGCGCCACCTTCTACCCTAGTCGAAACCACGCCGTCTGAAGCATCCACTTCGCGTGCCATGGCTGAGAGTTGAGAGGATCGGAAGACCTGCGCCACGCTGAGAGCCATGTTCGTCTCGGCAGCAACAGCCACCAAACGCATTGCATCCACGGAATCTCCGCCAAGCTGGAAGAAGTCATCGTCTGCACCCACTGTACCTTCTCCCAATTGAAGGACAGCCTCCCAAAGAGTCTGCAGATGTCTCTCGGTATCTGTGGACGGTTCCTGCTTTTGTTTCCTCGCTTGCCCATACCCAGCAATCGTCTCAGCGTCAAGATTGCTGATCCACTGGCGCAAGCTACGGCGATCAAGCTTTCCAGAAGCCGTGACCGGGAGCTCCCGAACGGGAATAAAGGCTTGGGGTATCATATAGCGAGGGACAACTCCTGCCATCCGAGCGCGGAGCTTCGCCGTCTCTGCATGGAACCCCGGCCACAGCGGTGCCAGCCACTCAGCTTGTGGCTGCACCTTCTCGTTGCTGGAATCAGCTTCTTCCGCGTCGTCCATCACCGTATCATCTTCACCTAGGCGAACTTGCACAAATGCCACCAAAAGCTTGTGGTCAGGCCGATCCACTGGTGCCACAACGTCAGGGACTGTTTGGCCACATCGATCCCATAGGTCCTCTACAGTGTGTGCCACTTCATCAAGCTCGATTCTTTGGCCACGGAGCTTGACCTGAGTGCCCTTTCTTCCGACATAGCAGATCGAGCCATCGTGGCGGTACCGAACAAGGTCGCCTGTGCGATATATGGCTTCCTGGCTGATAGTTTGTGGCACTGTTGACGCCGCAAGGAATGATGCAGCGGTTGCCTCTTCATCACCAAGATAGCCACGGCCAACGATTGGCCCCTGGATAAGTAGTTCACCAATTGCGCCTATCGGGGCCAATGAGCCAGGTGCATCAATGTCAGCGACCCAGGCTACACTCCCAATCGCTCGACCAATGACCGAGGCTGCTGCTGAAGGTTGAATGACAGTCGATACGCAGAAGACACAGGTCTCAGTCGGTCCGTAACCGTTGTGCAAAGAGACCTGCCCGGCCCAATCCTTCACATTCTTCGCCTTTACGGCCTCACCACCAAGAACCAGTGTTTGTAGGTGAGGCAGGTCCTGCGGCCGTAAAGCAGCTACAGACGAGGGAGTAAAGAAAGCCCAGTTGACTGTCATCTCATGCATTACAGAAGCGGTGGCATCCAACCTCTGACTTTCTGATGGAATGCAGATGCAGCCACCCCGTGTCAGCGTGGTGATGACCTCAGCAATAGTTGAGTCAAACGCCAAGGAGCCGAAATGGAAGACCCTAGAGCTTGACTGAATACCCATCGAACGGCCATGAGCTAAGGAGCTGGAGGCGACAGTTGCATGTTCGATAACGACACCCTTGGGTATGCCAGTACTTCCCGACGTGAAAATGATGTAAGCTGTGTTTGACGGCGTGACATGTGTTGAAGTATATAGCTCTCCTGAAGGAAGATTTGCGATGGTTTCGTGGGAGAGCTGGACTACCATGTCAACCGAGGCGGCAACCTGTGGGCGCGTCGCAACGTCAGCCAGTCCAACAATGGCTCCTGCTCGGTTTGCGATCTCTTGCATGCGCTGTAGGGGCAATTTTGGATCCAAGGGCACGAAGGCGCCACCGGCCTTCAGGGTCGCCAGGATGGCAACTGGCGTCCAGAGTGATTTTTCCAAGCAGACAAGTACACATGTCTCTGGGCCGACGCCGAGACTGGTACTCAGGTAGCACGCAAGGCGCGAGGACAACTCGTTCAGCTCTTTGTACGTAAGGCGCCCGTCCCAGGAGCACACGGCCTCGGCATCAGGGCTGGCAGTGGCCTGGGCCTCGAAAATGTGGTTTACACAGCTATGCACACGCTCAGGCATCTTTTCGTTCCATGATGCGATAAGAGATCTATCGTTTGTACCAAGCTTCTCTACCGTAGAGATATCTTGATCGGGATTCGCAACCATGCTTCGTAGTATTGCGACAAAGGAGTCGACGAGGCTAAGAGCCTGCATTTCTGTCATATGTGAAGTCCAGTATTTGATATTGCCAGACAAAGCTTCACCCTGTACACCGACATTGACCGTGATATCGTACTGCGCTGCATTAGTAATGTGATATCTTGGTGACAGTCACACAAACTATATCATAGTTATTCTTCACTTACCTCGGTTGGATCATGACCTCCGAGGCCACGGAATCGAATCTCAGGCTCCCGACCCTCCCCGCCAACACCTTGCGGCTGCACTGACACCACGGTATTGTAAAGACCTTGGCTTGTGATGCCTAGTTTGTGTTGTACCCGGGCGAGCGAACAACTCTGATGCGGAATTGCCTGCATGTGGCTATCCTTGCTGGCAGCGATCAGCGATCTGACGTTTACGCCAGCCTGCACAGGGAAGCGAGCAGTGAGCATGTTGATGAATGGGCCCATAGCACCCTCAATACCGAAAATGGGCAGATCACGGGATGATGCGAGGTATCCAAAGCAAACCTCATCCGACCCAGTATAAGTTCTCAAAAGTATAGCCCACGCGGCATGCACGATGTTTGATACAGTTACGCCATTTGCCGCGCAGAAGGCCTGAACGTGCCCTGCAAGTTCGCTTGTGTCGAGCTCAATTGTTCGCAGTTCAGCCTGTGCTCTTTCCATTGGACTCGCGTCGTCCAAGCGAGGGAAATAGCACGGCTCAAGATCGCTCAGCCGCTCCGACCAGTATTTAATAGCAGCTTCCTCTCCGTTCTTGGCAATGTATGCGATATAGTCACTGTAGAGGGGACCACGGCTAGTCGGTAGGAGGTTGCAGTACGCCAATGTCAGGTCTCCCAACAGCACAGATATTGAGGCACCATCGATGAGAGCGTGGCTGATTTCAACTCGACAGATAGCACGGCCTTCAGAGCTCTGCTCGATGACGAATCGATGAGCCGGATGCTTCACCCTTCGCGAGATTTCATCGGGCTCGGATGAAGTACCCTTCTGGCCGCCACCTTCAGAGCTTTGCATGTTCTTGCCCGGATAATCCACGATCGCATCCACTTTCTTGAGTACGACCTGCATGAACCCAGCCTCAGGTGATGGCATTTCAACGAAAACCGTTCGCAACATGGCATGTCGGTTCACCACAGCCTGCCACGCCTTGACCAAGCGAGTGATATCCACTGGGCCGTCTCGACCCATAGCCTCGACCTCAATGATAGTATCATATTGGCCGTGACCCTTGAGCTGACTGAGCAAGATACCGTGTTGCACAGGTGCGCAAGGATAAATATCCTCAACATCTTCGATATCTTTGACGCCAATGCTTGGCAGTCGCTCATTCACCAAACGTTGCAGTCCTCCCTGCGTCAGTTCAAGGAGGGGCAGATCACTGACTGTATACTCGCGGCTTCGGCCTGGCAAGATCTCCGTCAACTTGATCAACGTACGCTCACACTGCTGAATCCATTCCCCAATGCGGGCCAGATGTCGGCTGTTTTTGTTGTAACTGAAGCTCATACGAGTGCATCCCTCAGCTATGGAAGCCGACACATCGATGGCAGCCATTCGAGGCGTATCAGCACCCATATCGGCTGTTTCTAGCCCGCCGATGCGAGGTTCCTGTTGTAAGAGCGAGTCCTGACGTTCAAGTTGCTGGAAGCGGCCAAGATAGTTGAACAGGATTTCGACTGCACCGTTGATTGCAAATCTCTTGCGGCCTTCGGGATGCAAAAAACGGCTCGCGAAGTATGCCCAACCGTTACTCGGGGTTAAGTGGCGTGAGTCCTTAACCAACTGGAGCATGTCAAGCAAGTTTTCTGTGCCGGTTGAAACGGCGATGGGACGCATTGTGGTAAACCAACCGACGGTGTTAGATATCTCCAAATCCGAGTCCCATGGCTCTCGACCGTGCCCCTCACTGAAAATACTCGGTAGGTCGCGCTCTGGGAACGTCTTTTGGAAAGCATCGAACAATGCAACAGTGAACAGATCGATAGGCTCGGTGCTAAAAGCGTCGTGACAATCACCAAGGAGGAGCTCGGTGACTTCACTTGTGAGGCTGAACCCAGCAGTGACCACGTCACCCCATGTATTCTGAGCGCCATCTTCCATACCCCAAAACTCCAGATTATGCTGCGGAAGATCAAACGACAGGACAGCTTCCGGGGATAGCTCAGCAATAGCATACCCCTCTTGCATTCTGTTCCAGACCTGATAGGGAACGGGGCGCTCGGCAGAGAGCTTGTTAGTTTCGAGGAGTTCCTCAAGCTGTGTAAGGATAACACGCCACGACACGAGATCGATGACTAAATGGTGGGCAGCCATGAAGAGAACCTGTCCAGGGGCAATTTCGTCATCTGGTCCGCCATCATCGCCAATCTCTATGAGATCGACGGCAAACACGGGCCCGTTTTGAGGATTGATACAAGATTGGGTTTTGGCAATGATTGAGGTAATGGGTACGACCGCGCCACTGCCTGGCACACTATGGATATTGAATTGGAACGAATTTTGCAGATCACTCGTAGCCGTTTGTTGCCAGTGACCCTCCTCGTTGATACTGAAGCGAGCGCGTAACATCGAATGGTGGCCGACGAGGGATTCGATAGCGCGTGCCACGTCGAGAGCATCCTTCCGCTGCGTGAGTCGAAGGTAGAAGCTTTGGTTGAAACGGGTATAAACCACGTCTGGTGCCAATCCGAAATAGAGTTGCTGAATAGGTGAGAGACCGAAAGGCTTGTCAAACGGCTCATCCCGTGGCACCTTCGAGCTTCCCAAATCACTAATATGGAGGGCTAATTGGGACAGTGTGTTAGTACGCAGAGCATCCTGCACACTGAGTCTCATGCCTTGGGCCCGGCAACGAGATGCCAATTGCATTGCAGTGATAGAATCACCTCCATGATTCAGGAATGATCTGGCCATAGACACCTTGTCTACTGTGAGGCCAAGGACATCGGCACAAGCCTGCTGTAGGGCCTCTTCAATCGTCGTAGTGGCATTTGCTGCGGGCCCTTCGGCATCGAAACCTGCATCGTCGTTGTCACCGAGCAGGGCTCCTTGAGCCGTCTCGTCATCCAAAGCGACAACCCAATTCTTCACCTGAAGGCGGTCCATTTTACCGGACACAGTCAACGGAATGGAATCCACCACCAGCCAGGCCGTCGGGACCATGAAAGACGGAAGAAGATCGACTAGTCTTTGTCGGGTCTTCAGGACTTGAAGCCGGGCTGCTGCGCCCTGTGTGTCCTCAAGCAGATGGAGACCACTACGTTGCGCGTTCTCCTTTTCCTTTTCGGCCGAGTCGTGGTAGCTCGTAAGGGAGATGACGGCTGTAACCTTCTTCGCAAGCGGGCCTTGTGTAGGGAAAAGGACCAAGCCCGTATCGACGTGCCCATCGGCGCAAAGCTGGTTTTCGATCTCGACAAGTTCAACACGCTGCCCTCGGACTTTGACTTGGGCATCTTTCCGGCCGACGTAGCATAGCGCACCATCTTCGTTGTATCGCACCATATCTCCTGTGCGATACACGCGCTGCGGAACACCACTTGCGCTCAATTCGGTTACCCATTTCGGAGCGATAGGAAACCTTCGTGCTGTTTCCTCCTTGTTGTTCAGATAACCCCGTGCCAGGGTCGGACCCTGAACCAGTAGTTCGCCTACAGCCCCGACTGCTGCCGGGCGATTAACATCAGCAATATCCGCAATCCAGAGGTTCCGACCAAGTGGTCGACCGATTGTTGAAAGGCCGTTCACATCGTCGGTGCAGATCATCCAAGTGGTATGGATGCTATCCTCTGACAGGCCGTAGCAGTTGTTGAGGACCACAGCCTTTGCCCATTGCTTGACGACGATAGGTGTTGCTGCTTCACCACCCAGCGTAATTGCCTTCAACCCAGGAACATCACGTGGATGTATCAGTGCAGCTACAGTAGGCGTGAAGAAGCTCCAGTTTACTTTCATTGCGTTTATTGCGGCCGGGACGTCGTCCAATCTTGTGTCCTCGGATGGCATGCAAATGCAACCTCCGCGCGTAAGGGTCGTAAAGATATCCTGGATACTAGCATCAAAGTTGAATGCAGAGAACTGGAAGACGCGCGACTCATGACCCAGAGCAAGAGCCTCGCCATGCACAGCCATACTAGTGCATAGAGCGCCATGCTCCAGTAGAACGCCCTTCGGGCGGCCAGTGCTTCCTGATGTAAAGATGATGAAAGACACGTTGGAGGGCTTCACAGGGGACATGGGCGGCGTGGAACTGCTGTTCTGGTTGTTGAGCTCGCCCGACCAACTCATGGTAGAGGCACCAACGGTAACCACCTGCTCAGCAAGGCTGGAGAAGCGGGCCTCCTGTGTTTTCGAGGCCAGGACCAAACGAGCTCCGGTGTCCTCTATGATGCCTGCCAATCGGCCATCGGGATGTTGAGGCACCATAGGCACGCAGCCGCCACCGGCCTTCAAGACGGCCAGCATAGCAACGATCACCCACATCGATTTCTCGAAGCAAAGTGGTACCAGTGTTTCCGGCCCAACACCAATCTCGATAAGTCGGTAGGCCAATTTGTTGGATAGAGCATCCAATTCGTAATACGTGAGCTCGCCGTCCCACGAAGATACCGCCAGAGCCTCTGGCCGAGCCTTCATCTGCCCTTCAACCATCTTGTGTACGCAAGTCTCCAGTGCATTTGGTGGCATAGCGTTCCACTTTCGGATAAGACTGGCACCGCGAGAGCTAAGGGCATTCACGCTGCCCACCGTGGCCTGCGTCTCGCCCGTGCTAAGTTGCTCAACGATATGGGCGAATTCCTCCAGCAGCAATTGAACCTTCCAGCCCGACAGAACCGCATCATCGTACTGAACCTCCAGGTCTACCACGCCGTCTCCTGGTCTGCATTCAACAACCAGTGGATAGGTATGGAAACCGACAATATCTGCCCCTTCCACGTGCGGCGTAAGGACAGCCTCATCTTTCACGGCGCTGGCTGAGCCATCAGTTTTACTCGGCGGCTGAATAGCCAGCAAGCTCTGGAATTGGCATGCTTCGTTTGCGTCAGAGCTAAGAGACTGAATAAATCGCAGGCCGGCTTGTTCATGTGGAATCATTGCCGCCGACGACTTTTGAACAGCCTGAAGAAGCTCATGAATAGTAGATGCATCATCAAACTGCATCCTTACTGGAATCGTTGTGATCGTTGGCCCAACCATGAGAGGGATACCTGCCACAGGCGCATTGCGGCCGCTCAGGGTCAAGCCAAAGGCAGCATCCTCCGAGCCAGTTTGGCGCGAAACCACAAGACCCCAAGCTGCTTCGAGGAGCGAGGCTTGAGTGACTCCGGGAACGACGGATTTTGTTGATGAGGAGAGCTGGTACTGGATCGATTGGTTGGTTCTCGGCTGGTAGCCAGATGAAGGAAGTGTGGGAAACTGTGCACCACTCCAACCATTCAGCTTTTGGCGCCAGAAGTCCTCGCTTGTCAACTCCTCTGAGTATTTGTTGTCCTGAATATGCTTGATAAAGTGTGAGAATGGTGTCGTTGCGACGTGATTTGGTGGCGCCACATCGTGCTCGTAGGATGCCAGAACAACACCCCTTAGCAATGCGACGGACCAGCCGTCGTATATTGCGTGTTGAGCGGTCCAAACTAAGTACCGAACACCTTCTCCGTCCGTGACAAGGGCGTTGCGGCTCAACGCCGTTCCATATCCCATCACTTGTTGCTTATCGTGAAGAAGATACTCCTGTTTGTCCATTTCTTCAGGCCACATCGGTTCTTCTCGCAGGACAACTTGAAGCGGCCCTCGACCCTCCACATAAACAATGCGCGTACGAAGAACACTGCATCTTTGTGCGGTGCGAGCCCAAGCTGCTTTCAGGCGCTCGGTGTCAACATGGACACCGATTCGGAAAACATGCTGAGCCACGTAAGTCCCTGGGTGTTTCGCAGAGAGTGCCATCAATCCTTCTTGTAAGGGAGTACAAGGATAGACATCCTCAACCGACTCTGTGGGAGTACCACATTGCCGCGCCACTTCCGCAACAATTTCGGCATGTTCTTCGTCGTCGTTGTCGCCTAACAGAGAGAATGGTTTGACCACAACTACTTCTCCTGTCACCTCGCCCATTTCATCGATCTCTTTCGCAAGAACGGAGAGCTGGGGCTCACGGAAGACCTGCCCGACAGTCAAAGCCATGCCAACCTCGTCCGCAGAGGCTACCAGTCGCATGGCATCTATGGAATCTCCTCCAAGCTGGAAGAAATCGTCGTCTGCGCCAATGGAACCAGAAGGTTGCACCAGAATTGTCTCCCAGATAGTCTGTAGCTTCTTCTCCGTAGTCGTACTTGGCTCGCGCTTCGATGCTCGACTGCAGCGGTACTTGGCAAGATCTTCTGCGCTCAGGCTTCCCGCCCACTCTCGCAGAGTCTGACGGTCAAGCTTCCCCGCGGATGTCTGTGGAAGCCATCGCACGGGTATGAAAGCACTAGGGATCATGTATCTGGGAAGGTCGCGGACCATTCGGGCTTGTAGCTTAGCTACTTCGTCTTGGAACTCTTCCCACAAGGGTGCGACCCAATTCTCTCCTGTTTCTGCGACTGTTTGGTCCTCGATTTGAACAAAAGATACTAGGACCTGAGAATCTGGACGGTCAGATGGCGCAATGACCTCTGCAATACTGCGCTCAGCTCTGTCCCAAACCTCCTCAATCTTCCGCGCTACTTCTCCAAGTTCAATGCGTAGACCACGCAGTTTGACCTGACCTCCTTTACGCCCCACGAGAATGAATGAGCCATCCTCGCGGTAACGAACAAGATCGCCTGTCCGGTAGACACGTTCTGAGGTACTTGGCTGACCAATGTCCGGGACTGTGCTTGCCGGTAAAAACACCTTTGCCGAGCCATCTGCATCGCTGAGATAGCCGCGGGCGACAATAGGACCTTGAATCAACAGCTCTCCAATTGCTCCGACAGGGACTAATGTGTCAGGAGCATCCGCATCGGCAATCCATGCCACGCAGCCTACTCCGTGTCCGAGGGGAGGTTCTCCTGATACCAGACCCAGCTGTGTCGTCAAGCAGAAGATTGAAGCCTCAGTTGGACCGAATCCATTAATGAGCGTGACCTTATCAGCCCAGTCCTTGACGTTCTTTGACGTGACTGCCTCTCCTCCGAGGACCAAGGTCTTCAGATAAGGCAGATCTTCTGGACGCTTCAGGGCGACCGAGGCCGAAGGTGTAAAGAATGCCCAGTTGATCTGCTTTTCGTTCATAAATGCAGGAATATTGTTAAGGCGCTGTGCCTCTGAGGGAATACACAGGCAGCCTCCCTGCGTTAGGGTTCCAATAATTTCCGTCAGGCTGACATCGAATGCCAACGAGCCGAAATGTAGAACCCGTGAATCTGGTCCAAGACCCATTCTGCTTGCATGGGCATTGACACTTGATGATAAATTGGCATGTTCAATGACGACACCTTTCGGCAGCCCAGTACTGCCAGAAGTGAAGATCACGTACGCCGGGTCAGATGGCTGAAGCTCTGTTGCAACGGGTGTGGTGTTGCTGGGTAGCCAGTTCAAAGCTGCCTCATCGAGTTGGAGTATGTTGTCGACAGATCCGGGGATTAAATGAGCTGTAGCATTGCCTGTGAGAGCGACCTTTGCCCCGACCTGCCGCAAGATATCCTCCACACGCTTTTGGGGCCATTTCGGGTCCAGAGGGACATAGGCAGCGCCGGCCTTCAGAACCGCGAGCACAGCGACTGGGGTCCAGAGGCATCTTTCTAGACAAATCAAAACGTAGCTATGATCGCTCACACCGACTTGCCTTAGGTGCTGGGCTAGACGAGAAGAAAGGTCGTCTAATTCTTTGTATGTGAGCTTTCCATCCCATGCATCTACTGCATTGGCAGAGGGGCTCGTGTTGGAATGCGCAGTGATGGTATCGTGGACGAATTTGTCGATGCGCTTTGGCATTTCTTGGTTCCAGGACGCAATCTTCTCTTTATCTTGGGTGCTGGCCTTTTCGAGCGTGCATATCTTCTGGCCAGGTGTCTTGAGCGCACTTCGCAGAACAGTCAGAAAAGCATCGGCGAGGCTGGAGCCTTGGCCCTCTGTCATAACGGAGGACCAGAACTTGATATTGCCCTTCATTTCACCCGCTTGCACATTGATGTTGACGGTCACATCGTACTGTTCAGATGAAGATTAGTTACAAGATTTCTCGCGTAGTCTTGAGCAATCACAGGGTTGACTTACCTCCGTTGGATCGTGGCCGCCTAGGGCGCGGAAGGAAAGCCCAGGCTGTTCGGAATCAGGTTTTGCGACTTGACTTTGTAATGAAACCAAGGTATTGAACAGTGATCGTCCAGATATTCCCAGTTTGTGTTGAATGGCAGCTAGTGAACACGCTTGGTAGGGGAGAGCCTCCATGTAAGCCTCTTTGCTCTCTGCCACTAGGGCATCCATCGTAGTATCGGATGGTACCGCAAGTCGAGCCGTCAAAATGTTGATAAACGGACCAATAGTCCCTGCTGCATCGGGAAGAGGCACGTCACGGCCAGAAGTCAGGTATCCAAAACATACATCCTCTGATGCACTATAGGCTCGAAGAATAATAGCCCATGCTGCATGGATAACGTTTGACGCCGTTACATCGTTTGCTGAACAGAATTCTGAAACTGCAGACGAGATATCGCTCATATCGAGCTTTACTGTGTGAAGGCGATTCTCCTTGTCTGGAGCCTCTGCAGCAAGGCTTGCCAGCCGTGGAAAGTGGGACAATTGAAGGCCACCAAGTCGATCGGCCCAAAAGGTAATTGCATTGTCGCCGCCACTCTCCTTCAGGTACGAGATGTAGTCGCGATAGAGAGGAGCATGTACAGTCGGTAGCATGTCGTAATAAGCCCTGAGGAGGTCGCCAAAGACGATTCCAACGGAAGCTCCGTCAATCAGCGCGTGACTGATGTCGAGACGACACTCCACGGTGCCTTGTGCAGTTTGATCGATCACCAAACGATGCTCAGGTCCAGAAGAGACATTGCCACCAGCGTCATCATTTACAGCAACTCCATTCTCCAACAGGACCACACTAGCATCGGCATGCTTGAGTACGACCTGCAGGGACATGCCGTCGGCCGTCACAGCATCAACAAAGACCGTCCGAAGCATAGCATGCCGGTCGACTACGGCTTGCCAAGCCGCAGCGAGCTGCTCAATGTTCAGAATGCCTTCGCGGACTACCGCTTCAAATGCAAACTGCGTGTCGTAGAATCCAGCCACTTTGGACCGGCTCAGCAGGATACCCTGTTGAATTGGGGAGCAAGGGTAAATGTCCTCGACAGCATCAATGCTATCAACACCAATGCCTGGCAGCCTGTTTGCAACTAGCTGATGCAGGCCAGTCTCTGACAGTCCAGTGACTAGCGGGAGGTCACTGACCGTGTACTGACGGCTGTGATTCGGAAGCACATTGGTCAATTCAACCAATGTTTTGTCAAACGCCTCGACCCATTCAAGCACTCGATCACTATGCCGCGTGTATTTGTTGTAGGAGATGCTGAGACTCAACCTTTCGTCGTTGACGGTCGCAGTCACATCAATGAGACCGATTCTGGGCGTGTCGGACCCCATGTCGCCCGTCTCAGGGCCACCGACGCGAGGCTCGATTTGCAGGAGTGCCTCGTCTCTTTCAAGCTGCTGGAAACGTCCGAGATAGTTCAAGATGACCTCAACTGCACCGCTGTGCGAGCCGAACTTTTCACGTCCTAGCGGGTTCATGAAGCGACTTGCAAAATATGCCCAACCATTGCTTGGCGTTGCGTGTCGGGCATCCTTGACTTTTTTCACCACTCCTAGTAGATCGTTGTGGTCCACTTCCGCTGTCACAGGTCGCATCGTGGTGAACCAGCCAACTGTGTCGGAGATGTTGATTTCAGGATCCCAGACCTCTCGACCATGGCCTTCATTGAAGATCGTTGGGACAGCCCTCTCAGGGAACACCTTGTGAAAAGAGTACGACAAGGCCGCAGTTAGCAGGTCGATAGTCTCGGTATTAAAGGCGTTATTGCATTGACCTAGCAAGGCTTCTGTAGCGTCCGGATTGAGCATAAAGCCTGCCGCCTGAACATCGCCCCAGGCATTTCGTTCTTCCTCAAGACCCCAAAACCAGACGTCAGGCGGTGTGATTTCGAACGGTAGAGCAGCTTCAGGGGTCAGGTCTGACACAGCGTAATCCTGCTGTAGTCTGTTCCAGACTTGGAACGGCACCGGACGCTCAGCGTCCAGCTTGCCAGTCTCAAGCAGTTCTTCAAATTGCTGCAACATCACCCGCCAGGATACCATATCCACGACAAGATGGTGAGCAACGAGGAACAGCACCTGTGAGCCCCTGCCTTCGAGGTCTTCTTCTAGCTCGAAGAGGTCAACCGCAAACACTGGGCCAGACCGTGGGTTGATGCGAGACTGAGTGGCACTAACGGCTGAAGCCATATATGCTTCCCCCTCCTTCGGGACGTTATGGATATTGAAGTCGAAGGAGCTTTGGACCTCAGCTGTGACTCTTTGAGACCAGGCTCCTGATTCGTCGACATCGAATCGCGCACGTAGCATCGAGTGATGGCTAACGACAGCTTCAACGGCTCGTGCCACTTCCAGGGCGTCCTTCTTCCGTTTGATTCGAACAACGAAGCTCTGATTGAAACGTGCGGTTGCTGCTGAATCGCCAAGTCCAAAGTAAAGGCTCTGAATTGGGGACAGCCCAAATGGCTCATTAAGTGGCTCGTTGCGTGGTACCTTTGACTGTTCGATAAGGTTTATGTATATCGTCAAACGCGAAAGGGAGTTGCTTCGTAGAATATCCTGTACGCTAACCCTCATACCCTGTGTGCGGCAGCGGGAGGACAGCTGCATTGCTGTAATAGAATCGCCTCCCTGCTTGAGGAACGAACGAGCCATCGAGATCTTCGCAGCTGGAAGGCCCAAGACCTCGGATGTGATTTGTTGAAGCTTCTGTTCGATTGGAGTCACAGCGGTTGCTCCATGAGCATCGACATCATTGTCGCCCTCGCCTTCCCCTTGGGATTCTAGGAGAGCAGCTTGGGCTTGATCTTTCTCCATCTGTATCACCCATCGCTGAACATACTGCCGGTCAAGCTTCCCGGAGGCCGTCAATGGGATGGATTCGACGACTAGCCATGCTGTGGGTATCATGAAAGAAGGCAAAACGTCAACAAGCATCCGTTGGCTCTTGAGTGCCTGGACTCTGGCTGCTGCTCCATCGGGTCCTTGCAACAGAGACAGGTCTCCCATATCGCGTCTATGACCGTTAATGTCGTTGGCTGTTTTCGTTGAGGTTTCGTCAGCTTCTTCTGAGCTCCCATTCATGGCACCATGAGATGTTCCATTGGTCTGAGCGACACTGTTTCCGTTTGTGTGGCCATTAGTGCTTCCATTCTGGTGGCCATTCACGTCACCATTACTATGACCGTTGGTGTGTCCATTCGAAGTTCCGTTCTTCTGGACGCTCGATCTCTCCTTGCCAGAATGCCGCGCGAGCGAGATCACAGCTGTCACTTTGCCAGTTAGGTGCCCGGCTTTGGGATACAGAACCAAGCCTGCACTGATGTTCTTATCCGTACCCAGCTGGTGCTCGATCTCAGCCAGTTCCACTCTCTGCCCTCGGACTTTGACTTGCGCGTCCTTGCGTCCGAGATAACGCAGCGTCCCATCTTCGTTGTAGCGCACCAAGTCTCCTGTTCGGTACATTCTCCTCCCTGTGGTAGTCCACGACCCATTCTGGTACGCACCGAGGGCTGCGGAGCGCAAGAAGGGCGGATCAACAACGAATGCCGCTCTCGTGGCCTCTTCATTCTCGAGATACTCGCGCGCCAATTGTGGGCTTTCGATCCAAAGCTCACCAACAGAACCCACCGCAGCAAGCTCTGCGTCGCCTTCCTCGTCTTCTAGGCTGGTCACCCATGCCGTCGATCCAAGTGCCAGACCGATGGTATCTGATCGCGAAGAAGGAAGGAGTGGAGTAGATACACAGAAGACACAAGCCTCCGTAGGGCCGTAACCATTGACGAGGGTGACCTGATCCGCCCATATTTCGATGTTGTCGCTCTTGACAGCCTCGCCTCCGAGTACCAATGTCTTGAGAGAAGGTACCTGGCTTGGCGATACGAGGCTGATCACAGATGGAGTGAAGAACGCCCAGTTGACGTGGAACCGGTTGATTGCTTCGGCCACGTTAAAACGTTGTTCTTCGTCTGGAACGCAAACGCATCCACCATGTGCTAAGGTCGTCAAGATCTCAGCTATGCTCGCGTCGAACCCAAGAGAAGCAAAATGCAGAGCGCGTGTGTCGGATGTAAAGTGCATCGCCCTCCCGTGAGCTACCATGCTTGAACACACAGCCATATGCTCCATTACAACACCCTTCGGTCGTCCTGTGCTGCCAGATGTAAACATCACATATGCCACATCCGATTCTTGGGCATTCGCATGTTTTGAAGAACTATCGGCTGTTGGCCAACCCTTGGGAGACGCAGCAGAGACCTCGATAACCGATTTAACAGACTGGGAGAGGCTATCGCATTTATTTCGGCTCCCTAATGCGAATGTTGCGCCTGCCGCCTGAGCTACTTGCTGCAGTCTGCCCGCTGGTATCTCTGAGTCTAAGGGGACGAATGCCGCGCCAGCCTTGAGAACACCAAGCATCGCGACAACAGACCAAGCTGACCTCTCAAAGCACAAGGGTACCATATCTCCACGCTGAACGCCTAGGCCGGTTAAGTGGGTAGCCAGGCGATCAGATAGCAAGTCTAGATCTTTGTGTGTGAATTCAGCGTCCCAGGCAGACACTGCTGCGGCTCCAGGCCGTTCTTGTGCCTGTAGCTGAATCATATCGTGGACGCAGGTTTCCTGAGGGGACGATGGTGATGCATTCCACCTTGCCACCAATGCTTCGTCTTGGGGGCTAGTTATCTTGATATCGCTTATGAGTGTATCAGGCGTGGCGCGGGCCAGTTGCTGACTGACATGTGCGAATTGCGCCATCAAACGTTGCACCTCCCATTCTGACAGCACAGTGTCATCGTACTGCGCATCCAGATCGACCATGGTCTCGGTGGGTGAGCATTCCAATACCAGCGGGTAGGAGTGGAAGCTTTTCTCGGGTTTTATTACAGGCGTGAAGAATGCCTTCCCTTCGGACCCATTGCTATTCGTCCGTGCAGGCTGCGTCACGAAGAGAGTGGTGAAACCGCAAGCTGCCTTTTCGTCGTCGCCCAATGCCGCAATCTTCTGCAATCCGTAATGTTGATACAGCTCAAGCTCATCTGCCTGAGCGCGCACCGCCTCAACAGCCGATGCCACGGTACTGTCTTTGTTCACTGCAAGATGGATTGGGAAAGTCGCAATCGTCGGGCCGGGCATATGATCGATTCCTTCCACGGGGCAGCTTCTCCCACTGGAGATTGTACCGAAGAGCGCAGAAGCTGAACTGGTATAGCGACAGGTGACAATCGCCCATGCGAGTCTTAGAACCATGGGCATCTCGTACTGACTGCGTCTCTCAAAGGCATGGGGAAAGCTGTGTCCAATCCGTTCGTTTGCTAGAGGGCGATATCCGTCATACGGCAGAGGCGGAAACGATTGCAGCGGATTCCCAGTCAGCTGGCTCCTCCAAAACTCCCGATGTTTCTCTTCGTTCAGTCCTCGAGCCCAGCGCACGAATCGATTGTAGGGCAGCAATTTCGGTGTCGATTTTCCCTCGTAGACCATTTGCGCATAGCTCACGACCAAGCCGACGGTCCATCCATCGTAAATGGCGTGATGCGCAGTCCACACAAAAGTTGGAGCGCGTCCAGGTTCGAGAATCAAGCAGAATGTTGATAGCGGCGTGCTATACGACATCTTGAGCGCGCCTTCGGCGGCATTAGCCTCGTCCAGGCTGGAGGCCGTTCGCCAGTGCATCTCATCCTTCATCACCACCTGGAGTGTTCCTTTACTGCCATTGAAGACTATGCGAGTCCTCAGCGGCGGGCAAGCCTTGACAGTGGCCTGCCACGCCTCCTTGAACTTGTCGATGTCGATATCCTCCGGTAAAGTGTAAGTGTGCTTCATCACATAGGTCCCTGGAATCGCCTGGGTAATGGCCATGAGGCCTTCCTGGAACGGAGTACATGGGTATGCATCTTCGACGTCCTTGGGCACGATCTTGGTCGTGAATGGTGATGCCATCTCGTCTCTTTCTCTGCGTTGCCTCTTCTCTGCGTCTTCTCTGGAACCGGCGATGGCTATGTTAGTCAATTGGTGGAGATGTAGACTCACCCTGTCATCCCTCTGAATCGAATTGCAAGTCAATTCCCAAAACTGTATGGAGTATCTGTTCTGCTTGATGCGTCGTCTCTGCAGCTTGGGAAGCTTCACGGCGTTTGCACGGCACGTCTCTGAGGCCGTGGATGTGCATCTGGAACAACCTCACAGCTGTTCCCATCGAGCTTGCAGCCTGCCGAGCGTAGCTCCATCGTCCATCAAAGCTCCCATCCATCTCCAAGCTCCAACTGTGAAGATCCATCTAAGCCCAGGGTCCCCCTGCAAGAGCGCAAGCGTGATGCACGGTCGAGGCCACGCCCCCTGGTCGTGGGTGTGCGCGGAGGAGATGGCCCCAGGGTGTGGCTGCAATATGGGGGCGTGTTCGTACACCACTACATGCAGCCCTACATACTACAGACAGACCCACGAGCTGAGGATCCGCAGCATGCAAGGTCAGTTTTCGTGTGTGGGGTCTTTGGGGTCGGCAAGTCTTGCCTGACCTTGCATACTCGACTTCGGGGCGTACATAGTATTGTTCGGTGAATCGCCGCCGGTTGGCACTGTGCTGTACGGGCTCGCGCTGGTGCCCCACACTCGCTTCCCCACCCACTCCCATTCCATGGGCTCTTCCTAGCAGGGCTTCGGCCGCCAGCGCTTCCCCTCAGACCCACGCAGCGCTTTGCTCAACGACAGCACCTGATGCGACAGCCAGAGTAGTTGGAGAGCCCTGGTTTCTAGCTGCTGCTCTGCCCGATTTGGCATGGGCACTGTCTAGAACCTCGTTCTCTGATCCCGAAGACGAGCCGGCTCGTCTCCAACGACTTCGAGGCACCAGGTTCAATCCTCAACACAGCGATCCAAAATGGCCGAAGTCATGAGAACATGTGCCACAGCCGGTAAAATGGCTCTCGATCTCTGCTCTAACGGTTTGCAACTGCGACTCTTCGCCTACCTTGCCCGTCACGGTGCTGCTTCACCGGTCCAGGGAGCATCTGAACAACAACCCCTGCTGGAGCAGCGCAGCTTCGCCTCCGTGACCGATGTCGTTGAGGAGGAATTCACACTATCTGATGGTCGCAGCCTCGGTGTAGCCTATTTTGGTGCAGAGAACGGCTCGCCAGTCTTCTATTTTCACGGCTACCCGGGTTGCCGGCTGTCTGGCGGCGCCTTCTTTGACCGCGCCGGAAAGAAGCTCGGCGCTAGGATCATCGCGATCGATAGACCCGGCATTGGCAACAGCTCTCCTCAGCCTGGCCGCAAACCTCTCGATCTTGCGAGCGACATTCGCGAACTTGCTGAGCATTTGAAGCTCAAGTCGTACGGCATCATCGGCGTCTCAGGCGGTGGCCCATATGCTCTGGCATGTGCGCGTGCCCTGTCGCCAGAGAAGCTGAAGGCTGTGTCTATTATTGGAGGCATGGGCCCTATCGATGTTGGCTTGAAGGGCATGAGCTGGGGTAACTGGCTGACCTTCATCGGCCTGATGTACTTCCCTTGGATTACGCGCTTGCTGCAGAAGAAGGCTGCCAGCGTGCTGAACACCATGCCTAACGAGAAAATCATCGAGCAGATCGGGGGCAGAGTGACCGAAAGAACAGCCAGGTTTGTCGGTCCCGACCTGATGTACTTGTTGGAGCCAGAAAGAATGGGAACAATGCTCGACCTTTACCGAGAGCACTATAAGCAGGGCATCGAGGGGTATATGGAGGATGGCCGAGTTATGACCACCGACTGGGGCTTTGATCTCAAGGATATCCCAGCTGAGATTCCTATTCAGCTATGGTATAGTAAGAAGGACACGAATGTTCCTTTCCAAATGGGCGAGGCTATTCGGTCGCGTCTCAGCTCGCCGCCCGAGTTTCATGTGGATGAGCACGAAACACATCTGCAGTTGGTGTTGAAGTGCAGCGGAAGCGCCCTGGAGAGTCTTCTTGAGAAGCTCTAGCGTATCCATCGGCGAACTTGCATAAAATATTGTTTCTTCTCACGAATCGGGTTCGGCCTCATGTCTTCCTCTGCGTTCAGGCTTAGTCCTGGTTCACAATGATGTCATTTCATGTCAGTGCTTTATGCTTGGAAAGTCTTGGGACAAGTCTGGGTCAGGAACATAACACTTGGGTAGTTAGATATGCCAAAGCAGAATGCAATGTTAAAAAGTCAAACTTCGCTATCCTCATGCTACGCATCTTGCATGCAGTGCCAGTCCAGCCAGCATTTCTGAACCCTATATGCACCGTGACTCGCCTAGCGTGACAAATTCCACACAGTATCTTCCAATGTTCCCAAATCTTACTACTCCTGCTTCTACTAATACTATGTACTACCTGTTTCATTCGACTATCGGGCGAAAGTGAGGCTGTGGAGACCTAGCTAATCACGATGGACTGTCTACGCATACGGGGCATACACGTTCGATAGAAAAGGCAGGTTTCCCCAGGCAATTCGTAAATAGAGCTCAACAGCTGGCCAGAGCAGATGTTGATACCTCTCGGCTGCAAGTAGGTCAGCGTGAAAACCCAATTAGACGATAGCACGGTCCCTGTAGACGCACCCTTCTCCAAGTGCTTCATCCACGTGCTATACATCGCTGTCCAGTACAGCGCGCACGCGCATACGCTGCTCAAATGTTAGCCAAATTCTGATGCGAGAGAGGCGATTTTGAGGGATTGCGAACAGAGTTCCTGCGCCGATGGAGCTGAAGTAGGCTACTCGGGAGCAACTAAGAATCGGGGCAGGCCACATGAGCTTGGCCGAGCTGGCAAGTAGCATCAAGTCCACAAATACACTCATGGTCCGTTGCGCTATGCGAAGAGCCACATGGTCCAGGCAGTTACCTTGTCTCCCGTCTTTCCAAGCATCCGATGGCGGTATGCATTGGAACAGGCTAGTGACGACGAACACGACTGTCCAAGAAGCCGCCAGCCCGGCCAGTATGTGCAGCACGACTCGTTCAAAGTCCAGCTCCGGAGTCAGCTCGACGAGGAAGAAGGCGATGCTGAGTTTGGCGGCGCCATTGGTTAGGGCATACTGTGGACGCCATGGGTCAACCACGAAGCCCTGAGACATGGGTCATGCAGATGCCAGGTGAGGATCCACTCACAAACAGTTCACTGATATACTCGGTCAAGAGTAAATCCTCAGTCTCGGCACCTGGGTCTCTGCTGTCCTCGTTGGCGAATATGCCACGGGTGTCAGAGCCGCGACGAACTTCTGTAGCTTCCAGTCAGCCACCGTGGACCACACCGCCAGGCTGATGAAGACACATGCAAGGTTGGCATACCAATCCAGATGCAGATTGAATTTCCGATAGAGATAAACTATATGGCGTTGTCAGGTGAAGGCTTCGCTGCGGCAAGGAGACCAAGCGTACAAAGGCACACAGCATGTACAGATCAGATCGTTTCCTGTAGAATATAGACAAGTGCTGCCGTCCTGCGTGCGACTGAATCTGCCGCCGCCGAAGGCGAATGATGTAGGAGACAACGGCAGTGAGATGTGCGACGATGCTCACCAGCAGGGCCGCGAGAGCGTCTCCTCCAAGGTCTATGTTCCACATCGTGGCTGCAGGAGAGGACGCCACGCTAAGGATGGGCTGACTTTCGGGTGCCGGAAGGAGAGAGGAGGGTGGAGGTCAAGACCCAGAGCTGTTGAGATTAGGAAGAACCCAGGTCAGACGAAAAGACAAGGCCGTGGTGATCTTTCTGACAAGATGCGTATCTGTGAGGCGTGCTAGCGTGAGGATTGTGATTGCGCCAGTCAGCGATGAACGTGAACGTGCGCGTGCCACCGTCTGCAATGAGGCTGATCTTTCCCACAACCAACAGAAAACTTCAGCACTGCACGTGTACGTCGCCGAACAAGACGTGGATCTGTTGAGTCGGACTGGGTGTGTTGGCTGCAGGCCAGGATGATGCCTGGCCCTGGCAGGGTTTCGCTGAAAGATCGAGACTTGGATCGCGACAGGACAGACAGGGTGAGACCGTCGTAATCGAAACGGGAGAAAGAAACCCCTCAGCCATAGCCCAGCGTGCCCAGATCCTTCTCAGGCTGGCCGTCTCGTGAAAGGTTCAGATTAGGTGATGGGTTGCGTCTTTGGGCCGCCCTGTGTGGATCGATCTGTTGACCTTGCAGATTCACCTGCACCCATGGGGGCTGGCTCCTGTGGTGGGGTGCACTCCAGGGCTAGGTGTGACACTGGTGCCTGGTCGCAGGGGTGTGGCTTAATACCCGCCGCTAGCCAGGACAGCGCGTCGTTTAGTGGAGCACGCGTGCCGCAGGGCGACCCACCCACTGTAAGCTAGGTACCTAGGTACCTTGAGCTTCTGGACGCCCTGAGCTGCTGACGTGGGATCGATCCTCATGCCCAGGTGCATCTGCGTGAGAGCTTCATTCGGTCACGAATGCCCTCCGAAGGGGGTTATGAGTCTTCAATAGGAGTCTTGGCAATGAGGAAATCTTCTGGGTCAGGTACCAAATTCTGTGTGCGTGGCTGGTTGATGAGACCTTTGGTTTGGGTTCAGATCGTTTTGAGATCTATTGTCGGCTAAGGTACAGCATGGGTCAATATCAGTCAGTCCTGTTAAACAGAACAGCGAATTTGCAACGAAATCCCGAGCAATAAATGATCAATCATAGATACAGCTGGATGTAACAGCCAATCATTAGAATCTCTAAGAAGGTCTCTCTGCATGTGTCTGCTCGCTTGTTCCATCGCTTCACTGGATTGCGGTTTGCAGAACAGCGTCTCCAGGGTAGGTGATTGTGGCTGGTGTGTGGCTGGTGCATGGCATGGCATTGCAACATCCAACATGGGATTCTGCAGCATGTCGCTTTGCTGCAGTGATCGTCAGCACAGATTCCAGGGTCAGGGTCCTGTGGCCCGTCTTTCTTGCCACGTTCACAGAACTGACGACTAGCCAAAAGCGTCGTACGATCGAGACTTCCGGGGTCAACACAGTTGCAACAAGAACAGGCACACGCCAGGTACCGGCTCAGCCGCTGTGGATGAAATCTGCAAAGTTGACCTTGCATACACGGATCCCCCAATACGGTGCCAGACGCCCCCAGTGCACAGCCACCTCGGCGGCACTCCACCCTACCCGTCCCTCTCTCTCACCCCCCCTCCACATTACCCTCCACCTGCTCAGGACCCTTGCCCATCACGACAATGCACACCCCACGCAAGCACAGGCCTCTAGCTTTGCTCCAGCCTGCCAAACTACACGACATGGCTCCGGATGATGGTTCCTGGCTGGCTGGCTGGGTAGCTGGTTTGCCGCTGGCTCAACGACAGGGTCCAACTCCAAGCCAGTCTGTCGATACTGGTTCTGTACAGTTGACGAGCAGCTTCACAGCCTCCGACTCCATTGGCAGCAGCGAATTGACATCAGTGGTTTTGGGTCAAGAAGTTCTGAACTGGCAAAGTGAGTCCTTTGAACCTCCGTGAAACTGACACTTCACTCTGTAGCTACAGTCTTTGCGCCCAGATATGGATTCTACACGCCCCGAGTCCAAGATCCCGAGGGAGGACCTCGAGGATGTCTACCCGTGTACGCCTTTTCAGGAGGGGCTCATGGCGATATCGCGAGCCCTCCCTGGCACATACGTCGCACATCTGACGTATGAGCTTCCTGAAAATACCGACCAAGGCCGCTTCCGAGCTGCTCTGGAAAAGGTCGTTGACGCAAACCCCATCTTGCGCACTCGTATCATCTTGAGCGGCTCGAAGGGGCCCGTACAAGTCGTTAGGAAACGCGACTTTACATACCGTGCTTCGGACTCGTTTGATGAGGCTGAGAGAAAGAACACAGCAGCCCGGATGACTTATGGCACTCCTCTCTCTTTGTTTCGATTCTCACGCCTATCTGATTCGCGAAGCACTTTCACCTGGACGGCGCATCATGCCATTTACGATGGCTGGAGCGTCTCCTTCATCCTCGATCAAATCAAGGCCCATTATCTGGGCCAAACTATCCCCAGCATCATTCCTTACATCCACTTTGTCCGTTGGATTCGAGCAACAGACAACGCCAAGGCTGAAGCTTTCTGGCAGGCGCAGCTGGCCGATGATTCCGCGCAGTCTTTTCCCCAACTGCCCCATGAGGGATATCAGCCGAGGACCAACAGCCGGGCCCTTCAATCAATGCACCTTGATCGCTCAGGTGGCCGTCAATATGAGGCCCCCATGATTATGAGAGCCGCATGGGCTCTGTTGACCTCACGATACCTGCAGTCCAAATCGGTCTTGCTGGGTTCAATCTCGAGCGGCAGAGGTGACACATTGCGCGGAGTCCGGTCGATTGCCGGCCCTACCATCTCAACGTTCCCGGTACGCGTCGTGGTCGAAGAGCAGGCAACCGTCGCAGAGTTCTTGCAGCGCATGCGACAGCAGGCAACGGACATCGAGCCCTACGAGCACTGGGGACTCCACCGAATCGCAAAGATGAGCGACAGCGGTAAGGCGGCGAGCAGCTTCAGGTCACTACTTGTTACGCAGCGTGGCAAGCCGGTAAATGCAGACTTCTCTGCCCAGTTCTTCCGCCCTCTGTCCGAGACTGCCGCTGGCTTTCACGCCTACCCACTAGTACTCGAATGCCGGCTGAATGAAGGCACGACTGAAGTGGACCTGGACGCCCAGTATGACAATGCTGTTCTCTCGGAGTGGGAGATGACGCGACTGCTACAGCAATTCGCACATGTCGTTCGTCAGCTGGCCCATGCCGGGCCCGAAACCAAGATAGACGACATCGACACGTTCAGTCCTGAGGATGACACGATTGTTCAACAATGGAACAATTCGCAGAAGGTTGAGGCTGTGGAGTCGTGCGTACACGATCTAATTCAACAACAAACTAGAACCCGTCCAGAGGCGGCAGCTGTGGATGCCTGGGATGGAAAACTCACATACAGCGAACTTGATGCACTCTCAAGTCGCCTAGCAACGCGACTGGTCGATATCGGCGTCAAGCCACAGACAATGGTGCCAATATGCACTGACAGGTCCTTGTGGACTGTCGTGTGCATGTTAGCAGTTCTCAAGACTGGCGCCGTGTTTGTGCCGCTTGACTCTGCAGTTCCGATCGGTCGTTTGGAGCAGGTACTGCAGGCTACACAAGCGGAAGTCGTGTTGACATGCTCTGATGCAAGGAGCGACCTTGCAGGCATCGCTGTTCACATCTTCAATGTATCTGCGGTTATGGCAACCACTCCCTCTTCGACGACCGCCTCGGCGAATGTCGTTACAACGCCAGCCGATACCGCCTATATTATGTTCACGTCCGGCAGTACAGGGCGACCGAAAGGCGTAGTTATGACACATATGTCGGTGTGCTCCAGTGTGACAGCCCATGGAAAAGCTATGAAGTTCAATGCAGATACTAGGGCATTGCACTTTGCATCGCTAGGATTTGATGCCAGCATAGCAGAAATCCTAACAACATTGGTGCACGGTGGCTGCGTGTGCATCCCCGACGAAGAACAGCGCCTCGGCGATATTACAAAGGCGATCAACCAATATCAGGTCAACTGGGCCTTCTTCACACCATCAGTGATTAGCCTAATCCAGCCTCATCAAGTTCCCTGCTTGGAAACACTCGTCCTCGGAGGAGAAGCTGTGAAGAAAGATAACATCGAGATGTGGGCAGACCACGTTGACTTAATAAATGGATACGGGCCGACAGAAGTCTGCGTTTTCTGTGTCTCGACGCCACTTCAAAGAGAAAACGCAGATTCGCACGGCATTGGAACAGGTTTAGGCTCCAAGACATGGGTAGCCAGTCTCAGCAATACCAACCAGCTGGCGCCCTTGGGGGCCGTTGGCGAGCTTTGGATTGAGAGCCCCCAGCTTGCAGTCGGCTATTTCGACAATGAGGATGCAACGTCTTCAGCATTTGTGACCGACCCGCCATTCCTCAAAGCAGGCCATCAACGTCGCCTATACCGGACCGGTGATATTGTGCGCTACAACCAAAACGGCACACTCCGCTATATGGGGCGTAGAGATACTCAGATCAAGGTCCGAGGCCAACGTCTGGAGTTAGGAGAAATTGAGCACCAGCTTTGCACGAGCGAACGTGTTGAGACAGGCGTAGTGCTGTTCCCGAAGCATGGTCCGTTGGCAGGCAAGGTAACTGCGGTCATCTCACTTTCTGGCGACGGAGGTCAAGACATCAACAGCAATCAAGTCAATGGGCACAACGAAAAGGAGGAGGCTTCAGACGTGAGCGCTGTCACAAAAGAAGAGATCCAGCTCCTTCGGGGAACCCAGGCAGCAGCAGCCCGACTACAGGCACCCAGGATTCGCCAGCTTCTCGCGGATGTGCTGCCCTCGTTCATGATACCGGCAGCATGGGTGTTTGTCGAAACTATTCCCCTGACCTCGTCTGGCAAGCTGGACCGGGTCTGTGTCGGGACATGGGTGGAGGAGATGGCGGACAATGATGCAGTTGATACCGTGCTCGACGCAAGTGCAGATGCTGAGGGCCAGGCCGCAGATGCCATGACACGCACAGAAGAAGCGCTCCAGCTCGTTTGCAGCGAGGTGCTTGGAGTTCCGACCGCAAAAATATCCATGGCCAGGTCTTTCCTCAACCAGGGTGGCGATTCTATTACAGCCATGCAACTCGCATCGCGCTGCCGAGCAAAGGGAATGCGGGTGACTGTTCCAAACATCCTACGCAGCAGTACATTGTCGCAACTGGCGATCCATGTTGGCGTTCTTGGACAGTCCAAGGTGCCACGCAGCGAGACCATCGACGAACCATTTGCCCTATCTCCGATCCAAGAGCTGTACCAAGGTCTTGACAAAACATTTTCGACCCGATTCAACCAGAGCTTCTTTGTACGACTCACACGCCACAAGAGTGTGCAGGATGTCGCGCATGCGCTGGAGGCACTTGTTAGCCACCACTCGATGCTTCGAGCACGGTTCACTGCAGACGAGTCTGGCCAGTGGCAACAAATTGTTACCGCTGAGCTAGAGAAGTCATTCGAGTTCAACGTCCATAGCGTGCCGCAGGCGGCAGCTGCAGACCGGTATCTTGCATCAAGAATCGCAAAGACGCAATCACGAATCAATCCGAAGACTGGTCCCGTCTTTGCTGTCGACATGTTCGAGTTCGAGGCAGATAATGAAGCTTCGGAAAAGTCTGGAACCCAGGTTCTATTCCTAGTAGCCCACCATCTGATCATCGACTTGGTTTCCTGGCGCATTATTCTGGAGCAACTTGAGGAACTTCTCGAGTCAGGAAAACTGTCTGCAGAGAAGCCAGTCCCCTTCCAGATCTGGACCAAGCTCCAGAGAGAATATGCAGAAAGCCAGCTGTCGCCAGATCTGGCTTTGCCCTTCAAGCTGCCGGCTCCTCGTCTGGACTTTTGGGGCCTAGATGATCAGCGAAACGTATGGGGAGATATCGAAAGCCTAAGCTTCAATATGAGTGAGAGCGCTACGGGGCTTCTACTGGGAGACTGCAATATGCCGTTCAACACTAAGCCTGTTGACCTCTTCATTACAGCACTCATTCAATCCTTCAAAGAGGTCTTCCCTGAAAGGACTGTTCCTACTGTCTTCAGCGAAGGGCATGGTCGCGAGCCCTGGGATGAAGACATTGATCTATCCGGTACAGTGGGCTGGTTCACGACTATGCGCCCGATTTCTATCACTACTGAAGCTGGCCATGACGAAGACCTCATTACCACCCTGTGCCAGGTCAAAGATGTGAGGCACGCGGTCCCAAGCAACGGTTGGGCCTACTTCGCCAGCCGATTTCTACACCCTGACGGTAGAGATCAGTTCGGAGCGAATGGGTCGGCCGAGATTCTTTTCAACTACCTTGGACGGTTCCAACAGCTCGAAAATAAGGAGTCGTTGATCCAGCACGAGGCCAGAATTAGCGCTGGAGCTGATACGGCTGATCTAGGCCCAGACACTCCTCGCATGGCCATCATTGATGTTTCCGCGTCCGTGGAGAAAGGGGAGGCCATGCTTAGCATTGCATACAACAAGAACGTCCGTCATGCCTCTCGGATTGTTGACTGGGTCCAAAGGTTCGAGAAGGCGTTGCAAAGACTAGCTGATATGTTGCCCAACCGAGAGCGGGACTTTACAATTAGCGATCTGCCCCTGTTGAAACTGTCGACAGCTGGCCTGAGACGACTTGTTGACGATCAACTGCCAAGCATCGGCGTGCAGAGCATCGCCGAAATCGAGGATATCTATCCATGCTCCCCAATTCAGGAGGGTATCCTTGTTAGCCAAAGCAAGGTCGCTGGCCATTATGAGACTGCTTTCGAGTTCGAGCCTATCAGTCGAATGGGGGTTGTCGATGCTTCCAGGCTGGCGGCAGCTTGGCAAAGCGTTGTCGACCGGCATCCTATGCTCCGAACCGTGTTCATTGAAGGATTGGCCACGGACTCGGGCTTCGCACAGGTCGTTCTCAAGAAGTGCCCTGGAAAAGTCATACGGGAGCCTGTGGATGGTCAAACTTCACTCGGCGACGATCTTTCATCGTCTCGCCGCATGCCTCAATCGGCCCACCGGCTTGTGATCAAAGAGACAGAAGACGGTCATGTTCGTTGCAAACTGGAGATCAACCACGCACTCATCGATGGTGCTTCCTTGCCTATCTTGTTCAACGACCTCACGCAAGCTTACCTGGGCTCGCTTTCGAGCGACAGCGGGCCACTGTACCGGGACTATGTTGCTTATCTCTCACAGCATGCCGGAGATGCCAGCATGGGGTACTGGTCAGAGCACTTGAGCGGGCTTGAACCGTGTCACTTCCCTCGTCTTGCTGATTCAGCACATGCCGAGGCTCAGTTGCGCACAACTGAGCTAGCAATTGGCGACATCGCCTCAGAGATGAACGCTTTCTGCGCGGCTAACGATGTGACCGTATCAAACGTCATCTACGCAACATGGGCTGTTTTGCTCCGGGCTTATACAGGGTCAGAGGATGTTGCGTTTGGTTACCTGACATCTGGTCGTGATGTTCCAGTTCAGGGCGCAGAAGCGATCATCGGCCCCTTCATTAACATTCTGACATCGAGACTCCCGGTGCAGTCTGGTGTGCCAATGCGAGAGGTAGTAGAAGCGAGCAAAGAGGCATATTTGCAAGGTCTGCCTCATCAGAGCTGCTCGTTGGCAAGGGTCCAACACGACCTCGGGCTTTCTGGGCAAACCCTGTTCAACACCATCGTATCAGTGCAGACGCAATTGGCGACCGGCGACCCAGAGGAACCAGACTTGTACTTCCGTAGCATTGGTGGCCATGATCCGACCGAGGTAAGTTCGCCCTCAGCGCCTTAAAGGCCGTTTCGATCTCGCGCATCCAGAACGATGCGACAAGGATGGCAAATACTGACGATGTTTATAGTATGACATTACGGTGAATATTGGTGCTCAAGGTGGCACAGTGTCCGGCAACATCAAATACTGGTCTTGCGTCTTAACTGAACGCCAGGCCGAAGCTGTTGCCCAGGCCTTCTGCAGGACTTTGCAGTTCATTCTCAACAACTCAAGTAGCACCTACGAAGCTTTAGGGTGGTTGAGTGAATCCGACCAGACCACCGTCGGGCTCTGGAATGAAGGGTCTCCGGCAACGATGAACAACTGTTTGCACGATATGTTCAGCGAGCAAGTCAAAGCACGCCCTGGAGCTACGGCAATATGCTCATGGGATGGCGAGCTTAAGTACAGCGAGCTTGATGAGCTTTCAGACCAATTAGGCGGCAAACTCATCAAGCTAGGCGTCGAGAGAGGCTCGCTTGTGCCGTTATGCTTCGAGAAGTCCATATGGGCAGTTGTTGCTATACTGGCCGTGCTGAAGGCGGGCGGTTCCTATGTGCCGATGGTTCCTGATCATCCGGGTGCGCGTATAACTGGCCTTCTTGAAGATACTGGAGCTGGCTTGGTCTTGGTATCCGAGACGCAAGAGTCTCGTTTTGCCCGTCTTGCTGTCACACCGCATTTAGCAGTGAGCCCTGCCGTCATGAGCTCCCTCAACAGCCCTGAAACCCAGGACGAGAAGCCAAGCTGGCCATCCTCTCAGCCATCCGACGTCGCTGTTGTTATTTTCACTTCAGGAAGTACTGGCCGGCCTAAGGGCATACTCCTTGAGCATCGCGCTCTCTGTACAAGCATCTCAGCCCATGGTAAAGCGCTTCAGGTAACACCTGCCTCGCGTGTGCTACAATTCGCTGCCTTCACCTTCGACATCAGCCTTCAAGATATCTTTACTACTCTGGCTCATGGTGGGTGCGTGTGTATGCCATCTGAGCATGACCGCCTCAACGATCTTACTGGTGCCATCAACCGTATGGAGGTCAATTGGGCGGGCTTGACTCCAACAGTCGCTGCATTGTTACGACCAGATGCAGTCCCCACCCTGAAGACGCTGGTGTTAGCAGGAGAGGCGGTGACTGAGCAGGTTATCAAGCTGTGGTGTCCTGTCGTGGACCTTCACAACTGCTACGGTCCTGCTGAGAGCTCAATCTACTGCGCTTGGCAATCTCAGCTTGGCCATGCCCAGCGGCACCCAGCTAACATAGGATGGGGAATGGCTGCAAATCTCTGGGTTGCAGATTCTGCAGACTATAAGAGCCCGGCACCAGTTGGTGCGGTAGGAGAGCTTCTGGTTCAAGGACCGACACTCGCTCGAGGGTATCTCAACTTGAATGACCTTACCGCCACAGCATTCGTGGACCTCCCGCCCTGGGTTGCTAGCATTCGACACGAGGGGGACCGAGTGTACAGAACGGGTGATCTAGTCCGCTACACGGCTGATGGATCGCTTATCTATTGCGGGCGGAAGGATGGGCAGATCAAAGTGAGAGGCCAGCGTGTTGAGCTGGGTGAGATCGAGCACGCAATCGCAGGAATCCAGGACAAGGCCTCGCGTGTGGCCGTGGATGCGTTGCGGTTTGAGAACAGCAGCCGGGGTCAGCTCCTCGTCGCCTTCCTGGAGGAGAACGTCGAAGTTCATGTAAATGGATTGGCAGAAGAATCTCTGTCTCGTGATAGCATGAAAGAACTGTCAGACGGTGCAATACTGCCCACCTCCGCTGCCTTCCTGGAGAAGGTCCAATCACTCAAGTCTCAACTGACTACGCAACTGCCTACCTACATGGTACCACAAGCTTTCATTCCAGTTACCGAGCTTCCACTCAATGCTTCAGCCAAGGTCGATCGACGGACGCTGCGAGAATGGGCGAGCCGTCTCACAGGTGAAGACCTCGCGAGCTACAGCTCCCAGCCGACAGCTCAAGAACCCTCCACCGAGAGCCAGAAGAGGATACACGCCCTCTGGCAAGAGGTCCTTCAATTACCTGCGGCATCAATCGGTGTGGAGTCCAACTTCTTTCAACTTGGCGGAGATTCTGTCGACGCCATCAGATTTGTGGCAGCGGCAGGCGAAGTTGGCATCAAGATCTGTGTGAAACAACTATTCCAGTCTCCTCAGCTCTGCGCGTTGGCGGAAGAGGCCGAGAGATCAGAGACTGAGTCGCCAGAAATGCTTTCTGAGACGGAGCCTTTCACGCTTCTCGGCGACATCCAAGAAGAGGAACGAAACGCCCTGGTCACCGATGCAGCGCTTCAATGCGACATTGTTGAGGACATGATTCAGGACTTGTATCCATGCACTCAAATGCAGGAGGGCCTGATGGCTTTGTCAGAAACGCAACCGGGTGCATACATAGCCCATCACATGTTCCGCCTGCGATCCGACGTTGAACCAGAGCGCCTTAAAGCAGCGTGGGCACGCACACAGGAGGAATGTGACATCCTGCGCACCCGTATTGTATACGTCAAAAGCCGAGGTCCGCTGCAGCTGGTGATGCGGGAAGAGCAAGAGCTGCAGGTAATGGGGGGTCTAAAGAACCATATGGAACTTGCCAAGGAAACGAAGATGACATACGGCAGCATTCTTAGCCGTATGGCGCTGGTATCCGATGACGATGGAGCGCTCTTCTTGGTTTGGACCGCCCATCACTCTATTTATGATGGATGGAGTATCGGCAGCCTGGTACAAAGGCTCGAGGAAGCTTATGAGAATAACTCGGAGGTCACGGCAGAGTCCCCAGTGCCGTTCTCACGCTTCATTGAACATCTCATCACGGCAAATGGGTCTGATGAGGTATCAAGCTTCTGGCGAAACCACCTTGATGGGTGGGCTGGTACCTCCTTCCCCAAGCTTCCGTCGGTGACATACAAGGCCCGTACCAACCAGTCTGTGCGCCAATTGTTCTCCGTACCTGATGCGGTGATGCCTGGTGTTACCCACGCCTCACTCCTCCAGGCTGGTTGGGCAGCCGTGGTTTCAGCTCAGACCGGATCCGAGGACGTCGTCTTCGGCTTAACACTAAGTGGTCGTAATGCAGCCGTCCCAGGTATATCCCGGATGGTAGGCCCGACAATCACAACTATACCTATGCGAGTACAGCTTTCTGCCGCCTCTACCGCTCAAGAGATTCTTCAGCAGGTCCAAAAGACAGGTGTGGATGCCATACCTTTCGAGCAGGCCGGGTTGCACTACATCCGGTCATTGAGCGAAGATGCGCGAGAAGCCTGCCAGTTCCAAAGTCTCCTGGCTGTCCAGCCAGTGGGGAAGGCCAGCAATCAAGGCAACGGAGATGGTGATGCTCAGACAACGCGTTTGCTTACTCCAGAGGTCGAAGACGCTGACATTGCTGGTTTCCATACCTACCCACTGGTAGTAGAGTGTCGACTTGACACAGGCACTCTTCAAGTCGAAGCAGAGGCTCAATACGACGATACAGTCCTCTCCAAATGGGAGGTCGAGCGTTACCTCGAGCGGTTCGCATTCGCGGTATCACAACTGCATAGCAAGCCAGATGCTGCTTTGGATGGCCTTCATTCGTTGAGCCCTCGTGACACAGAGCTGTTGGCAATGTGGTCTGGGCCGCCATTGCTGACGGTAGAGAGATGCTTGCACGATTTCGTACGGGACCAAGTGCGAGATCGTCCGGAGGCCGTGGCTGTATCAGCCTGGGATGGTGAACTCACGTACACCGCCTTAAACGAACTCTCAAACCGGCTAGCATCCCATCTCATCAACCTCGGTGTCAATCCCGGCTCGATGATACCAGTCTGCTTCGACCGATGCAAGTGGGTTATTGTTGCTGTCCTCGCAATTCTTAAAACCGGCTCAGCTTTCGTGCCACTTGATGCAACAGTTCCTTCTGGCCGACTGCAGCAGGTAGTCAAGGCCACAGGGGCAACTCTCGCCGTGGGAGGTGACGAGAAACGAGATCTTCTTGCGGGCTCTGGTTGCGAGGTCGTGGTGGTGTCCGAGGCCGCTGAGAAGGACTGGCCTCTCGAGAACCTGTCCAAGGCCACCTCTGTGGAACCCTCATCCGTCGCCTATGTCATCTTCACCTCCGGAAGCACTGGGCTCCCGAAAGGTGTGGTCATGGAGCACCAAGCTGTCTGTTCAAGTGTGATGGCCCACGCGGAGCCATTTGGCATCGGGCCAGACAGCCGAGTGCTTCATTTCGCTTCCATGAGCTTTGATGCCTCTATTGCGGAGATATTTACGACTATAGCTCAGGGCGCCTGCATCTGCATACCCGACGAGGACCAACGCATGAGCGACCCTGCTGCGGCCATCAACCAGTATCGCGCTACATGGGCTTTCTTCACGCCAACAGTCCTCAATCTTATTGACCCAACCCAGGTCCCTTGCTTGAAGACAGTGGTTGCTGGCGGAGAGCTTGTGAGGAGTGAGCTTGTGGACCAGTGGGCTGACCATGTTGAGCTTCAAATCGCATACGGCCCAACTGAGGTCGCAATATTTTGCGCTGGAACGCAGCCTCTGCGACCAGGAAGCCAGTCAGGGGTCATTGGTTGTCCCCTTGGCGCTAAGGCCTTCGTGGTGAGCGTGGACAACCCTGCGCAGCTGGCACCTGTAGGCTCGGTCGGCGAGCTTTGGATGATGAGCCCTCAGCTAGCCAGGGGATACCTTGGGGATGAGGAAACTACAGCAGCAGCGTTCGTGGTTGATCCTCCCTTCGTACGCGATGCCCAATGCCATCGACTATACCGCACAGGAGACTTGGTGCGATATGTCGGTGATGGCGTACTGGGCTACCTTGGGCGCGTCGATTCACAGGTTAAGGTGCGAGGGCAGCGTGTGGAGTTGCCAGAGATTGAGAAGCAGCTCCTTGCCGACGAGAATGTAGACGAGGGTATGATCCTTTTCCCAAAGACGGGAAGCCTCACAGGGAAGGTTACAGCGATTATCACTGTTTCCGGGAACCGCCGCCATGAGCAGGAGCCTGCGGAAACCAGGTTGCCGGACGCAGATGGGCAAACTGGCCGCCAAGATAAATTCAGCCTCCTTCAAGGTGCACGACAAAAGATTGCTCAAATGCAAGCGGTCAAGGTAAAGCAAAACCTCACAAGCATCCTGCCGTCCTACATGGTACCGGCGGCATGGTTGGTCGTCCAATCGATTCCCACAACGATATCTGGCAAAATAGACCGCCAGCTCGCTACTCGATGGGTCGCTGGGTTGGAAGAAGATATCGCACAGATGGCTTACCTGAGCTCTGAAGAGGATCAAGCAGTGGCAGAAAACCAGGCGGATTCATCAGGCGCAGTCACAGTAACGGAGCAAACCTTGCAGCAGGTTTCTGCTGCCGTTCTTGGTCTGCCAGTCGATAAAGTCTTCATGGGCAAGTCTTTCTTGAATCATGGCGGCGATTCAATCAGCGCAATGCAGCTATCATCGGGCTGTCGAGAGCATGGACTACACCTGAGTGTCCAGGATATTCTGCGCAGCCGCACCTTATCCCAGCTTGCTTTGCATATGCGCAGTCTGGATGACTCCAAGGTGTCGCGGACGGAGACGTTCGACGAACCATTCGACCTATCCCCCATTCAGCAACTTTACCTTCAGCTTGACAAAACAAGTGGCGCAGGCCGCTTCAACCAAAGCTTCTTCGTTCGACTTACAAGGCCCAAGGACGTTGTCCACATCGTACGAGCAGTTGAGACGCTGGTCAGCCACCACTCGATGCTGCGAGCAAACTTTAGCATCGATCAAGCCTCGGGCCGCTGGAAACAGACTGTCTCAGCTCCACTTCAGACATCTTCGCCCTGCAATGTCCACGAGGTGGCGAAAGATCAAATGCCCGCTATCATCGCTGAGACACAGGCGAGAATCAACCTGCGAAATGGACCGGTCTTTGCAGTTGATCTTTTTGAACTTGATGGAGAAGAATCCAATGACAAGGCACCTATCAGCAAGGCCGAATCTTCATCTTCTTCGCGGTCACAAGTTTTGTTCCTTACCGCACACCATATGGTCGTCGACCTAGTCTCATGGCGCACCCTGCTCCAGCAACTCGAAGAGTTGTTAGAGACTGGTAAATTATCAGCGCAACGCCCTCTGCCTTTCCAAGTCTGGAACACTCTGCAACAAGCCTATGTTGAGACCTCTATCTCCTCGGCCGCTGCGTTGCCGTTTGAACTCCCTCCCAATAACCTCGAATTTTGGGGACTACACGACCAAAGCAACGTTTGGGGTGATGTGGTCACTGAGGGATTCGACCTTGGTATGGATGTTACAAATCTTTTGCTTCACGAGTGCAATACAGCGCTCAACACTGAACCAATCGACTTATTCACCGCCGCATTGATTCGTTCCTTCCATCTCACGTTCCCAGAACGTGACCTCCCCACACTATTCAGCGAGAGCCACGGCCGCGAACCTTGGGATGCCAACATCGACCTTTCTGGTACCGTCGGCTGGTTTACAACCATGAGACCGATAGCTATTGCAACTGACATGTACATTCTCGACACATTGAAACAGGTCAAGGATGCCCGACATGCCACTCCAAGTAACGGCTGGGCGTACTTTGCTAGCCGTTTCTTCCACCCCGAGGGCCAGAAGTCTTTTAAGCTTGACGGCCCAGTTGAGATCATCTTCAACTATTTGGGACGTTTCCAGCAATTCGAACGTAACGACTCCCTTCTACGACAAGAGACCTGGGTTGGGGGACTTGAGGCTGCCGACATTGGCCCCGAGAGCCCACGCATGGGTGTAATTGATGTGTCTGCGAGCATTAGTGACGGGCATGCTACGCTAAACTTTGCTTACAGCAAGAAGGCCAAGCATGTCGCGCGCTTTAAAGAGTGGATTCAGAGTTTCGAGGAGACCCTGGTTGCCATGACCAAACTGTTACCTAGTCGCCGTCGGGAATACACGATTAGCGACCTGCCTCTACTGAGACTTACAGACACTAGCCTACGGTCCTTGGTCACCGACAGGCTACCTGGCATCGGTGCCACCGTGGATGATGTTGAGGACATATATCCTTGCTCTCCTCTCCAAGACGGAATTCTCATCAGCCAGGCTCGGGAGGCTGGTCACTACGACACAGTCTTTGCATTTGAGATCACTAGCATCTCTGGAACAGTCAGCTCCACAACACTTGCCAGGGCTTGGCAGGCTGTGGTTGACAGACATGCGATCTTGCGTACGCTGTTCATTAACAACCCTACTTCGGATGTCGGTTTTGCACAAGTTGTGCTCAAGGATGTTCGCGCAAATGTGGTCATGCAGCGGACTCAAAATGATGGTGCCGTGACGAATCTCGTGGAGCCCCTTGACTCTATCGATGGCAAGGGCGAGGCAGCAGATCCGAGGAGCCGGCCAGAGCACAGATTCGTCATCGATGAGTTGGAGGGCGGCCGTCTTGAGTGTCGACTGGAAATCAATCACGCGCTCATTGATGGCGCTTCAATCCCTGTTTTGTTCGGAGATCTGATCCGAGCATATACAAACGACCTCCCCTCCAGTGCTGCGCCACTTTATCGTGATTATATCTCTTATCTCTCAGAGAATGAGGAGGACGAAGCACTAGCCTACTGGAAAGACAAACTCGCCGGCCTTGAGCCGTGCAACTTCCCGAGCATGGCTGATGGGACACATGCAGCTGCCGACGAACAGCCTACTCTAAACGAGATCACACTGGACACGGAGGATCTCGCGGATCAAGTCGAAGCCTTTTGCGCGGCCAATGAGGCGACCGTGTCGAACCTGACTTATGCAGCATGGGCCTTGGTCTTGCGTGCATACACTGGATCAGAGGACGTCTGTTTCGGATATTTGAACTCAGGGCGCGATGTACCGATCCCCGAAGCCGAGGCAACTGCCGGACCTTTTATCAATATCCTGACTGCTCGATACAACGTGTCGTCCAAGTCAACGATGAAGGATCTTATGGATGCAAGCAAAGACGCATACGTCCAATCACTGCCTCATCAGAGCTGCTCACTAAGCAAAATCCAACATGAGCTTGGCCTAAGCGGACGGAAGTTGTTCAACACTGGAGTGTCTGTGCAAAGCACCGGAAGAATCAGTGGCAATGCTCAGGAGTCTGAGCTGCAGCTCCGTAGCATCGGTGGTCACGACCCAACAGAGGTATTGTACAAACAGATGACTGTTTCGAAGTTTAGTGCTGACACTTAGTAGTTTGATATCACCCTGAATGTCGGCGTTCAAGCTGGTCAATTGTCAGGCAATATTAAATACTGGTCCACTACCTTGACAGAGTCGCAGGCTGTCGCTGTGGCACAGTCCTTCTGCACTGCCCTGCGGCTCTTGATCGGCGATGTTCACAGCACATACGACAACATTGGCTGGTTGAGCAGCGCCGATGAGAACCTTGTGAGCGATTGGAATAACGCTGCGGATATCGAGATAGTCGATGCATGCATGCATGACATGTTCCAAGATCAGGCACTCAGAAACCCGGACAAGGAGGCGATCACCTCCTGGGATGGCGATTTAACATATCGTGAGCTAGACCTGCTTTCAGATCGCTTGGCTGTCCAGCTTATTGGTCTTGGCGTCACTGCAGAGGTTGTGGTGCCGCTATGTTTTGAAAAGTCGTTGTGGCCTGTGGTGGCAATGCTCGCTGTGCTCAAGGCAGGCGGTGCGTGTGCCCCTATGATCCCTGAGCATCCTGATGATCGTCTTGCAGCCATCATCGAAGATACTGCGGCAACTCTGGTTCTGGTCTCGGAGAGTCAGGAGTCCAGATTCAGCAGTCTTGTCAGTCAAACGATCACCGTCAGTGCATCTACATTAGGGTGGCCGACCAACGCCGATAGCCCCCTTGATGACACTCAGAAGCCGAAGCCGTCAGCTACGCCTTCTAATATGTCTTTTGTGATGTTCACATCAGGAAGTACCGGCCGTCCAAAGGGTGTCCTCCTGTTGCACCATTCCTTGGCTACAATGATCAGGGCACAGATCAGACGCATGGGGTATAAGCCAGACTCCCGCGTGCTTCAATTTGGTGCATTCAGCTTCGATCTAAGCATAGAAGATATCTTTACAACGCTTTCTGCTGGTGGTTGTATCTGCATGCCCTCTGAGCACGACCGGGTCAACGATCTTACAGGCGTCATCAATAGGATGAGAATCGACTTTGCTGCCGTAACTCCATCGGTGGCCGCTCTTTTGGTGCCAGACTCGGTACCGACTCTCAAAACTCTCGTCTTCGTCGGCGAGGCATTGACAGCATATGTTATCAAACCTTGGATTGGGCGCGTCAAGCTGATGAACGGTTATGGTCCCACTGAAGGTACTATCTTATCCTCACTCCAAGACAACATCGACCCCCAAGCCCCAGGAAATATCGGCAAAGCTATTGCAACAACTCTTTGGGTCGCTGATCCCTCCGACTACAGACATCCGGTGCCGGTCGGCGTTGTTGGTGAGCTACTCTGTCATGGGCCAACCTTGGCCCGCGGTTATCTTGATGAGCGCCAGAATAAGGGTGCATTCGTCAAGGTTCCAACCTGGATCAAAAAAACACTACAAGGCTCCCCATGGGATCGCGTATATCGTACCGGAGACTTGGTACGATATGCGGAGGACGGTTCTCTTCACTGCCTAGGCCGCAAAGATACCCAAGTGAAGATGAGAGGCCAGCGTTTGGAAGTTGGCGAGATTGAATATGCCATTACCAGCGCCACTGAAGGGGCTCGTGTTGTCGTGGATGCCGTGCAGCCAGAAGACATCAAGCGAGCTAAAATGCTTGTGGCATTCCTCGAGCAAGATGAGCAGTCGAACCAAGATAGTGACGCAAGCACCACGCTCGACAAACACAACAACCAGAACACGGAGATCGAGCTGCTACCGCCCACAATTGCGTTCGCGAAGATGGTTGCGTCGCTGAAGAAGCATTTGGCTACAAAACTGCCAGCTTTCATGATACCGCGAGTGTTCCTTCCACTGGCGCGTATGCCACTCAGTCCGAACGGAAAGGCCGAACGCCGCAAACTAAGGGATTGGGCGAGCAAACTCGATGCTGAGTCTCAGTATGCCTACGCTTATGTTGTAGCCGAGCGCGTTGAGCCTTCCACTGTAGCTGAAAAACAACTTTGCGAACTTTGCGAAGGCGTCCTTCGGTTGCCAAAGGAGTCGGTCGGCACGAATGATGATTTCTTCCAGCTTGGTGGCGATTCCATCGATGCAATGCGCCTGGTTGCAGCTGCTGGTGAAATCGGGTTAAATCTATCAGTTGGGCAGCTTTTCCGCCGTTCACAGCTCTCCTCTCTGGCCAAAGAAGTTGAGGTTTCTGGGAACGCTTCAGAAGCGGATGAAGCGGCAGTCCGGGCGTTCACCTTGCTGGGCGAAATTGAACAAGACGAGAAAGCCTCGCTTTTAGCCGAGGCCGCACGGCAATGTGGTGTTGAAGAAGAAAAAGTGCAGGATATTTACCCCTGTACGCCACTGCAAGAAGGCCTCATGGCAATCGCTGCTAAACAGCCCGGCGCATACATGGCGCAACATACCTTCCGCTTGAGATCGAATGTTGATTTGGGTCGTTTCAAGGCATCATGGGCACAGACGACGAAGCATTGCGATATTCTCCGCACACGTATCGTTTACACTGAGGGACGGGGGCCACTGCAGGTGGTTGTGGATGAGACGCCATCCTGGTTCGAGCATAATGATCTGCATGAATACCTCAAAGTCGACAAGGAGAAGGCCATGGTGTACGGGACAGCTTTGAGCCGTCTAGGACTTATTCTTGGCGAGGAAGACAACACTCTTTACGCCGTATGGACCGCACACCACACCGTCTATGATGGCTTCTCATTGGGCATGGTTAGGGGATTGGTCGACCAAGCATATGACGCCAATTCCATGGCGCTTGCACTTCCACCGATACCTTTCTCACAGTTCATCAAACATCTTATCACAGGAGCTGCTCCCGATGGAGTCACGGTCGAGCAATACTGGCGCCAAAATCTGGACGGGTGGAACGGTATGCCCTTCCCCAGACTCCCCTCAGCGACGCACCAAGCACGCACCAACCAAAACACGGCATACCGCTTCGAAATGCCAGAGCCCTCCATCCCCGGCATTACGCTTGCTTCACTCTTGCAAGCTGGGTGGGCAGCAGTTCTCGCCTGTCATACTGGCTCAGATGATGTAGTGTTCGGATTAACGCTGAGTGGAAGGAACGCCTCTGTGGCGGGCATCACTCGTATGGTCGGCCCAACGATCTCAACAGTGCCTATGCGGCTCAAATACAACGCGATGGCTACCGTGAGTGATCTTCTGCACGGTATTCAACGCAATTCCACGGACATGATACCGTACGAGCAGGCTGGCTTGCATCATATTCGATCTGTCAGCTCGGACGCCCAGGCTGCCTGTAACTTCCAAAGCCTGGTGGCCGTGCAACCTTCTCAGAAAGCGACTCCAGACGACAACGAGGAGCCGAGTCAGGAGCCCCTCATGATGCCCCAGATTGAAGGTGTTGATCTTGCGGGCTTCCACACATATCCTCTGATTGTAGAGTGTTGGCCTTCGGAGCACAAAATGGAGTTCACTGCTCAGTATGACGACAAGGTCCTCTCAGAATGGGAGGTGCAGAGGATACTCGCGCAGTTCGCCTATCTGGTGACCCAGCTAGCCACGTCGGATCCGAAAGCCACGGTCAATACAATCGGCACCTTCAGCTCGCAGGACGCCGCCTTGGTCTGCGATTGGAATAATGCATCATCGACAACAGCACTCGATGCTTGTATTCATGAGATGGTTCAGGAACAAGCGCTCTTGCGCCCAGAAGCACCAGCATTGGCTGCATGGGACGGTAATCTGACCAACAGCGAGTTGAACATGGCCTCACATCGACTTGCGTCGCAACTCATTAAGCTCGGCGTTGGAGCTGGGGTCTTAGTGCCTGTCTGCTTCGAAAAGTCTATGTGGGCAGTTGTTTCCATGTTGGCAGTCCTAAGAACAGGCGCAGCGATTGTTCCGATGGCCCCTCAGGACACGGATGAACAGCTTGCCGCCATTATTCGAGAAACGGGAGCTGAGGTGGTCGTCGTTTCTGAGGCACAAGAAACCCGTTTCTCCCATCTCGCCGAGCGTCCTTGCGCGGTTGGTCCATCAAGTCTGAGCTGGTCAAAACAGCATGAGGCTTTTGAGAAGATGGCCACTGAGCCGGCAGTCAGTCCTTCAGACCTTGCCGTCGTCATATTCACCTCAGGAAGCTCAGACGAACCAAAGGGCGTGCTTCTCGAACATCGCGCTTTGTGCACGAGCATGATGGCGTATGGCAAGGCACTAGAAATAGGGCCTACATCTCGTGTCTTGCAGTTTGCTGCTTTTACCTTCAACGTCAGTTTTCAGGATATTTTCACTACCCTAATAAGGGGTGGTTGCGTATGCATTCCCTCCGAGGAGTCTCGCCTGAATGACCTCCCCGAAGCCATCAACAGTTTGCAAGTTAATTGGGCTAGTTTGACCCCGACCGTGGCCAGCGTCCTAAAGCCAGAGTCTGTGCCTTCTCTTAGAACCCTCACGCTTGCAGGCGAGGCAGTCACGACTCAGGTCGTTGAAACGTGGGCTAACGCTGTTGACTTGCACAATTGCTACGGGCCAGCGGAGAGCTCTATCTACTGTACCTGGCAGTCTGATGTAGGCACTGGCCGGCATCCAGCCAACATTGGACGGGCGATAGCGGCAACAGTTTGGGTTGCTGATCCTTCCGACTACAATCGCCCAGCTCTAGTGGGTGCCGTCGGTGAACTGTTGGTGCAGGGCCCCTCCCTGGCTCGTGGTTATCTCAACGATGAGGACCAAACCGCGGATGCCTTCAAACAGCCGCCAGCGTGGATTGCGAACCTTTCGTCCGAAACCGGATCTAGTAAGGTTTACCGCACTGGGGATATTGTGCGATACTCCGAAGATGGTTCTCTCATCTACTGTGGACGAAAGGACTCGCAGGTCAAGGTGCGAGGGCAGCAAGTGGAGTTAGGAGAAGTCGAGCAAGAGTTGAACAAGCTCGAGAACGTAGAGACTGGACTTGCGTTATTCACCAAAGAGGGGCCGCTGGCTGGCAAGGTTATAGCGGTGGTCTCTCTTTCTAGCCAAGGAGTGCAGGCACCTGCTGATGAGGAGACGTCCCTCGGGAAGGTTATCCTGAACGATGGCCTTTCTACCCTCAAGGGCGCACTCAAAGCAGTGGCTAAGCTGCAGGCTGTCAGGATGCAGCAGGCACTGACTGACAAGCTGCCTAATTTCATGATCCCCTCGACGTGGCTCATTGTGGAGTCAATTCCTCTCAACTCTGCTGGAAAGGTGGACCGACGTCGGGTCATGCAATGGGTGTCACGCACGGACGAGCTTTCGTCAGAAGCAGAGCTTCTTGGGCCAGAGCATGAGGCTGCTGTCGACTCTGAAGGACCCGTTGGAAGTGCCGCAACGGCGATGGAGCAAGCTCTGCAAGAGGCCTGCGCTGAAGTTTTTGGCATTGGCATCGAGCAGGTGTCAATGGCGCGATCGTTCTTCAACCATGGTGGCGATTCTATCACAGCGATGTCACTCTCGTCATATTGCCAACGCCAAGGGATCAAGATTACCGTGCAGGAAATCATGCGCGCTACTACCCTTTCACAACTGGCAATGCGCATGAAGAGCGCTGGCGACTCGAAGGTTCCTAGAGATGAACCATTTGATCAACCCTTTGACCTTTCGCCCGTCCAGCAGCTCTATTTCGATCTTGGTAGCGACGGAGCAGTCAATGCCCGATTCAACCAGGGCTTCTTCGTACGTCTTACACGTCGGAAGAAGGTCTTGGAAGTGGCTCGCGCCGTGGAGGCCCTCGTCAGCCATCACTCCATGCTGCGCGCTCGCTTCGCTACTGATGACAGTGGCAAGTGGTACCAGTATGTTACTGCAGAGATCCAGAACTCCTATGAGTTCAGTGTGCACGAAGTTCCGCAGAAAGACGGGGATACACTCATGGCGTCTGTCAATGCGAAGCTGCAATCTCGAATCAACCCGCAAACAGGCCCTATATTTGCCACCGCATTATTCGAGCTTGACGAGGGCGAGGCAGAACCAGCACAGGTCATGTTCCTGGTCGCACACCATCTGGTTGTGGATTTGGTGTCCTGGCGCGTGTTACTTCAACAGCTGGAAGAGCTCCTGGACACTGGCAAGCTATCCGCAGGTCCACCTGTTCCGTTCCAAGTCTGGTGTGATCTTCAGAAGTCCTACGTCGAGGAAAATCTCTCAGTAGACCTGACGCTACCGTTCCCATTACCCTCCAATGATATTGACTTCTGGGGCCTAGACCAAGATTCATATACCTGGGGTGATATCGAGGGCGGCGGGTTCGAACTTAGTAAGGAAGCCACAGATCTCCTTCTTGGCGATTGCAACACCGCCTTCAAAATAGAGACTGTCGACATTCTCACCACAGCTCTTATCTATTCTTTCCAACAAACCTTCCAAGAACGGGAGGTTCCGGCAGTCTTCAGTGAAGGCCACGGGCGTGAGCCGTGGGATCCAGATATCGACATATCAGGCACAGTTGGCTGGTTCACCACGCTACGGCCCTTGGCAGTCTCTGTTGATAAGCACGATATAGTGGAAACACTCCGGAGAACCAAGGACGCCCGGCTAGCAACGCTAAGCAATGGTTGGGCTTACTTCGCGAGCCGCTTCTTGCATCCTGAGGGTCGTGAGGCCTTTGGCATGAATGATCCCGTCGAGATAGTTTTCAACTATCTTGGGCAGTTTCAGCAGTTTGAGCGCAGTGATTCCCTGTTGCGTCTCGAGCCTCGTCCTGGCGGCCTCGAGGCGGCTGACATGGGCCCAAACACCCGCCGTATGGCTGCGATTGATGTCTCTGCACTGGTGAAAGATGGCAAAGCAGTTGTCAGTTTGGTCTACAACAAGAAGATTCGTCATTTGAACCGTCTCGGCGAATGGAGAACCCTTTTCGAGAAGGCACTGATGACGCTTGTCAAGGTTCTGCCTGCCCATGGTCGCGAGTATACCCTGGAGGACCTTCCCCTTCTCAAACTCTCACGACCAGCCTTGCAACAACTTGTCAGTGACCGCCTTCCAGGTATTGGCATTAACGATATAGATGAGGTTGAGGACATTTATCCTTGCTCCCCAATTCAGCAAGGCATCCTTATGAGCCAGGTCAAGGTTGCCGGCCACTACGATACACAATTCTCCTTTGAAGCAATTGGCCGCTCTGCTATTGATGGAGACCGACTTTTCCGAGCGTGGCAGCAGGTTGTCGAGCGACATGCTATACTTCGTACCGTATTTATCAACGGAGTTACACTCGACGGCAGCTTTGCTCAAGTTGTCCTGAAAGACTTCAAAGCAGTTGTCGTGCGAAAGATCGAGGGAGAAATTGAGCAAGAGGCGGGCTCGGCACACGATCATCGACCGGCGCACAAATTCGTCATCAAGGACGGTGCGGACGGTCGCCTTGTATGCCGGCTCGAAATAAGCCATGCCCTCATTGATGGCGCATCCATGCAGCTCCTGTTCGGTGACCTCATGCGAGCTTATACTGGTGACTTGCCAACAGGACACCGACCCCTTTACCGCGACTACATTGCACACCTATCGGCAAACGGGGGATTCTCTGATGGAATGGCATACTGGACTAACCACCTAGCGGGCATTGAGCCTTGCTACTTCCCACCCCTAGTTACTCAAGCAATTGGTGCAGCGACAGAGGAGCGCCAACTTGGGACTGTCAACATTCCTCCGGGTGACTTGCCAGTCGATCTCCAAGCCTTCTGTGCTGAGAATGACTTGACCATCTCTAATGTGGTTCACGCGGCTTGGGCCATCGTACTACGTGCTTACGCCGGCTCAGAGGATGTCTGCTATGGCAATCTCACCTCGGGTCGCGATGTTCCTGTCGAGGACGTCGACAATATCGCTGGCCCGTTCATCAACCTTCTCGCTACTCGCCTTCCTATCAATGCTGAAACGACGATGGCTGACCTGCTATCTGCCAGCAGAGAGTCATATGCCCAGTCGATACCCTATCAGAGTGTGTCACTGGCGAGTGTGCAGCATGAGCTCGGTTTGAAGGGACAACCTCTATTCAACACCTTGGTATCCATCCAGACCCAGGCTGCAGGTGAGGCTCTGCAGCAAGAAACGCCTGAGGTGTACTTCCGTTCTGTTGGCGGCTACGATCCCACAGAGGTGAGTGATCCAGTACCATCCTGTCGCCCTGGCGTGGCGTGGAGCCTGCATCAGAGATCTTTGAGAGCATTGCTAACCTCGTTCTAGTACGACATCACTCTCAATATCGCCATCCGAGGGGGCGTGGTATCCGGCAACATCAAGTACTGGAGTTCGGTCATGAATGATGCACAAGCTATTGCCGTGGCTGAAGCCTTCAACGGTGCTATGCGCTTCCTGGTCGGGTGTCCTGATCTCACTTTTGGAAGCATCGGATGGCTAAGCAACACGGATGCGGCGACCGTTGGCTGCTGGAACCAAGACTATCCAGCAGCCCTAGAGTCGTGTCTACACCTTTTGTTCCAAGAGCAAGCGCACCTCCGTCCTGATGACACAGCGATCTCGTCTTGGGATGGTGAGATGACTTATCGCGAGCTCGATCTGGAGTCTAGCCGCTTGGCTGCTTACCTTTCTAGGCAGGTGGCACCAGGGGAGTTGGTGCCCCTGTGTTTTGAGAAATCACGTTGGGCCGTCGTTGCTATGTTGGGTGTACTTAAGGCTGGAGGCGTTTGCGTGCCTATGGTTCCTGAACATCCAGACTCTCGACTCATTGGTATAATTGAAGACGCCACAGCCAACACATTGCTGATATCAGAGTCCCAGAAGGCCCGATTCACTGGTCTCGCAAAGAACGCTATTAGCATCGGACCAAACTCGGAGGCATGGTCTGAGAGTCCGAACGGCCACCTCCAACAAGTACAGCCATCAGATCTAGCTTTCATCATCTTTACTTCTGGTAGCACTGGTCGACCGAAGGGCGTTCTTCTCGAACACCGTGCGCTCTGCACAAGCATTGGAGCGCACGGAGACGCTTTGAAGATAGGCCCGTCCTCACGAGTGCTCCAATTTGCGGCCTTTAGCTTCGACATTTCCCTCCAAGACGTTTTCACAACGCTAACTAGAGGCGGTTGTGTGTGTATTCCTTCTGAACACGATCGACTTAACGACCTGGCTGGTGCGATCAATTCTCTTGGTGTCAACTGGGCTGGGTTGACACCGACCGTGGCCGCGCTCCTCCAACCCCAATCAGTTCCGAAACTGAAAACGCTGGCCTTGGCCGGTGAGGCTCTGACCGCCCAGGTAGTTGATGTCTGGAGCAAAGAGGCAAAGATTCACAATTGCTATGGCCCTGCAGAAAGCTCAATTTACTGCGCCTGGCAGGGAATCCCCGAGAAAGAAGGTCGCCATCCATCCAATATTGGCATAGCACTGGCGACGACGTTGTGGGTTGCCGACGCCAGAGATTACACCCAACCTGCACCAGTGGGCGTTCCAGGCGAACTTCTGATCCAGGGACCAACATTAGCCCGAGGATACCTCAATGATGAGGCACTTTCCTCGAGCGCATTCGCCCCATCTCCCGCATGGATCGCTAGCTACCGCCCTCAGGGGCAGTGGGGACGAGTCTATCGCACGGGAGACCTCGTACGGTACGACGAAGACGGGACATTGGTTTACCTGGGACGGAAAGACTCGCAAGTCAAATTGCGCGGTCAGCGCGTGGAGCTGGCTGAGATCGAGTACGCCATTCTGGGGGCTCGCACAGAAGCTTCACGTGTGGCAGTTGACCTATTCCCAACAGCTGATCGAGAACGTGGTGATATTCTCATTGCGTTAATCGAAGAAACTCAGGCGGATCGAACCTTAGTGGACGAGGCAAGAGAGCCACGCTCTTCGCAGCCCCTGCTACCGGCATCTACAGCGCTCATCAGCAAGTACCAGGCGCTCAAATCCTCTCTATCAGTAAAGTTGCCGGCATTTATGATACCGCAAGTCTTCATACCACTCCTCAAGATGCCTCTCAACTCCTCCGGTAAAATCGACCGGCGACGACTGCGGGAGTGGATCGGCGCCCTTGCTGCCGAAGACATTGCTGCTTACAGCAGCCGACGAGCAAAGAAGCGTGAGCCATCTAGCGATACAGAGAGACGCCTCCAAATGCTTTGGGAGATGATTCTCCGTTTGCCATCCGGCTCAGTCGGGGCGGATGACCACTTTTTGGAACTTGGAGGCGACTCAATCGATGTAATGAGACTTGTTGCTGCAGCAGGAGAAGTCGGCCTGACAACATCAGTTGGTCAAGTTTTCCGCACGCCACACTTGTCTGCATTGGCGCACGATATCGACACGGCCGGACACAAAGCGTCTGAGGTGGAAGCCATCTATCAGCCCTTCTCTCTACTATTCAAGAACCAAAAGAGTGTAGAAGGTGAGGAACTGACAACTCTGGTGTCGATCGCAGCTGATCAGTGTGGCGCCAATGCCACGGCCATCCATGACATCTTGCCCTGCACAGCCTTGCAAGAGGGTCTGATGGTCCTCACCGCAAAGACTCCAGGCGCCTACATGGCACAGCATATCTTCCGCCTCAGACCGAATGCTGATACAGAACGACTCAAGGCGGCATGGGCCAGAACTGTGGCTCAGTGTGATATTCTTCGCACGCACATCGTATATGTCGAAGGTTGGGGCCCTCTTCAAGCTGTTGTGGACGAAAGCCCGATATGGCAGGATGAAAGCAACCTCCAGAACTTCCTGACGCAAGACAAAAAGAGGTCAATGGAATATGGCAAGCCGTTGAACCGGGTTGCTCTTATATCCGAAGCCAAAGAAGGCCACGACAATGACATGTTCCTTGTTTGGACTGCGCACCACGCTATTTACGACGGCTGGTCTATTGGGTTGGTGAAGCAATTGATGGAACAGGCTTACGCACAAGGAGACGGCGAGTCACCTATACTGTCTCCACTGCCGTTCTCACATTTCATCAAGCACGTCTCGGTCGGAAATGACGCTGGAACTTCTCCAAGCAACGACTTCTGGTTGCAGCACCTCGACGGCTGGAGCGGTGCTCATTTCCCAAAGCTCCCATCGACAATCTATCAGCCGTCTGCCAACAAAAGCATCGACCATAGCTTCTCAATGCCGACAGAGAAGCTTCCTGTCGGCGTGACCCATGCCCTCCTCTTGCAAGCAGGCTGGGGAGCCGTCCTGTCCCAGCAAACAGGGTCAGAAGACGTTTGTTTCGGATTGACGCTCAGTGGCCGCAACGCTCCGTTACCAGGAATTACACATATGGTCGGCCCAACCATCACTACAGTGCCGTTGAGACTGAAAATCGATCCAGCTTCCACAGTCCAGAGGCTCCTCGAATCTGTCCAACAAGCTTCCACAGATATGATACCATTTGAGCAAGCGGGCCTGCACCGCATTCAGTCACTGAGCTCAAACGCCCAAGCGGCTTGCCAGTTTCAGAGTCTCCTAGCCGTGCAGCCAGGTAGCAGAGACGGCGCCAGGGGTTCTGACCAGAAGCCCTTGTTAACGCCCTACACCAACGGCACCGATTTGGGAGGTTTTCACACATACCCCCTTGTTGTGGAATGCCGACCGAGCCAGAACACGATCGAGCTAGAGGCCCAATACGATGATGCCGTGGTTTCCGAGTGGGAGGTTCGAAGGTTGCTCTATCAATTCGCACATATTGTGCAAGAGTTTGGCCGCGCTGACCTCCACCTTGCGATTCGCGATATCAATGCATTTGGACCACGAGACGCGCTCCTCGTTCAGGAATGGAATGCCACACTCCCGAACGACATTATGTCATGCGTGCATAATCTGGTTCAGAAGCAGGTAGATGTTCGCGTGGATTCGGCGGCGGTATCGGCTTGGGATGGCGATTTGACGTATGGAGAGCTGAACGAGCTCTGTAATCGTCTTGCCGCTCGACTTGCCAATCTCGGTGTCGGAAAGGGCTCAATAATTCCGATGTGCATCGAGAGGTCCTCATGGGTGGTGGTTGCCATCTTGGCTGTCCTCAAAGCCGGAGCTGCCTTTGTACCTCTTGACTCTGCCGTCCCTAGCAGCCGACTACAGTCCATCGTTGAAGACACCCGCGCTTCTATTGCCCTTGGCAGTCCGGAGAAGCTCAGTCTTCTGTCAGCATGCGGCCTAACGTGCGTGGAGGTATCAAGCACTGCTGCTGCCACGGAGTGGCCGTCATCGGCGGCCTCAGTAAATGCCATGACAAAACCAACCGACATCGCCTACATTATGTTCACTTCTGGCAGCACAGGCCGACCCAAGGGCGTTCTAATGGAACATCATGCACTATGCTCTGGAGTAAGAGCTCAAGGAAACGCGATGAACTTCACCGCAGAAACACGAGCGTTGCACTTCGCATCTCTTAGCTTCGATGCCTCTATTGCTGAGATCATCACAACTTTGTGCTTTGGTGGCTGCGTATGCGTCCCAGACGAACAACAGCGCCTAAATAGCCCAGCCGACGCCATTAATAACTATAAAGTCAACTGGGCTTTGATCACCCCATCTGTTATCGGTCTCATAAAGCCGGACGACGTTCCTTCACTCGCCACGCTGGTGCTTGCTGGCGAGGCAATTCGAGAGGAGAATATCCAGGCATGGGCAGGCCGGGTGCATCTCATTAACGGCTACGGACCTACAGAGACTTGCGTCATCTGTGTGGCAGAGAAGATCTTGCCGCGCTACTTACACCCAGCCACCATTGGGAAGGCGGTTGGAACTATCCTGTGGGTTGTGAGCCTCAGCAATGATACGCAGCTTGCAACGGTTGGCTCAATTGGTGAGTTATGGGTTGAGGGTCCACAGCTAGCTCAAGGATATCTCAACAACGAGGAAGCCACAACAGCGGCGTTCGTGGTTGATCCGCCGTTCCTGAGTGGCGGCGCACAGGGTCGTCGACTCTATCGAACAGGAGACTTGGTCCAATACAACGAAAACGGTTCACTGCGGTACCTTGGACGCAAAGACTCACAGGTCAAGGTCCGCGGGCAACGTGTCGAGCTGCTTGAGATCGAGCATCAGCTCTGCTCTCTCGAGCGCATTGATGCCGGCATCATAATGTTTCCCAAGGAAGGCCCTCTGAAAGGAAAGGTGACTGCCATTTTCACCCTCCTCGGCAGTGACAACGACGCAGCTGTCAACGGCCACAGTGGCCATACCAACGAGCATGCCAATGGCCATTCAAACGGTTTCGAGAATGGCCTCGCAAATGGCCACCATGAGGAGGAACAGGACCCCGAGAAAGCACATAATCCCGCCAAGGCTGACATCCGCCAACTCCAAGGAGCTTCGAGAGATGAAGCGTGGAGACAGACGGTCAGGATGCGACAAGCTCTGGCTGATCAACTGCCATCGTACATGGTTCCAACGGCATGGCTGGTTGTCGAGTCAATCCCTCTCCAAGCTTCAGGGAAGCTAGACCGTGCTTTAGTTATGCAGTGGGTGTCAAGTATGCCGGAGCAAACGGCCCATGCTTCCCTTCTTGACCAGACAAGCATCGATGTCGAAGATCCAGCATCAGCCGCTGCCACCTTGACCGAACAGACGGTGCAGCAAGCATGTGCTGATGTTTTGGGCCTATCAATCGAAAAGGTCGCTATGTCTCGTTCCTTCTTGAGCCTTGGAGGCGACTCCATTGCTGCAATGCAACTGGCTTCTCGATGCCGCGCGCTTGGTCTAAGGGTCACTGTACAAGAAATCCTTCGCAGTCCGACGCTGCTGCAGCTCTCGCTTCGCGCGAGTATTGAAGATTCTGAAATTCCGCGAGATGAGACATTTGACGAGCCATTTGAGCTTTCCCCAATGCAAGAGTTATACTTCGGACTTGGGGAGACTGCGGGCACCGCGAAGTTCAATCAGAGCTTCTCCATCCAACTCAATCGTCGAAAGGAAGTGGCAGACATCGCACGTGCCGTGGAGGCATTAACCAGCCAGCACTCCATGCTTCGTGCTCGGTTCATCAAGCCAGACTCTGAATCTGCGAAGTGGCGACAGATGGTCACAACGGAAACGAAGAAGTCATTCCAGTTCGCTGCGCACACCGTGCCAAAGGACCAAGCAGACGTCTTCATGGCCTCCATCGTCGCTAAGACCCAGTCTCAGATCAACCCCATCACTGGGCCGGTATTTGCAGTAGATGTCTTTGAACAAGACAATGGCCCCGGCGAGCCAAGCACACAGACTATCTTTCTTGTTGCACACCATCTAGTTGTTGATCTGGTTTCATGGCGCATCCTCCTCCAACAGCTCGAAGAGCTTCTCGAGACCGGAAGACTATCAGCAGAACGCCCGATTCCATTCCAAGTGTGGAATAGGATGCAAAGGGAGTACGGAGCTCGTGAACTTTCTCCACAGGCCGCTTTGCCATTTGATCTCCCACCACACAAGCTGGACTTCTGGGGCCTTGAGAACGAGAAGAACGTGGTGGGCGACTTGCAGGCTGCCGGATTCACCCTCAGCAGCAACATCTCGGATCTATTGCTTGGCGGCTGTAATACGGCTTTTGCAACCGAACCTATTGATCTTTTTACCGCAGCCTTGCTTTACTCTTTCTCAAGAACGTTTACAGAGAGACAGCCACCGACAATCTTCAGCGAGGGTCACGGCCGCGAGCCGTGGGACCCAGCAATTGACCTCTCAGGCACAGTCGGCTGGTTCACAGCTCTACGCCCCTTGGCGGTACCAGTGACCTGTGAAACCAACATCATGACAGTGGTCCAGCAGGCAAAGGATGCACGACTTTCAACTATAAGCAACGGCTGGGCCTACTTCACTTCCCGTTTCTGTCACCCTCAAGGTCGGGATACTTTCAAGGCTGAGGGCGCCGTGGAACTTATCTTCAACTACCTGGGCCGCTTTCAGCAGCTTGAACGTGAAAACGCATTGTTCGGGCAAGCTCCTCGTATTGGTGGCTTCGAGACTGCCGATATGGACGCTGAGACGCCACGAATGAGCGTCCTCGATGCTTCAGCATCAGTCCAGGATGGCTGCGTCTCTTTCAATATTTCTTACAGCAAGGCCATACAACATATTGAAAGGATCGTTGAATGGGTCAAGGCACTGGAATCAACACTGATTCAGCTGACCGAGGTGCTCCCAAATCGCTCCCGCGAGTACACCGTTGGTGATCTGCCTTTGCTGCGACTGTCGCAAGCTTCCCTGAAGCAGCTGACACAGGATCGTCTTCCTGGTATTGGAATCAAGAACATCGATGAAGTTGAGGACATATACCCCTGTTCTCCTATCCAAGAGGGAATGTTGGTGAGCCAGACAAAGGTCACAGGTCACTATCAAAGCGCCTTCACGTTTGAAGCTACCAGCCGAGCTGGACCGGTCAGCTTGACCTCACTTGAGAAGGCGTGGCAAAGTGTAGTAAGCCGGCACGCTATCTTGCGCACAATCTTCATTGATGGAGTCACGCCAAATGTCGCTTTTGCCCAGGTCGTCCTGAAGCATAGTGTTGTCAACACCGTTCACTATTTGGCAGATGGTCAAGAAGTGCAGGCCCATCAAGGACATTTGCCATCCGGCCCCCTGCCACCGCACCGACTTACGCTTAAAGAAACAGCCGGCGGTGGCGTCGAATGTCATCTGGAGATCAGCCACGCCTTGATCGATGGTGCTTCCCTACAGTTCCTTTTCAGGGATCTCTCTCAAGCCTACGAGGGCTCGCTGTCGGTTGATGGAGGCTCGGGTTACCGTGATTACATCGCGTACCTCTCCGCCCATGACAAGAGTGACACCGAAGCCTACTGGGACAAGTACCTCAGTGGCCTTGAGCCTTGCTATTTCCCTCGCTTGTCCGACACTCAGTCCGGCACAGCTGGCGTGAGTGAACCTGAGCTTCGTGAAGTCCACCTCGATGCAAATGCCTTTGGATCTGGTGTCCAGGCATTCTGCGCAACTCAAGAGGTTACCATATCCAACGTCCTCCATGCCGCTTGGGCGATTCTTTTGCGATCATACACCGGCTCGGAAGATGTCTGCTTCGGCTTCCTTACCTCAGGCCGCGACGTTCCCGTTCATAGAGTCGGAGAAACAATTGGGCCCTTCATCAACATCCTTACCTGTCGACTCGCAGTCCCGGCGGCCGCGACGATGACCGCTCTAGTCACCTCAACTAAGGAGGCATACACACAAGCATTGCCGCACCAGAGCTGCTCTCTAGCTCAGATTCAGCACAGACTGGGCTTCTCGGGCCAAGCACTCTTCAATACCGCGTTGTCCGTACAGTCTCATGGTGGTGGTAGCGGTCAAACAGCCGAAAGCGGCATTCAATTCCGGAGCATAGACACTCATGACCCGACAGAGGTACGTGGAAGGGAAGATCGACTGTTGGATATGAGGCGCTAACTACTCAACAGTTCGATATCACGCTGAACATAAGTGTGCAAGGCGACAAACTGTCGGGTAACATCAAGTACTGGACGACTCTTATGACAGACTCGCAGGCCTCAAGCTTGGCTGAGTCCTTTGTCGCAATTCTTAACAACGCAGTCGCCTCTCCACAGGAGGCCATATCAACCCTCGAGAAAATCGACCGCTTCGATAAAGCTTTAATTTCTTCATGGAATCAAGCGCCTCCCAATCGTGTAGAGGAGTGTATGCATCACCTGATCGAACGCCGAGCAGCAACAAGTCCCGACTCTAATGCTGTGTGTGCTTGGGACGGCAATTTGACTTATTCCAAACTGGATAGAATCTCGACTCGACTAGCAGCCTACCTTGTCAGCTTAGGTGTTGGTCCTGAGATCTCAGTACTTATATGTCTAGAGAGATCTCTCTGGACCCCAGTGGCGATACTAGCAGTACTCAAGGCAGGAGGCGCATTTGTTCCTCTAGACCCGAAGTTGCCGCAGAGGCGAGTCCAAGCGATCACAGATCAAGCCAAGGCTACTATCGCCCTAGCTGATAAGGCCACGAGCTTATTGATGACCGCTTCAGTGGGCACAGTCCTGCATCTGTCCGATGGCATGCTGAATTGGTTGCCTACTTACGAAGCTATCAAGCCTTTGACAACGAATGTCGAGCCAAAGAACACAGCTTACACAATCTTCACCTCAGGTAGTACTGGTATACCCAAGGGTGTTGTTATCGAACACACGACCTTATCTTCGAGTGCACTGGCCCACTCCCAGTCAATGAACATCCGGGCGGACTCGAGAGTCTTCCACTTCTCATCTTTAGCATTTGATGCTAGCATAGCAGAGATCCTGACTACCCTTTCACAAGGAGGGTGCCTTTGTATCCCTTCAGAAGCAGACCGACTCGGTAATACGACTGAGGTCATGAACGAGATGCGCATCAACTGGGCTTTCTTTACACCCTCTATGGCAACAACATTCGGTCCAAAGGATCTGCCATACTTACGAACCTTGGTCTTAGGAGGTGAGGCGATGACGATAAAGAATGTCGAGGACTGGACAGCAGAGGGTAGCGAAGTCTCTCTTCACAACGGATATGGACCTACAGAGACCTGTGTGTTTTGCGTGTCAACTTCTATCAGCGACCCCAGTCAGGGGCCATTCCTAGGCCGCGCCATTGGCAGTTTGGCTTGGATCGCCGACATCGACGCACCAGGAGTCCTGGCTCCAGTAGGAGCTATCGGAGAGCTCCTCGTTCAAGGTCCTATTGTAGGCCGCGAGTATTTGGCCGACAGCGAGATGACTTCCCGATCCTTCCTGCCACCAAGCTCCGTGCCTTTTATTGGCCAGGCTGTTAGCCATGATAAGGTCTACAGAACAGGCGACCTTGTCAGATATCGCGACGATGGCTCCATTGTCTATGCTGGCCGGAAAGGAAGTCAAGTGAAGCTCCGCGGGCAGCGTATCGAACTTGAAGAGGTGACGCACCAGATCGAATCGCTTTGGCCCGAGGCAACCCGAGCTATCGCCGATGTTGTGACGCCTTCCGATCGCCCCGACAGCCAGATGCTCATTGCTTTTATTGACGTGGGCAGCGGCGATAACAACCCAGATGATGGAGTGAGTTCCGAGTGCGACTGGCTAGCCACCGCGGCGCCGGCCTTCCTGGAGCGAGTCACGCGATTGCGCACACAATTACTGGCTGTCGTGCCGCCATACATGATCCCCCAGGCCTTCATTCCCATCAATCGAGTGCCTCTGTCCGTCAACGGAAAAACGGAGCGAGGCAAGATGCGCGACTGGGCTACCGGCCGAGGTGCAGAGGCGCTTGCGGAATACGGACAAACCACGCGCACCGTGGGTAGGAAGCCGAATAAGGAGGCTGAGATCCGGCTTCAGGCGCTGTGGGAGGAGGTGCTACAGCTTCCTGCCGACTCTGTCAGCGCAGAAGACAACTTTTTCCACCTGGGTGCCGACTCGATCCGAGTGATGACCCTCGTATCTGCGGCCCGGCGGGCAGGCCTATCGGCAAAGGTACAGGATGTCATGAAGCATCCTGTGCTGGAGACAATGGCGGATGTATTTGTTCCTGTGGACTACCCAGACATGGGGGTGGAGGAGGAAGGTGAAGATGAGGTCAAACAGTTCGAACTCCTTGGCGAGGGAGGACTTTCAGACTTTTTGATGGGAGATGAAGAGTGGGCGAGCCTTGGGGGTGTTCCAGAGGGCAATGAAGATGGTTCTTTTCATTTGTGATTATTTGGGAACATATTTTATTGAACCGCATTAGAGTTAATGTCTTGTAATTGGATTTCATTTAATGATCAAGTTATTATCAGCGTGAAATACTGCTCAGGGGCTTATATTTGACCACTCTCTTAATCATAGCTTATATTTTAAGTTTTTATAATATAAAAAAACGATCAACTATATTTTATATGTCAGTAAGCTAATATCATATAAGATATAGTATAGATCTTCGCTATAGCTTATTTAGTAAGTTTTAGATCTTTTTCAAAAGCTTAAAAGGTAAGAATAATCTTCACTTCTTTTAAAGAAGAAGCCATGTTTGGAGGTAGAGAAAAAGTGTAGAGAAGGTGGAAGGTGGTGCAGCATACGAAAGTGGCCCATTCCGGTCTACTGGCCTACTCGCTATGCAACCACGTTAGTTATACAATTAGAGATCAAATTTCGGCGGCAGTGCTTGGACGTGGGATGATCGAACTCAAGAGTATTATTTTCACCTATTTGTTAGTGCCCAACCAGATCTGAAATGGGACAATAAAGAATTGCGAGCGGCAGTATACGACTCTGCCATGAGATTCTGATTGAGAAAAGGCATTGACGGATTCAGAATCGACACGATGGCCATTTACAGCAAGCATCCTGATCTCCCAGATGGCCCGATTCTAGATCCAGAGTCTGAATGGCAAACGGGCCGTATGCATTATGCTCACCAACCGGAGGTGTTCAATATCTTGTCTGAGATGAATGCCTTTTTACGGGAATTTGGGCCAGACAAGATGACCGTGGGTGAATTCGGCTTCCTTCCAAATACCAAGCTCGCAATCGAGTATGTCGGTTTTAGTAAGCAGCGTGTGGGCATGGGCTTTCAATTCGAGACCGCATGTCTTGATTATTCTCTCAATCATTGGCATTTGCGTCCTTTTACACTCGTGGAGTTCAAAGACACTTTCGAGAAGTGGCAGCGATTTACAGAAGGCAACGACGGATGGACGTGTGTTTTCCTCGAGAATCACGATATCGGGCGATCTGTCTCTCGGTTTGCGAGCGACTCTCTCAGTATCGAGCAGTATGTGCAAAATTATTGGCCATGCTCCTGGCTACCTCGACTGGGACACTCTTCCTGTACCAAGGCCAAGAGATTGGAATGACTAATGTTCCATGCCACTGGCCTATCAGCGAGTACAAAGATATCAGCGCTCAGAACTATTGGAAAATGGTTGAGAAAGATACTAGTGGCGATAGAATTGCCCTCGAAAAAGCTATGGACAAAATCCGGATAGTGGCTCGAGACCATGCTAGGACACCGATGCAATGGGATAACAGCCTCCATGCTGGGTTTACACGAAGCGATGAGGGACCCTGGATGCGAGTCAATGACAATTATGAAGATATCAATGTGAGACACCAGCTCGGGAATTCACATAGTGTAATGTCATTCTGGAAAAGACTTCTGGTACTAAGGAAGCAATATATGGATCTCTTTGCGCATGGGGCATGGGAGACTATAAATCGCTCTGATTCTTCGGTCATGACTTATATCAAAACTTTTGGTACTCAAAAAGCGCTAATATTACTGAATTTCTCCGAGGATCTGCAGAAAACTGTAGGTCATATCCCTCAGGCATTCCGAAATGTTCCACCTACATTGGTCAACCTCTCCCGTTGGACGGAAGATACCCTTGGTGCATACGAGGCCCGATTATATATCCGCAACAAAACATAGTTTCTCAATAAACGGCAATTGAAGCATAGACCTTAGAGGCTTGAAGACTAGTCGGAGCTGTGTCCGAAGCATAAGAGGGCAACTAGTGCCAATTGAGGCCACGGGGACTTATGATCAGGCCAAGAAAAACATTGCACATTAATCAACGACTTAAAAGTTTTGTTAAGTTATCGCGACAAAAAGGCAATTAGTACTCCAACAACTCCTAAATTCCGATCGAAATGGATTGAGTAGTGCTCTACGTCGACCACGCATTTAGTTTCTGCGAAATATTTGAATTAGTGCTAGCATTGAATGCCACCATTACCCAGGTGTTGACGTACATGTTTCAAGGTCTCATGGCTTAGAGTGTTTTCATAGACTCTAGAATGCCTAGGACATCGGTGGGGCGCAGTTCATCTAAAGTTTCTTTCCACAGCTGTTCACTGGTCTCTTTTCCGTGCTCGGTGTACATTAGAGCTGGGTATCTGAGAAAACACGCAATCAGAAAATGGAACACAAAATGGCCCGGATTGAATCTTGTGAAAACTTACGGCCTAATTTCCCAGTCCATTACAAAACAGCCATGGGATTCTTTACCCTTCCCAACAGCGGCATCTAGATAGGTGCTGGCACCTTCAGATGCAGAGCGCGCTATCAAAAGCAACAACGGAGGGACGATGACTTTCATGATTGCAGGAAAGTGGCGCAGAAACTCGGTTCCTCGAGTGATTCCCGGGTCGACGAGATTAACAATCACATCGTCAGGTGACACATATTCAACAAATTTCGAGAAAAACATTTGACCCATAAGTTTGGTTGTAGAGTAGTTGTCGGGCCCTGGAGACGGACTGGTCTTTTGGTCGTCGAAGGATTTTAGCAAGGGTCGTTGACGACTGTTCGGAAAGGTAGCCATGAGGACTGTTCCAGAACTGACTATGGACAACCTGCCCGGAACATCGAGTGGAGATTTGGCTTTCAGTATAGGCAATAACAGGACTGAAAGTAACATTGTCGAGAGATAATTGACTTGCATAAGCTCCTCATGGCCGGTACTAGGAACTATGTTGAAAGTAGGGCTGTTCAAGCCAGCGTTAAGAACAGCTATGTCGAGGCGAGAAAGACTGTCTACACGCTTAACAAAGGCATGAATCGACTCATACGAGTTCATATCCAATGCCCAGGTCTCGATCGTTGGCTTGGGATATTCCTGTTTCAGCTGTGAGACCGCAGCTTTCCCCTTAGCTTCCGATCGGGAGGCAATGATGATGTGAGCTGCATTGAAAGAGAGAAATTGCTGAGCAGATTCAAAACCAATACCAGTGTTACCTCCCGTAATTATGACGACTTTTCCGGACAAATCGGTGGTCTTCGGGAGACGTTTAGGTTTTGTGCGTAATTGGGATTTGACTGTGATTGAAAACATCCCCGATGTCAGCGGTGGTAAGTCTTTGGAAGCCATTGTGAAGAACAGAATATCTATGTTGGCTTGTGAAGGGAGACTAATGGTTAATGAGGTAAGTTTTTGAAACTCTCTTGGAGTTACTTATCGAGACAGCTTTTATACAAGCTGGGAGCTTACCACCCTCAAGCCCCTCGGGCTTCGGAGCCTAAGGTGTGAGGACTGCATGGCGTTAACGGAGAGATAGGGCAATAAATCCATTCCGAGTTGACAATACATAGCGGCCTGGCACCCCAGAGCACGACATGTCTTGTGGGTTGCTCCTTTAAACATTGAATGGTCTCGGCCTTCACGCCAGAGACAGACAGGGGCCTTTCCAGGGGCATTCCAATTGGATGAGCACCCGAATCTTGGCGACTATTCCTGAAGCAGTAATCAATCGTGCTGCGCTTCTACCAATCAAGCGGACGACGGTGGATCCTGAGCATTGCACCGAGTTTGACATCGGTCACCTGCCGAGGGCGGGCAAGCGAGTCATTGACACACTGCCCCCGTCTCAGCCCGAATATCAAAGGACAGACGGCGAACCTGAAGAACCCGAAATAAACTTCGCCTCATCTCTACCGTGGCATTACTTCCATGTTTCTTAATCAACCTCTTTACCGCATTCGACCAGCAATTACATGCCTGCATACTCGCCTAATCCAATCATCTTCGGACTTGTGGAGCAGCCTCCCGTGGCGTGAAAGACAGACGTTACGCACCCCCCAGCAACACATGGCTTAGAAGGGTTGGGTTTGACCTGTAAGACTTGCGACTTGCTGGAAACAAGAACTGTCAGCCCTTCTTGTGCCTTGGACGTGGGTCGTTGATATCCGCGGGCTCCGATACCAACATGCCCCCCACGCTCGCACCTCGTGAGGCGGACAAGGAGGACTATTCCTCCTCTCAAGGTCTAAGTCCAAAGATCAAATATCACGTCAAAGGCCAGGGTCAAGTGTCTAGGCCCTTCATTATCTCAGACGGCGCAAAGAAGACCGATCCTCAGACACGCAAGCTTATTCGGAGCTTTGTAATGCGCGGCAAAAACCGTGGAAAGAATCGACAAAGCAAACCTGAGGATCCGGACACAGCCGCGCGGGTAGCTCGCCTTATAATTTGTCGCAAGGTCGGCACAGACATGGGCTTCTTTCCGTTTGCAGATACAATAGCGCCGAAAGTCGCTGCCGAAGCCTTGAATTGTAAGCCTCCAACTTCCTGTCCTATGTACCTCGTGCAGTGCGCTCATGCAATGCATATTTGCAGCCGCCATTACTGTTGCAAAAGCTAGATATGTTCTCAACACCTGTCTCATATTTACTGATCTGGGCACTGCATGGATCAGGCAACTCGCCGTCGACGAGTCGTTCCTCCAGTCTTTTATCTTGATGTGTCAACTCTACTTCGACTTCGCGAGGGGCAACAACACTAGCTATGACAGTCAAGTCAGCGTGCTGAAAACCATTCAACTCCTTCGTGAGAAGTTGTCGTTGGAAGATCGAGACTCTCAGGTGTCGGATCCCACCCTTTTTGTAGTGTTGAACTTAGCTGTTCATGCGTTCATCCATGGTGATGACAAGTCTTCGAGACACCATTTATCCGGCATTCGCAGAATGGTCGACCTAAGGGGAGGCATCACCAAAGTCACGGAGACGAAGATGCTTCTCGAGCTGCTGAGGTGAGATTTTCTACATTCGTGAATGTTTGCTAGCTAATAATGACTAATGTTTTTTGCAAGGTGTGATCTAAGCTTGACACTTCATACTGGTGCAAAGCCGCTCTTTTTTTCAGAGGAACATGACGACCTGTTTTCCCATCCACTATTACAGTATCCACCGGAACTAGAGTTGTCTGAAGAGATGAACA